GACAACTTCATTGTCCAGAAAGTGGGAGAAGCAACAAGAGGAACAGCCATTTTATATCTGGTCCTAACCAATGTTGATGACCTGGTTAGTGGGGTAGAAGTGGAAGGATCATTAGGCGCGAGTGATCATGCTCTTCTGAAGTTTACCAAACAGCGGAAAGGAGCAGCCAAGCATACTAGGACTCAATTTCTTGACTTTAAGAAAGCCGACTTCATAAAACTTAGGGAAGTGCTGGGTGAGATCCCATGGACAGTAATACTAAAAGGAAAGGGAGTTCATGATGGCTGGGAGTTTGTTAAGAGGGAGATACTAAAAGCACAACGTCAGGCAATACCAATGAGACGGAAACATGGAAGGTGCCTAAAGAAGCCAGGGTGGCTATCTAAAGAGCTTTTAACTGAGTTAAGATTAAAAAAGGATGTGTACAAAAATGGAAAAGGGGAAACCACCAAAGAGGAATTCAAACAAATAGCCAGCACGTGTAGACACAAAGTCAGAAAAGCTAAAGCACACAATGAACTCAGGCTTGCTAGAGAGGTTAAAAGCAACAAAAATGGCTTTTATGGGTATGTTCATAGCAAAAGGAAGAACAAAGAAACAGTGGGGTCACTCAGAGGAGAAGATGGTGAAATGCAAACAGGGGACACAGAAAGGGCTGAACTCCTCAATGCCTTCTTTGCCTCAGTCTTCTCCGATAAAGAAAACAATGCCCGACCTGAAGAATTTGGAGCAAATGATTCAGCAGAGGAAACACAGCCCAGAATAACTAAGGAGATAGTACAAAAATACTTGGCTAGTCTAGATGTATTCAAGTCTCCAGGGCCAGATGAACTGCATCCAAGAGTATTAAAAGAACTGGCAGATGTGATCTCAGAACCACTGGCAGTCATCTTTGAGAATTCCTGGAGAACAGGCGAAGTCCCGGCAGACTGGAGGAGGGCAAATGTTGTCCCTATTTTCAGAAGGGGAAAAGAGAGGACCCAAATAATTACCGCCCAGTCAGTCTGACATCAATACCAGGGAAGATTCTGGAGCAGATCATTAAGCAAATAGTCTGTGAGCACCTCGAAAGGAATGCTGTGATCACCAATAGTCAGCATGGATTTCTGAAAAATAAGTCATGTCAGACTAACCTGATCTCGTTTTTTGACAGAATTACAAGCCTGGTAGATGAAGGGAACGCAGTGGATGTAGCCTACCTTGATTTCAGCAAGGCATTTGACAAGGTGCCCCATGATATTCTTGTAAAGAAGCTGGTAAAATGCGGTCTTGACTATGCTACCACTCAGTGGATTTGTAACTGGCTGACTGACCGAACCCAAAGGGTGCTCATCAATGGTTCCTCTTCATCCTGGAGAAGAGTGACTAGGGGGTGCCACAGGGTTCTGTCTTGGGCCCAGTCTTATTCAACATCTTTATCAACAACTTGGATGATGGACTCAAGGGCATCCTGATCAAATTTGCAGATGACACCAAACTGGGAGGGGTGGCTAACACCCCAGAGGACAGGATCACACTTCAAAACGACCTTGACAGATTAGAGAACTGGGCCAAAACAAACAAGATGAATTTTAACAGGGAGAAATGTAAAGTATTGCACTTGGGCAAAAAAAATGAGAGGCACAAATACAAGATGGGGGACACCTGGCTTGAGAGCAGTACATGTGAAAAGGATCTAGGAGTCTTGGTTGACCACAAACTTGACATGAGCCAACAGTGTGACGCGGCAGCTAAAGAAGCCAATGCAATTCTGGGCTGCATCAATAGGAGTATAGCATCTAGATCAAGGGAAGTAATAGTGCCACTGTATTCTGCTGTGGTCAGACCTCACCTGGAATACTGTGTCCAGTTCTGGGCACCACAGTTCAAGAAGGACACTGACAAACTGGAACGTGTCCAGAGGAGGGCAACCAAAATGGTCAAAGGCCTGGAAACGATGCCTTATGAGGAAGGGCTAAGGGAGCTGGGCATGTTTAGCCTGGAGAAGAGGAGGTTAAGGGGTGATATGATAGCCATGTTCAAATATATAAAAGGATGTCACATAGAGGAGGGAGAAAGGTTGTTTTCTGCTGCTCCAGAGAAGCGGACACGGAGCAATGGATCCAAACTACAAGAAAGAAGATTCCACCTCAACATTAGGAAGAACTTCCTGACAGTAAGAGCTGTTTGACAGTGGAATTTGCTGCCAAGGAGTGTGGTGGAGTCTCCTTCTTTGGAGGTCTTTAAGCAGAGGCTTGACAACCATATGTCAGGAGTGCTCTGATGGTGTTTCCTGCTTGGCAGGGGGTTGGACTCGATGGCCCTTGTGGTCTCTTCCAACTCTATGATTCTATGATTCTATGATTCCCCAAACCATGGCCACCTGCCTCTCACCTGAGCACATGGGTCAGGTTGAGCCATGACTGGATCAGCTGTGCAAAGCGAGTTCCCTGTGGGGAGGGCGCAGCCAATCCCTGCAGAAAGTGAAGCCACCTGCCATCAATGGTGAGGCTGAGGTGGGCCACCCTGGCCACCTGCCACAAGGGGTAGGGAAGATGGGTATCTGGCCTGATGCTTAGATGAGTTCTCTTAACCTTAGTTTACAATGAATGGCAGCAGTTCTCTAGGATTTAATAGACTCATAGACCTGTAGAGTTGGGAGAGACCCAATAGGTCCCCTAGTCCCTCCCCCACCTGGAGGTGCAGGCTGTACTTCTGCCTGCACCCAGATGCGTGTGTTGCAGCTCTTTGCAGAGACGGAGACAAACCAACAAAAGACATTGGGATTGCACATGGCACCCCAAGGGCACGTGGAGGTGCGGAGGGGGGCAGAGATGAGCCAGCACAATCAGAAATGGTGCTCCTCGATTGCTTCCCTGCCTTACTTCAGGAGGTTGCGGGTCTGGAAAAGGGCTTTGGGCAAACATCTCCATGCAAGCAGGAGGAAATCTACTTTGTATGCAGAAGGTCCCAGGCTCAGCCCCCTGCATCTCCATGGAAGGCAGAGACTGTCCATGCCTGAAGCCCTGGAGAGCCTCTGCCAGTCCATGTAAACAGTAGTTAAGCTCAATGGAGCAATAGCTTGATTCTGTGTGTGGCACCTTCCAATCGTTATATTTAAACCATCCCTCTATTTAGAACCACAAGAACCAGGATCTTGATTTATTTTTATGGCAGGAGCCAAAGTTCCCCACGCAGAGGAGGATCCCAGGTTCAGGCCCCTGCCAACTGCAGATCCAGGGGGGACAACGGCTCCCACTGGAAACCTTGGAGAGTTGCTGTTGGTCATTGTAAGCCAGGAGGGGGAACCTTCGTTGATCTCCATAACAGTTGCTGGAACCTTCAGGAGGGGAGGGTGGTCTTGTGCTTGAATCCTGCTTGCAGGTTTCCCACAGAATGCTGGACCAGAAGGGCCATTGACCTGATCCAGCAGGCGCTTTTATATCCATCTCCTCTGACCTTGACTACGCTGTCTGGGGCTGATGTGGAAGGATGTCCAGCAACATCTGGGAGGGCCATAGGTTCCCTATCCCTGGTTCACATTGACTAACAGGTGGAGCAGAGGTCTGATTTAGTAAATTATTATTACATTCATACAGCACCTTTATCTTCCAAGGATCTCAAGGTGATGTACATAGTTCCCCTCCTTCCCATTTCATCCTCACAACAACCCAGTGAGATAGGTTAGGCTTCTAGCCTAAGGTCACCCAGTGAGCTCCATGGCTGAGTGGGGATTTCCCTCCCAGGTCCTTGTCCAACACTCTAGCCATTATGCCACATAGTTTCTCACGTCCATCCATATTCCTGGGTTCTAAGGCATATAGGATAGTAAAGCTAAACACTTGAATTGTGGTTGGAAATGGAAGTGTTTAATTCATTTTTTAGGAAGGTGGAGGGGGAAATCACAGGTACTGAGATCTGGGATTCCATGCCGAGTTATTGATTTCACTTCACAGGCTGGTAAGATGTGGAGGCAACTGGGAAACCCTCTGTGCTGTCAAGAGACAGACGTATTTCATCTTTTGCCATTGCTATTTCACTGCCCCCGACTTGTAGCCATGGGCCAAAGAACTCTGTGGGTGTTTTGGTTTCAGTAATTATGACTGTGATGTAGAGAAAAAAAAGGGCTGCCTCTTTCCTTGCAACAAAGGCAGCAACTAAATATTGGACAAATATAACAATCCTTAATGGAGTTCAGTCAAAGGTGCTGCCAAAGACAGGTAGGTCACAGGATTTGCACGAAGCAGAAGAGTGAGTCATTTTATTGCCAACAAAATGCCTGCAATTTTGAGCTGAGCCTTAACCACCCAATTACCTTGATTTCTTTATTTTTCTTAAAAGAAAGAAAATATAATCAAGTAAAGAATAGGAGAAACCAGAATCAATGATCCTCTTTCCACTCCAGGTGGAGACCAAAACAGCAGCAAAGGCGGTGTCTAGTAGGTCTCAATAAATGAGATAAATTGCTTATGTTTAAAGGGCTTTTTGTTGTGGTGCGACGGGTGGGGTGAAATGCCAGTTTGTGAAGGACTTAAAGAAAAGAAGCTGGACTGATACTAGCTACTGTCAAGTAACTCTTGCATGAGAGGAACTTATCTGTTATAAATTTTGGAAAGTTGTTTCTGTATTTGCTATGCATTTGGACTCCTCTTAGCTTTTGTAACCCAATTTTACCTGCTCCCAAGGAGCAGGTTTTTGTGTTTTGTTTGGGTACAATTGGATGCCATTTTTAATCAATATGGCAGACTGAACTTTCCAAAAGCACGGATTTCAAAAGTGCAATGATTTTGTTTGGCTTCTTAGAAAGCCCAAGCACTGCTGGCAGAGCATTTCCTTTGCATGTAACAGGTTCCAGGTTCAATCTCCAGCAACCGCAGAAAGGGCTGGGAGAGATCCCTTCGGACATCCTAGAGAACTTCTGCCATGGTTTGACTCCTATAAACAGCTTCCCGCTTTCCCATCTTCTGTGAGCTGCTTGGAGCACAGTGGGTTTGTAGGAAATGAGGTATGTAAATGATCTGACTGCTTCTTGGCCTTTCAGCTAGGATCATGCAAAAACATTATCTATGCTAATTCATCGGTTCTTACCAGATCCAATACAAATCCAATACAGCCTGGATTTGAGGACTATATATTAACTGGATTTTTGGAACTCGGAGATGGAATAGGGGCTTCCTCCATCTGCTCCACGCATCAATCCAGTACAGTGGTACCTTGGGTTAAGAACTTAATTTGTTCTGGAGATCCGTTCTCAACCTGAAGCATCACTTTAGCTAATGTGGCCTCCCGCTGCCGCCGCACCGCTGGAGCATGATTTCTGTTCTCATCCTGAAGCAAAGTTCTTAACCCGAGGTACTATTTCTGGGTTATTGGAGTCTGTAACCTGAAGCGTCTGTAACCTGAGGTACCACTGTATTGCAGTACACCTCCAAGAATGGCTCACCAAAAATAAACAAATCAACTATTTTTGAGAGATGTTCAGTGCAAAACTGAAATTGGGAAAGAAACCACGACAGTTTAAGCTGGTACCAGAAACTGACCCACACCAGGAATCTCCCAGTCATTCACATGCTTTAACTGAGGGCCAAGTAATGTTTTTCCAGCTTGAGGAGCACACACTCTCATCAGTTTTTGGAAAGCTGTATGCCAGGCTGGGTGGGGCCAGAGGCAAAGGGGGTGGAGCAAACAGATGCAACTCGGAACTTGCTATGGGAGCCAGGCCAAAGCACTAGAGGCGTCTCCAACTCTCCACACCCTGCTTCATACAGGAAAGCAGGAAGCATTATCACAGCTCAAGGGCCTGTTCCTGTCAGGCAAAACCAGCGCCGGAAGTATGAGAATGGAGGGGGCCTGGGGAAGAGTCATAACAGGCAGGCTGACTGGCCCCTGGGGCTTGACTTTCACCACCTCTGCTTTAAACCAACGCAACAAATGAGACGGCAGTGAAGGTGTGGGTTGTAGGTATATTTATTTGCAAATACAAGAGAGAGAGAGAGAGAGAGAGAGAGAGAGAGAGAGGGAGGGAGGGAGAGAAAGAAATCGCCATACAATAGCAAATAGGAACATTTACAGTTATCTCCAATTCGGACTTGATCAAGTTAATGTTAAATACAAAACTGAGAAAGAGAGGGAGAGAAAGAAAGAAAAAGGGATTGTAAAAAATAAAAAATATGCGCATTCAAAAGAGCTTATTCCAGTATAAAGTTACTGAGGGCAGCTCAGATGCCACCCTCCTCCTCTCCAAGCAGAAATTGGGGTGGAGGGCGGCTGTCAGCCTGCTTTAAGAAAACAGGAGCTCCCAGTCTTGTCACTGGCAGGCTGCGCAAGGAGAAAGAACTGGATGTAGAGAGGAAGAATTCCCCCACTTAAACAAAATTGGCTTTCAAGGTTTTGTGGAAGAGAACAGATCTGAGGCCCGATATCAAGTCTCCTTCCTCTACCTCCCTTCTCCCAGATGTTTGGGGGTTAAGCCCCACTTATTTGGCCACTCACATCCACACTGTCCCCTGCTGAGTCCTTCGTACCAACAACTGCCTAGCATTCCTGGCTAGCAGCAAAACTGCAAGTGTGTTCCACATGCCCCGCCCCACATCGCAGGAAAAGAGACCCACAGATCTGCACCCCAGCTAATAACCTTTTCTGCAGGCTTAAGATACAATCACAGGCAAGAAAGGTGAAGGCAGGGGAGAAGAATCCCACTGGGATGTGGCACGGAGGATCCTTGCAGGTTAAGGGTGCATCCTGCTGTGGCAACATCACATGGACACACACACACACCAGGCACTGCGGCATTTGTGTGATACGACATCACAACTTGCACGCAATCTGTACGCCTCTGCACAACAGGTGTGCCCTTGCAAGTGTGTGTACGTTGAAGCTACATCAGTGGGTGAACTGGGATGGCACAGTGGGCAAGACCAACCTTGGGCAGGCTGGGCAGACAAGAACCATTAACATAATTCATAACACTGATGCTGCCACTCAATACAAAAGGTCCCTGTAAGATATTAGGACTCTGCATCGTATTTATGCAAAGAGAATACTGGCTACATCTTTGAATGAGGAGTGTGTATTAAGTACATACAGACAAGGAAACACCTAGATTCAGTGGTGGGCAAGATGGAAATCTTCTTCTATCTTGGCCTTGGATATAACTGGAAAGGGTCCCCTTCTGCATCAGAACCAGGAAAGCAGCACCCCCTCTGTCTCCAGAAGGTGGAGGACACTGACATGGCAAGGAGTTCCATCTTCTCCCTGTTTGCCTCCAGTGGCAAGTCAGGGCCGAAAGTTTGGTTTGTTCTTTTTTTAATAAGGCACAGTTCAATCAAGGGTGCTAGTCTTGGAGAATGCAAGCCTTCATAGCCCACGGCTACTAGTTGCGACTTGAGCTAGCCAGCTAGTCAAACAGAAAGTTTCTGATAGCCTCAGCGGCAGAAAAATTGGCTCAAATCAGTGTTCTGGGCAAAGCTGCATCTGAAGATGCTGACGAATCTGGTTTGGTCAAGAGGGAGGAAGGGAGGAAACAGGGTTTGGCCTGGTCCCTGCTGCTCTGTGGCCGCTGGGCCAGGATTCCTATTAGCTCTTTTCCTTCCCTGCCCAGGCGTAGGAGGAAGGGAGCAGGTTCTCTCTCTGCGCATGCTCAATGATGGCCAAGTAGCAGAAGTAGTACTGCTCGGGGGTCTGGATGCTGAAAGCTCGCTGCGTCCTCATCCGCACCACTGTCTGCTGCACGTTCAGCGTGCCCACATCCTGCAGTTGAGACAGGCAGATGTCCAGAGCACAGAAGGTACCTGGGGGAAGAAGATCACCGTAAGCCATACCCAAGCCAGGACCCCTTGGACACTCCACATCCACCTTCCCCCACATCCTGGGGCCCTTGAGGTGTTGTTGGACTCCAGCTTCCCCCAGCCTCAGTCAGCATGGACCAATGGTCAGGGAGGGTGGGAGGGTGGTCCTGCAACACATAATGGCTCTGCTCTGCCTCCACAGCTGGTGGCTCTGAATACCAGTTGCTGGAAACTGCAGGAGGAGAAAGGGCTCCTTTGCTTGGGTCCTGCTTGCCAGTTTCCCTTGGGCATCTGGTTGGCCACGGTGAGACCAGGATGCTGGACTGGACGGGCCAGTAGCCAGGGACCACATCCAGCAAGCTCTTCTTTTTATGTTCTTAACACCGGGAGGGCCACAGGTTCCCCACGTTTTGGTTCCCCACCCATGTTCTTCAAACCCTATGACTGATTTCAGCCAAATGTTCATTCATTCATTGTGGGTTTTATCCAATGAAGTGCTAATTTAAAGTAACAAAGGTATACTTGTTCTGCAGCCGAAACGTTTTGCACCAGCAGAACACTGTGATGCAAGAGAAAGATCAAGCAGTTTGCTGCCACGTTTGCCCTGCAACAGAAGCAACAGAAGGAACAGTCTACTGTTCAATGAGCTTCTGCGAATGCAGCTGCTGAACTGGATTCCTCCACTGCGCTAAACTGAAACTCGCCCATCCACTAGTGCAAGAGCCCTTGCACTCATGGACAGAAAACTCTGGATATAGTCCACTGTTCTGAAAAATATCACACGTATACACACATAGGAATAAGGAAGCCCTGGCTGCCTCACAAATTTCTTTTTGTCTGATTATTATTATTAATTATTATTATTATTTATTGAATTTCTATACCCGGAGGTCTCAGGGCAGTTCACATAAAAAGATCACAGTATATAAAATAAAAATAAAAGCAATAACCCAATAAAAACCCTGAAAAAAGCCACTACTGAGAAATCCCCATTCTTGTGTTGCCACCCTCCAAACCTCTTGAGGAGGCACACAAAGAAGGGCCTCAGAAGATGATCACAGGGTCCGGGAAGGTTCATATGGAAAGAGGTGGTTCACGAAGTACAGGTGAAACTTGGAAAATTAGAATATCGTGGAAAAGTTCATTTATTTCAGTAATTCAACTTAAAAGGTGAAACTAATATATGAGATAGACTCATGACATGCAAAGCAAGATATGCCAAGCCTTTATTTGTAATAATTCTGATGATTATGGGGTACAGCTGATAAAAACCCCAAATTAACAATCTCAGAAAATTAGAATATTGTGAAAAGGTGCAGTAGCTATTCAATCCATAACACCTGCAATGGGTTCAGTAGGAAGCACAATCATGGGGAAGGCTGCTGACCTGACAGTTGTGCAGAAAGCCATCATTGAGACCCTCCATAAGGAGGGAAAGCCTCAAACGGTGATTGCAGAAGAAGTTGGATGTTTCCAAAGTGTTGTATCAAAGCACATCAATGGAAAGTTATGCAGAAGGGGAAAGTGTGGAAGAAAAAGGTGCACAACAGCAGGGATGACCACAGCCTGGAGAGGATTGTCGGGAAAAGACCATTCAAACGTGTTGGGGACTTTCACAAGGAGTGGACTGAGGCTGGAGCTAGTGCATCAAGAGCCACCACACACAGACGGCTCCTGGAGATGGGCTTCAAATGTTGTATTCCTCTTGTCAAGCCGCTCCTGAACAAGAAACAGCGTCAGAAGAATCTTGCCTAGGCTAAAGAAAGAAAAAAAAGAACTAGTCTGTTGCTCAGTGGTCCCAAGTCCTCTTTTCTAACGAGAGCAACTTTTACATCTCATTTGGAAACCAAGGACCCAGAGTCTGGAGGAAGAATGGGGAGGCACACAATGCCAGATGCTTGAAGTCCAGTGTGAAGTTTCCAATGCCAAATGCTTGAAGTCCAGTGTGAAGTGTTGATTTGGGGAGACATGCCATCAGCTGGTGTTGGTCCACTGTGCTTCATTAAGTCCAGGGTCAACGCAGCTGTCTACCAGGAGATTTTGGAGCACTTCATGCTTCCTTCCGCAGACAAGCTTTATGGGGATGCTGCTTTCTTTTTCCAGAAGGATTTTGTCACCTGCCCACACTGTCAAAAGTACCAAAACCTGGTTCAATGTCCATGGGATTACTGTGCTTGATTGGCCAGCAAACTCACCTGACCTGAACCCCATAGAGAATCTATGGGGCATTGCCAAGAGAAAGATGAGAGACATGAGACCGAGCAATGCAGAAGAGCTGAAGGCTGCTATTGAAGCTTCCTGGTCTTCCATAACACCTCAGCAGTGCCACAGGCTGATAGCATCCATGCCATGCCGCATTGAGGCAGTAATTGATGCAAAAGAGGCCCAAACCAAGTACTGAGTATATATGCATGCTTCTACTTTTCAGAGGTCCAATATTGCTCTATTTGCAGTCCTTGTTTTGCTGATTTCATTTAATATTCTAATTTTCTGAGATTGTTAATTTGGGGTTTTCATCAGCTGTACACCATGATTATCACAATTATAACAAATAAAGGCTTGACATATCTTCCTTTGCATGTCACGAGTCTATCTCATATATTAGTTTCACCTTTTAAGTTGAATTACTGGAATAAATGAACTTTTCCACGATATTCTAATTTTCTGAGTTTCACCTGTATTGCGGTCCCGAGCCGTTTAAGGCTTTATAGGTCAAAACAAGGACTTCCGGTTGACTGCACAGTTATGGCAGTCAAGACCTCTTTCGGCTGAAAGAGCCCTTGCGCTTTGAAGTTGGGGAGACCATGAGAGCGTCGCGGTTCCCCGGAAAAAAACTCAGATTGGGCGTTCTAAGGACCTGGTGTTCCAGCGGGTGCAATTTAGCGACTCCCCTGCTCCCCGGTAAGCTCATTAGAGCCCCAAGAGTGAGCGGGGTGGGAGACGCAGCACAGCAGAAACGAGTGCTTCCTTCAAAGCAGCGAAGCTCTGAGACTGGCTAGCTTGAGTGGCCAATTCCTTCATTAAAAAAGAGACTGAAAGTTGGAACGGTAAGTACTTAAAAACTTGATTTGGAAAATTGGGAAGAAAAGGGAGACTTAAAAACAGGGGTCGGTCCCCTTTGTGGAACAAAGTAAAAATCGGTGCGCTAAGACCAAAGCCTAAAAGGAAAGAAAAACTTTTCAAACTCTGCAAGCAATTTAGCCCCCCCCCCCGAGGAAAGGGGGCTTTGGATAATTTGTGCTATTTTGGAAATCTATTAATAAGTCTGAGATATCCTCTTTCGGTACCGGACCACCCAGGAGGGAAGTCTAGTCTCCACTGTGACATCACAATGGAAGTGGAAACATTCAATCCCTGTCTCTACTGAGTTGGTTATAAACTTTCCTGCGATGCCTGGCAACATTTTAAAGTGGATAAAAAGTGTCTTCGGATTCCCTCAGAGCAAGGGGAGCCTTGGAAAATTTTCTCTTTGCCATTTTTGTTGTTGGGATTTAATGAGTTTTAAAGATTAAGGAAGCTGTTCCTGATCCGGCTGCAGTGGGATTGGTGGAGGGAACTTGTTTTTCTCCCTTATTGTACCAGACTGTGTGACTGACCTTGACATTCTTTAGCTACGAGTTCAGAAAGAGAAAGGCTGAAACGTGGTTCTAAAGCAGCACCACAATTTGAGGAGTCGGTGATGTCAATGTTAAATGATATTAAAGAAGGATTAGATCGTAACACAGCTTCTATAAATAAGTTGGGGAAATAGATTGAACATTTAAGTATCAACATGAAAGATGTGAAAGATGAGATAAACACACATGATGCAAGGTTGACACAGCTGGAGAATGTTAGAGTGCAGGATCTGGAACGCTTGCAGTACGAAAATGCAAATTCAATCGCTTTTCTCCAATTGAGTGTGAAAGAATCACATCTGAGATTGAGAGAGGTCCCTTTTCTGGAAGAAGATAAACTCAGAGAATCTTTGATAGGATTTTTTGTGGATTTCTGGGATCTGAAAAAAGAGGAAGTGGAAGATTGGGTAGAGAAAGCTTACAGATTTGGCCCTAAAAAAGAGACCAAAACAGCTTACGATAGTATTGTGGTCTTTAAGACCAAGGAACAAAGAGATATCATTTTGGGACATCATTATAAAAAAGGCCTTAAAATTCCTGACAAATCGGTGGTGCTCTTTAAAGAAATTCCACAGCAATTTTTGAACCTGAGATCTCAGTACAGGGACCTGACTGACAGAAAGAACATCTTTTTTAGGTGGGAATTTCCAGGGGGGCTATCTTTCAAATTTGAAGGAAGACTCTTGAGGAGGACAGATTTATGCAAAAGCACTTGGTAGAACTTGGATTACAAACCTCACAGCCACTGGGAGCAGAGGCAGCATCCCCGTAAGTAGACAATATGGCATTGAGAATCTATTCATGGAACATAAATGGCTTGAACTTACCCAGAAAAAGGGGGAAAATTACCATATTATGGAAAAACAAAATTTGGATATAATTTGCTTACAGGAAACCCACATTACAAGACTACATAGAAAAACTCTAATAAATAAAAGATTGGGCCAAGAATTTATTTCTTCTGATAAAGTTAAAAAAAGAGGAGTGGTTTTCTACATTAAGGAAAAATGGAATCCAAAATTTCCTTTTAAAGATGAGGAAGGAAGACACATAGTAGTTGAAATTACAGCACAAGGTGAGAAATATTTGTTATTAGGAATCTATGCACCTAGTGATGGCAAAGTGGAATTTTTTAAGAACTTGGAAATATGTCTGTTGGAATACATAGATTATAAAATTATATTGATGGGGGACTTGAATGGAGTTGCATCTACTTTGATGGATAGAACTCAGAGATCAAAGGCTACGAATTCTGGCAGACTACCTAAGACTTTTTTTGACCTAACTGAAAAATTTGATTTGTCAGATATATGGAGAATAAAATCCAATGGAAAGAGGCTTTACTTTTTTCTCAGATGCAAACCAAGTATTTTCGAGAATGGACTATTTATGGATATCCAGAGACTTGGTTCCTAAAGTAATAAAAACAGAAATTTGCCCTAAAACTTGCTCGGATCATAATGCAGTTTTTATGGATTTGAAAATGTTTGTTCAGGGTTCCTTCAGATGGCGAATGAATGATGATTTGTTGAGAAGTACATCAATTGTTAATAAGGCCAAAAACCCCTAAAGGATTATTTTGAACTTAGTATAAATCAAGGAACGTAAACAAGGGTTATTTGGGGGGCCAGCAAAGCTGTAATGAAAGGGTTTCTGATACAACAAAACTCAATTAGGAAAAAGTCACAGAATGAGAGAAAAGATAAAATTATGGAACAACTAAAAGACAAAGAGAAGAAGCTCAGAGGAAACCCAAAAAGAAATTAAAGCTTTACAGGTTCAATATTCAGTTAGTAAATCAAGAAATTGAATGGAAGATAAGAAGGATGAGACAAAGAAATTTTGAATCTGCAAATAAATGTGGGAAATTATTAGCCTGGCAATTAAAGAAGAGACAAAAACAAAGTACTATTACAAACATTGTAACAGAAGGAAAATCTATAGAGAACCCTGCAGACATTAGAAAATGCTTTTATAAATATTATAAACAACTGTATAAAAAGGGTAAAGAGGATATGGGAAAAATTGAGCAATTTATAAAGATTAATGGTTTGCAGCAGATTCCGGAGGATAAAAAGAACCTACTAAAAGGTTTAATTACAATTAAGGAAATGGAACAGGCAATAAATTCAATGCAACTTGGCAAGATACCAGGACCTGATGGTCTATCAGCGAAATATTATAAGACACTGAAAGGCTGGCTCATCCAAACTCTGGTAGAAGTATCTAATTCGATTCTGCAAGGGGGCAAAGCACCTGAAACCTGGAAGGAAGCTTATATTACTCTGATTCCTAAACAGGGTCAAGATAGATCCAATGTTAAAAACTACAGACCAATCTCCTTACTCAATGTGGATTACAATTTTTTTGCAAATATATTGGCCAACAGGCTAAAGAAGGTTTTATCTAAGTACATTCACAAAGACCAGGCAAGATTTCTGCCTGGAAGACATATGAAAGATAACATTAGAAATTATGTGGATATTCTGGAAAAGTTAGAAGCAAGAAAGAGTTGTAAAGCAATGTTAATGTTTATTGATGCAGAGAAAGCCTTTGACAATGTATCTTGGAGTTTTATGTTACATTATTTAGAGAGTATGGGGATAGGCCATGATTTTTTAAATGGTATTAAAGCGATCTATCTAGAACAAAGAGCCAAAATTATTGTAAATAATGTGGTTTCAGAGGAAATTAGAATTGAGAAGGGAACCAGGCAAGGGTGCCCACTTTCCCCTCTGCTGTTTATTTCAGTCCTGGAGGTCTTGCTAAGTATGATTAGAAAGGATGAACAAGTCAAAGGTATCACAGTAGGTTCGAAACAATACAAATTAAAAGCCTTTGCTGATGATCTAGTATTGACATTATAAGATCCAGACTCCAGTGCAGTTAAAGACTTAGATCAAATTCAAATATCTTTAATACGGTCAATGACCAGCAAGCAATTTATAAAATAAAATATGGCAATATAAGTACTATTGTACTACAGATAACAGTGGAGATATGGCCAAATCACAAAATTGATACTTATGTTTATGACCAAGTTTCGACTTTTAAGGTTTTAAGGATTCAATTCAAATGTCACTACTGTTTATTATCGTTCCTTCGATGTTTGCAATTTGAACTCCGTTGCTGTCATCATTGCTCGTCTTATTCTTGTTGCAATGTAACAGTACTTCGCCACAGGCCTGTTGATTTCGGGGTCTTTGTCAGCTAAGAGGTGTCTGATATAGGTGTCGTCTGTACTACGAGGTATTTTCCTCAGAATCGGCTCGATCAGCTCTTTTCTTGAGTCTCAATATAATGGGCAATATAAGATGACATGCCCGATGGTTTCAATTTCGTTGCTGTTACAGAGACATAATCTTTGTTCGATCGGTATTTTGTTGTATCTTCCCTCTAGAAGAGCTGACGGGAGAGCGTTAAAGCGGGCCCTGGTTAATGCCCATCGGTGTTTAGCATTATGTAGAACTTTGAGATAGTTTGCTAAATGGGGGCTTTGGGAATCGAATAGGAGTTTATGAGTTATCGGAAGCAGAATTTTATGGCAAACTAAATGAAATAATGTTAGAATACTTAGATCAGAAAGTGTTATTAATAGGAGATCAACACAATATACTTGAATCAAAAAGCAAAACTCATTATTAACAACAACTTATCAGATAATTTTGAGATATCCAAAGGTACCAGACAGGGGTGCCCTCTGTCTCCATTATTATTTATTACTGTCCTGGAGGTATTAAATAAGGATCTGAGAGAATCCCCAGAAATCAAAGGGGTGAGAGTGGGGGTAAAGGAGTTTAAAATAAGAGCCTTTGCAGACGACTTAGCTTTAAGCCTGGAAGACCCAAAACATAGTGTAAAAGAAGCCCTCAAAAAAATAGAGGATTTTGGAAAGGTGTCCGGATTTAAGTTAAATAAAGATAAAACAAAAATGTTAGTAAAAAATATGAGTAAAGAAGATATAGAAGAATTACAAGCCACATCAGGAATTATGGTAGCTAAAAAAGGTGAAGTACCTGGGAATTTGGCTGACATCGAAGAATATAAACCTGTTTAAAGACAATTATGAGAATGTATGGAAAGAAATCAAGAAGGACTTAGACACATGGTCTAGCCTGAAATTGTCATTTCTGGGTAGAATATCTGTGATAAAAATGAATATTTTACCAAGAATGTTATTTTTATTTCAAACTATACCGGTAATCAAAGGGACAGCACAATTGAGAGAATGGCAGAAAATCTTATCAAAATTTGTCTGGCAGGGGAAGAAACCAAGAATAAAGATGAAGATATTAGTAGACAAAAAAGAAAGAGGGGGTTTCGCCCTGCCTGACTTGAATTTATATTATGAGGCTGCTTGCTTAGTCTGGTTGAAGGAATGGCTAACATTGGAAAACACGGATCTCTTGGACTTAGAAGGGCATGATAATAGGTATGGGTGGCACTCATACCTATGGTACGATAAAGGGAAGGTACACAAGGGATTCACAAATCATGTGTTTAGGAGATCATTATATGAAGTGTGGGAGAGACACCTTGGTGGATATCACCAGTAGACGTACTGACAATTAAAAAAAGCAATATGGAAGGGAAACGAGTAACATACGAGGATATTACCAGGAAAACAGAGAGAGGGGTATCAATCAATAGACTTTATTTGCGTAGCCGACAGGCCATAGCAAGAGAGAGGGGTAAAACTGAAACCATATGACCAAATTGAAACTGAGTTAACGGGATGGCTACAATATCATCAGATTAATAATCTACTAAGTGAGGATAAAAGGAGAAATGGGTTTGAGGATAAAAAGTCGAAATTCCAAGTTTAACTAATAGAGTGTAAAGGAAAATTGTTATCTAGCATGTATGATTTACTGCTTGAATGGTACACAAAAGATGAAGAGGTTAAAGAATCGATGATAAAATGGGTGATGGATATTGGGCACAATATTGAGCTGGAAGCATGTGTAAAATTATGGAATGTTGGTTTGAGATTTACAGGATGTATGGCTTTAAAGGAGAATGTATTAAAAATGATGTATAGATGGCATTCGACGGCAATAATATTAGCTAAAATGTATAGGAAAAGGGACAGAAAATGTTGGAAATGTAGGGAAATAGACAGAGATTACTTTCATATGTGGTGGACTTGTGGCAAGGAGTTCTGGGAGTTAATCTATAATGAACTTAAAAAGGGATCTATAGTAAACTCATTGTGGGAGTTTACTATAGATCCCCAAGCCAAACGGAGGACATAGATGATGCCTTCCTGGAACAGATGGCCAAGCATGCAAAAGGAAGGGAGATAGTAGTAATGGGGGACTTCAATTACCCGGATATTTGTTGGATGTCAAACTCAGCCAAGAGCAAAAGGTCAAACAGATTCCTCACTGGCCTTGCAGACAACTTCATTGTCCAGAAAGTGGGAGAAGCAACAAGAGGAACAGCCATTTTATATCTGGTCCTAACCAATGTTGATGACCTGGTTAGTGGGGTAGAAGTGGAAGGATCATTAGGCGTGAGTGATCATGCTCTTCTGAAGTTTACTATACAGCGGAAAGAAGCAGCCAAGCATACTAGGACTCAATTTCTTGACTTTAAGAAAGCCGACTTCATAAAACTTAGGGAAGTGCTGGGTGAGATCCCATGGACAGTAATACTAAAAGGAAAGGGAGTTCATGATGGCTGGGAGTTTGTTAAGAGGGAGATAGTAAAAGCACAACTTCAGGCAATACCAATGAGACGGAAACATGGAAGGTGCCTAAAGAAGCCAGGGTGGCTATCTAAAGAACTTTTAACTGAGTTAAGATTTAAAAAGGATGTGTACAAAAAATGGAAAAGGGGGGAAACCACCAAAGAGGAATTCAAACAAATAGCCAGCACGTGTAGACACAAAGTCAGAAAAGCTAAAGCACACAATGAACTCAGGCTTGTTAGAGAGGTTAAAAGCAACAAAAAAGGCTTTTATGGGTATGTTCGTAGCAAAAGGAAGAACAAAGAAACAGTGGAGTCACTCAGAGGAGAAGATGGTGAAATGCAAACAGGGGACACAGAAAGGGCTGAACTCCTCAATGCCTTCTTTGCCTCAGTCATCTCCGATAAAGAAAACAATGTCCGACCTGAAGAATTTGGAGCAAATGATTCAGCAGAGGAAACACAGCCCAGAATAACTAAGGAGATAGTACAAAAATACTTGGCTAGTCTAGATGTATTCAAGTCTCAGGGCCAGATGAACTGCATCCAAGAGTATTAAAAGAACTGGCAGATGCGATCTCAGAACCACTGGCAGTCATCTTTGAGAATTCCTGGAGAACAGGCGAAGTCCCGGCAGACTGGAGGAGGGCAAATGTTGTCCCTATTTTCAGAAAGGGGAAAAGAGAGGACCCAAATAATTACCGCCCAGTCAGTCTGACATCAATACCAGGGAAGATTCTGGAGCAGATCATTAAGCAAACAGTCTGTGAGCACCTCGAAAGGAATGCTGTGATCACCAATAGTCAGCATGGATTTCTGAAAAATAAGTCATGTCAGACTAACCTGATCTCGTTTTTTTGACAGAATTACAAGCCTGGTAGATGAAGGGAACGCAGTGGATGTAGCCTACCTTGACTTCAGCAAGGCATCTGACAAGGTGCCCCATGATATTCTTGTAAAGAAGCTGGTAAAATGCGGTCTTGACTATGCTACCACTCAGTGGATTTGTAACTGGCTGACTGACCGAACCCAAAGGGTGCTCATCAATGGTTCCTCTTCATCCTGGAGAAGAGTGACTAGGGGGGTGCCACAGGGTTCTGTCTTGGGCCCGGTCTTATTCAACATCTTTATCAACAACTTGGATGATGGACTCAAGGGCATCCTGATCAAATTTGCAGATGACACCAAACTGGGAGGGGTGGCTAACACCCCAGAGGACAGGATCACACTTCAAAACGACCTTGACAGATTAGAGAACTGGGCCAAAACAAACAAGATGAATTTTAACAGGGAGAAATGTAAAGTATTGCACTTGGGCAAAAAAAATGAGACACACAAATACAAGATGGGGACACCTGGCTTGAGAGCAGTACAAGTGAAAAGGATCTAGGAGTCTTGGTTGACCACAAACTTGACATGAGCCAACAGTGTGACGCGGCAGCTAAAAAAGCCAATGCAATTCTGGGCTGCATCAATAGGAGTATAGCATCTAGATCAAGGGAAGTAAAAGCGCCACTGTATTCTGCTCTGGTCAGACCTCACCTGGAGTACTGTGTCCAGTTCTGGGCACCACAGTTCAAGAAGGACACTGACAAACTGGAACGTGTCCAGAGGAGGGCAACCAAAATGGTCAAAGGCCTGGAAACGATGCCTTATGAGGAACGGCTAAGGGAGCTGGGCATGTTTAGCCTGGAGAAGAGGAGGTTAAGGGGTGATATGATAGCCATGTTCAAATATATAAAAGGATGTCACATAGAGGAGGGAGAAAGGTTGTTTTCTGCTGCTCCAGAGAAGCGGACACGGAGCAATGGATCCAAACTACAAGAAAGAAGATTCCACCTCAACATTAGGAAGAACTTCCTGACAGTAAGAGCTGTTCGACAGTGGAATTTGCTGCCATGGAGTGTGGTGGAGTCTCCTTCTTTGGAGGTCTTTGAGCAGAGGCTTGACAACCATATGTCAGGAGTGCTCTGATGGTGTTTCCTGCTTGGCAGGGGGTTGGACTCGATGGCCCTTGTGGTCTCTTCCAACTCTATGATTCTGTGATTCTATGATTCTCTATGATTCTATGAAAAGGAGTTTGGGAACCAGAGAGCGACCTTGGACTATTTCAAAATGTTGACAGGAGAGGCCATTGTGACTGTTTTATGTAAGATAAGCTGTTCGCTGGGACAGCTTCACAAGAAGATGGATGACATGACTTTCAAAGTTGATAATTTGGAACAGAAAGTGACCAACTTGAGTCAAAAAGCGAACACCAACACAGAAATAATTCAGGACTTGGTACAGGAACCCACTTTGGCAGGACAAATGGTGGAGGAGAAGGAGAATGCTGCTGTTGTTGAACATAAAATAATACAAGTGAGGTTTTACAGAAGCAAATTGAGGACTATAAGTTGAGGCCTTCTATGATTGAATCTAGGAAAAGTCAGACTCCGAGGAATGGATCCCGGCTTGGATTAAAGAAGGAAAGTTGGAAAGAGCCCTCTATGCAGGGATTAACTGACTTTTGGGACATGGACTCGAGCCTGGAGGAGACTGAAGTTTTGGGGGCCTTTGGAATTGGAGGAATTTTGAAATATACCCAGAAATACTTTATGGACTGCAGCTTTAACTATGGAAATTTAGTTGATCTGTTCAGAAGGAAGAAAAGGATTGACAGGTTGGAGTTTCCCCGAGATTTGCTCTTTAGCATTAAAGAAAATGAAGAAGACCTGCAGAAGGGACTTGGAAAAGAGTTAAGAGCCTCAGACATAAGATCACCAGGTTGATGGATTTTATGGAATTGACGGAAAGGACTGGCAGAATCCAAAACCTGGGAGAGGAGATGGTGGAAGAAGATTGGAAAATCTAAAGTTTATATATAGACTTATGGTAAAACTAATGAGTGATAGAAAAATGGTGGAATGATTTTTTTATTTTTTATGGGCTTAATAGAAATGTTATAAGGAGTTAAGCACATATAAGCATTTTAGTTTTAATGGAAAATAAGGTTAAAAAATACGTTATTTACAATATCACAGAAAATGGAGAAAGATGGAAAGGATTTGCTGAAACAATTAATAGAAGTGGAATACAAAAAGGGAGGTGAGAGGTCGAGGAAACAGGGGAATGAAAGATAGAGTATGGAAAAGAGAGGATGTATGTTTTTAAATTGTTTTTGTTTTGTTCCATTCAGGGTTAAGGTTAGGGAGTGGGGTTTGTTTAGTTTAGTTTAATGTGTTTAGTTTTGAGTTTAGGTTGTGTTTTGTATTGTTTATATATTGTATTGTATTGTTTTTTTCTTTTTGTTTTTCTCCTTTTTTCTGTTTTTTCTGTTTTGCTTTTTTTTCTCTTTTCGTAATCTATAAAAGTAATATATATATATTTTTAAAGAAATTAAAAGAAAAGATCAGAACTTGTTCATGTATGCCACAGCCGCCGCAAGAACTTTACTGGCCCAAAGATGGAAAACACAAGATTTACCAACCATCCAGGAGTGGCAGGTGAAGATGATAGATTTTGCAGAACTTGCCAAATTGACAGGGACCAAGAGGACCAGAGATACAATAGCAATTGGAATAAATTTACTGAATATATAAAGGAGAACAACAAAAATATTAAGACACTAGCAGGACTGGAATAACACCTCCAATGTAAAACAGTAGAGTTATGACAATATTATAAGCAAAAAGTATGTGATGTATATACCAGCGGTCGGGAGGGAGGGAAGTCAGGACTCGGCAGAGTCAAAGGGATTATAATGTGACAATAAGGATTGTTGGGAAAAGAATTACATGTTGAAAAAAATAAAGATTTATTTGGAAAAAAACAAACAAACCATGTAATTAGGAAATCGCTGTATAATGTTTGGAAAAAAATATAAAGATCTCTTAGAAAGAAAGACTCCCAGATGGCTTTCACCAATGGAGGCAAAGGTCCAGACAAAACTAAATATGGATACCAAATGGTTGAGATATTATGATTTATTATTGGAAGAAGGAGGTTACAAATTAAAACCATTTGATCAAGTTAAAGATAAGTTAAACTGGTTACATTACACCGGTCTACAACAAATTTGTTGTCTGCGTTTTTTCAGTTGATTTAGGACGAATTTGATGCGCTGAATCCAAAAATCACATTGGTTTTGCTCAATCAGGTCAAGTTTTTGAGCTATGGCCACATGTCTTTTTTATGTTTTTGTTCACATGTATGCTTGTGTGGAGCATTTTAGAAGAAGTTGGTGGGGGTAAAATGCCATGTCGAATAATTGTTTTGATTGGAAATGATTATTTTAATGACAAGAAGTATTCAGGTCCGATAGTTCTGGGTGATTATGTCAAAAAGGGATCAGTTTGAAGTCATAAAACCTTGAAATCTTCCGTAAATTGGTGCGGCAAAGCATAAAGTTGGGGGATCAAAACTAAGTTAATGGGGCAGCCGCCCCACGAAGTATCCTGATCTTCAATCAGCACGTCGTCCTGTAGCTCATTGTGATGAAATTCCAGTGCCTATCTTTGGAGAACTTCCTGACATTAGTGACGAAGATGCCTCCAGTGTTGAAGGACATGAAGAAGAAGAAGTGGTTCTTGACGATGATGTTCCACATCCATTTCCCCAAAAGGAGTTGAATAATCTAGTTCGCGACCTCAGCTTGTCGAAGGACTCTGCCAAACTGTTGGCATCCAGATTGAATACCTCCGTTTTTTCTCGGAAGAGAAGGACTTGGTGTACTGTGCAGATATTGCGCAGCTTCTGCTCAAGCTTGGAGTGCCACAGTACGAACCCAAAGATTGGAGACTGTTCATTGACAGTAGCAAGCGATCACTGAAATGTGTTCTGCTACACAACGGCAACCAGTTTGCCTCTATACCCCTGGCTCACTCGACTACACTGAAGGAGAACTATGAAGCGGTGAAGTATGTGCTGGAGAAAATTGGTTATGATCAGCATAAGTGGTTTATTTGTGTTGACCTGAAGATGGTGAACTTTTTGTTGGGACAACAGTCTGGCTTCACCAAGTACCCATGTTTTCTGTGCATGTGGGATAGTAGGGACTGTGCTCAGCATTACCCGAAGAAGGACTGGCCTGTGCGGGAGGAATTGGTGCCTTGCAAAGAAAGGAACGTCATCAACGACCCTCTGGTGGACAGAGACAGAATACTCTTCCCACCGCTGCACATCAAGCTCGGCTTAATCAAGCAGTTCACCAAGGCTCTGGACAAGGATGGTGACTGCTTCACTTACTTGTGCCAGGCTTTTCCAGGATTGACCATGGAGAAGTTGAAAGCTGGCATCTTTGACGGTCCTCAGATCCGTCAGCTCATCAGAGATCCAGAGTTCGGAAACTCAATGAACGAAGTGGAACTGGAAGTGTGGAAGGCATTTGTTCTGGTAGTGAAGAACTTTCTTGGCAACAATAAGGCCAGAAACTACGCAGAACTTGTCAACAACATGCTGACTGCTTTCAGAAACCTGGGCTACAACATGAGCGTCAAGATGCACTACCTATTTTCACATATGGACTGGTTTCCTGAGAACCTGGGTTCAGTGAGTGACGAGCAGGGGGAGAGATTCCATCAGGACATGAAAGAGATGGAGACCAGGTATCAGGGTCGCTGGGACGCAGTCATGATGGCTGACTACTGTTGAACTCTGAAGAGAGACCTCCCTGCCGCTGAGCATTCCAGGAGTTCCAAGAAACGGAAGTTCAAGCCCTGAAGTTTGAAAAATGGTGAAGCAACATGCAATTTACTTGTACTTACCTTTATCAATGCCCACCATTCAGTTTACAGTAAACCTGACCTGATGGAGAGAAACGGATGCCATTTCCTGATTCAGCAGTGCAAAAATACCCTAAATCAGTTGTAGAAATCTAGACAACATTCAAAAAGTAAAAAATTGTTGCCCAGTGATCACCAGATTAATGAATTGTATAAATGGGATAAGAAAAAAGGTTTTGCTTTTGAAAAATCTAAGTTGGAGATGGAGTTGTTGGATACTAAGGATAAAAATTTATCTAAAATGTATAAGTTATTGTTGGAGTGGCATACAAAAGATGAACAAGTTAAATCTGTGATGATAGATTGGGCAAGAGATGTAGGACATAGCCCTTTTAAAAGGGCTAAGGAAATATTGAAAGAATTCTATGAAATAAATGAAAATCAGGATACGGATAAAAAAATGATTTGGGAAGCGAGTAAAGCCTATATGCAGGGTATGTAATACAACAAATGGGAAGGATAAGGAGAAATAAAGATACTAATATTATGGAAATAAATAAATAAGAGAGAAAGAAAAAGATTTAGTGAAAAACCCCAAAAATGAAGATATCCTCCAACAAATAAAGAACTTACAAGCCCACCTATCAAATTTAATAAATAGAGAAATTGAGAAAAAAATTACATGGACAAAACAAAGATATTTTGAACGGGCAAATAAACCGGGTAGGATGCTGGCATGGTTTATTAAGGAAAGACAGGTAGAAAGAGTAATAAATAGAATTATTGATGAAGAAAAAGAAATTATTGACCCAAAACAAATCAAAGAAAGATTTATAAAATATTTAAAAAATTATATAAAGTAGAATTGAAAGAGGAAAAGAAAATCCAAAAATACCTATTAGAAAACAGATTACCAGATATAGCAGAAGAAGAATATGCAATTTTAAATTCAAATATTGAACCTGAAGAGATTAAAAAAGTGATTAAAAATATGAAGGATGGGAAATCGCCAGGACCAGACGGAATTTCAGTAACATATTATAAAAAATTAGAGGAAATAATAACACCCAAATTACAATTAAATTTTAGACAAAGGAGAAATACCCAGTTCGTGGTAAGAAGCATTGATAACTCTTATCCCAAAGCAAGGTACGGATTTGAGACTTATAAAAAACTACAGGCCAATATCTTTATTGAATATACACTATAAAATATTTACTAGAGTTCTTGTAAATAGAATGAAAACTCTGCTAAAAAGGATAATTAAAAAAGATCAGGCAGAATTTTTGCCAGCCAGACAAATAAAGGACAACACTAGAATAATTATAGACTTAATAAATATGCCAAAATGAATCAAAGTAAAGCAATTTCAATGCTTTTGGTAGACGCTGAAAAGGCATTTGACAGTGTCTCTTAGAAATTTATGATTAAAATCTGCGAAAGTTTAAATTTAGGTAAAAGAATTATGAATGGAATTCAAGCAGTTTACAAAAAACAAAGAGCCAAATTAATCCTAAACAACGAAATTACAGAAGAATTCAACATCGAGAGAGGGACACGACAGGGATGTCCTTTATCCCCACTCCTATTTATAACAATATTAGAAACCCTATTAATAGCTCTGAGAAAGGATGAAGAAATAAAGGGCATATGTCTTGGTACACAGTGTTACAAAGTAAGAGCATTTGCAGAAAATGTGATTATTACAACCGAAACACCAAAAGAAAGTATAAAAAAAGCATTAGAAAGAATGAAAGAATTTGGCGAAGTAGCAGGATTCAAATTGAACAAAGATAAATCGAAATTGATAAAAAAAAATATAGGCGAGAAAGGGAATAAAGGAATTAGAGGAAACAACAGGACTAAAAATAGAAAATAAAGTGAACTACTTAGGGATATAGATTACAAATAAAAATACAAATTCGTTTAAGTATAATTATATTAAAAAATGGAAAGAAATTAAAGGAAGTATGGATAAATGGGGAAAACTAAAATTATCATTAGGAGGAAGAATATCTATGATTAAAATGATGATACGCCCCAAAATTCTATTTTTATTTCAAACGATTCCAATTGTAATAGGAACTAAATATTTTATAAGCTGGCAAAGAGATCTTGCAAATTTTATATGGCAGAGGAAAAAGGCAAGGATAAAATTAGAAGTAATGATGGGCCCAAAGGAAAGTGGAGGATTCGCAGTGCCAGATTTAAGAAAGTATTTCGAGGCAGCGTGTTGGTGTTGGATAAAAATATGGATATTATTAAAACATAATGAAGTCCTAACACTAGAGGGTTGGGACAAAATATACGGCTGGCATGGCTATTTATTTTATGACAAAAAAGAACAACATAAAAAAATTACAAATCACATAATAAGAAAGGCTCTATTGGATGTCTGGGAAAGAACAAAAGGAAAAATTATTGAGAAAACTCCCCAATGGGTTTCACCAGTGGAGGCAACTACAACATTAAAGAGTAATGCAAAAGAGACTTGGCCAACATATAGGGAAATATTAGAAGATGCAGACAGAAATATTAAATTAAAAACTTACGAACAATTACAAACATTTGGAATAAATTGGTTACAATATTATCAATTAAAAGCAACATATGAAAAAGACATAAAAGGGGGGGGATTTGAAAATAAAACCTCAAAATTAGAAAAGGAAATATTGAAAAGCGATCAAAAAATACTTGCAAAAATGTACAGATTATTAATGAAAACCACCTCAGAAAAAGAGACGAAAGGGGAAAACATGTTAAAGTGGGAGCACGATTTGGGATATGAGATAGATCTGGAAAGATGGAAAACTTTTTGGGAGAAAAACATAAATTTTACTGCGTGTGATTCATTAAGGGAGAATTTCAGAAAAATTCACCACAGATGGTACTTAACCCCTGACAGATTGTCAAAAATAAATAAAAGGAACAACGGCAAATGCTGGAAATGTAACAGAACAAAAGGTACGTTATACCACATGTGGTGGACTTGCCCAAAGATTAAAACCTTTTGGGACATGATCCACGACGGGGAAAAAAAATTGATAAGGACATCACACACAAAAAAGGCAGAGGCATATCTACTAGGAATTCTAGATAAAGATATCCCAAAAGATTGTTGTTGTTTAGTCATTTAGTCGTGTCCGACTCTTCGTGACCTCATGGACGCCAGGCACTTCTGTCTTCCACTGTCTCCCGAAGTTTGGTCAGACTCATGCTGGTAGCTTCGAGAACACTATCCAACCATCTCGTCCTCTGTCGTCCCCTTCTCCTTGCGGCCTCCATCTTTCCCAACATCAGGGTATTTTCCAGGGAGTCTTCTCTTCTCATGAGGTGGCCAAAGTACTGGAGCCTCAGCTTCACGATCTGTCCTTCCAGTGAGCACTCAGGGCTGATTTCCTTAAGAATGGATAGGTTTGATCTTTTTCCAGTCCATGGGACTCTCAAGAGTCTCATCCAGCACCATAATTCAAAAGCATCAATTCTTCGGTGATCAGCCTTCTTTATGGTCCAGCTCTCACTTCCATACATCACTACTGGGAAAACCATAGCTTTTACTATATGGACCTTTGTTGGCAAGGTGATGTCTCTTCTTTTTTAGATGCTCTCTAGGCTTGTCATTGCTTTTCTCCCAAGAAGCAGGCGTCTTAATTTCGTGGCTGCTGTCACCATCTGCAGTGATCATGGAGCTCAAGAAAGTAAAATCTCTCACTGCCTCCATTTCTTCCCCTTCTATTTGCCAGGAGGTGATGGGACCAGTGGCCATGATCTTTTTTTTTTGATGTTAAGCTTCAGACCATATTTTGCGCTCTCCTCTTTCACACTCATTAAAAGGTTCTTTAATTCCTCCTCACTTTCTGCCATCAAGGTTGTATCATCTGCATATCTGAGGTTGTTGATATTCCAGCTATCTTAATTCCGGCTAGGGATTCATCCAGCCCAGCCTTTCGCATGATGAATTCTGCGTATAAGTTAAATAAGCAGGGAGACAATATACAGCCTTGCCGTACTCCTTTCCCAATTTTGAACCAATCAGTTGTTCCATATCCAGTTCTAACTGTAGCTTCCTATCACATATAGAGATTTCTTAGGAGACAGATGAGGTGATCAGGCACTCCCATTTCTTTAAGAACTTGCCATAGTTTGCTGTGGTTGACACAGTCAAAGGCTTTTGCATAGTCAATGAAGCAGAAGCAGATGTCTTTCTGGAACTCTCTAGCTTTCTGCATAATCCAGCGCATGTTTGCAATTTGGTCTCTGGTTCCTCTGCCTCTTCGAAATCCAGCTTGCACTTCTGGGAGTTCTCAGTCCACATACTGCTTGAGCCTTCCTTGTAGAATTTTAAGCATAACCTTGCTAGCATGTGATAAAACTAACCTATTTCTATACGCAACAACAGCGGCAAGAATTTTGATTGCTAGCTACTGGAAAGAAGAAAGCATCCCAACAAAAAGAGAATGGTTGGGGAAACTTTGCGAGTACCTGGAACTAGAAAAACTGACGGATATAATAAGGAGAAAATCCAAAACTATGGTTATGAAGCAATGGGAGTTCTTAAATGATTATTTACAAAACCAGGGCTCGACTACAAAAGTCTGGTTGTGTTTAGAATAATCTTGTGCGTAATATAAAAAATACAAAGTGAGACATTAAGGAAATCCAAAGGGAAAATATGAGGAACAGAGGATCTGACGAATAGATTATTAAAAACGCGTGAGACAAACGGTGGAAGTCTTTTTAAAAAAACACTTTATTTAAGGTAGAGAAGGACAAGATGAAATTATACAACTGAATATAAATATAGATGGGAAATGGCTATGTATAGTAAATACTTATCTACTTATAAAATTTTTCACTTATGATTTTTTTCTTTTTCTTTCTTTTTTTCTTTGTTCTTTTTTTCTTTTTTCTGATATCTTATCTTTCATTTCACTCCTTTATTGTGAATAGCATTTTATAGAGGTATAAATAACTGTAAATATGAAAAGAGACAAAGTATTCTCTATTTTCCCCCCTTGGTTATATGTATTTTCTTTTTCTTTTGTATTTTCTTTTGTTGTAAATATGTATGTTTTCTAATTTGTACTTAATAAATAAATATATATAAAAAAGAAGAGATGTAGGACATAATACAATGTTTGAGGATTGGGAAAGATTGTGGAAGAAAGGAGTCAAGTTCACTGCATGTACTGTGTTAAAGGAAAATATAATGAAAATGATGTACAGATAGTATTTGACTCCTGTAAAATTAGCAAAGATATATCATAATTGTGATAATCTATGCTGGAAATGTAAAGAAAAGGAAGAAACCTTTTATCATATGTGGTGGACCTGTCCCTTCTGGGAAAAGATTTATAATGAATTGAAAAAAATGTTGAAATATACATTTATAAAGAAATCAGAGGCCTTTCTTCTTGGAATAACAGGTTTGGAATTGCCCAAGAAAGATGTTAAATTATTTTTGTATGCTACAACTGCTGCTCGAATTTTACTAGCCAAAAAGTGGAAAATGCAGGATTTACCAACGGTGGAAGAATGGCAGATGTAGATGATGGATTTTTCGGAGCTAGCTGACCTACCCGGAAGAGTCCGCGACCAGAAGGAGGAGGAGTATCAGGAAGATTAATTTAGTTAAATATGTTAAGTTAAATTAACTGGAAACAGCTTGCAGATATTTAATTGGCTTAGGATTTTATTTAAGTGATGAATTAATATGTTTAATTTCACTTTGAATTGGGCCTGGACACTAATCGGTAGCCAGTGCAGTCAGACCAGGATCGGTGTAATATGCTCAAACCGTCTTGCTCCGGTGAGCAACCTGGCCGCTGAATTCTGCGCTAGCTGAAGTTTCCGAACCGTCTTCAGAGGCAGCCCTACGTAGAACGCATTGCAGTAATCTAACCTTGAGGATACCAGAGCACAGACAACAGTAGTTAGGCTCTCCCTGTCCAGATAGGGATGTAGATGGGCCACCAGCCAAAGCTGATGGAAGGCACTCTGGGCCACTGAGGCCACCTGAGCCTTGAACGACAGCAAAGGATCCAGGAGGACCCCCAGGCTATGAATCTGCTCCTTCAGAGGAAACGTAACCCCATCAAGAGCAGGCGACCTCCCACCCATCTGGTCTAGGGAACCCCCCACCAACAGAGCCTCAGTCTTATCTGGATTGGGCTTCTGTTTCTTGGCTCTCATCCAGTCCACTACCAAGACTGGTCCAGCACTTCCACTGCCTCACCTGCAGATGTCAAGGAGAAATAGAGCTGAGTGTCATCAGCATACTGCTGACAACATACTCCAAACCTCCGGATAACCCCACCCAGTGGTTTCATGGAGATGTTAAACAACATGGGGGATAGGATTGAGCCCTGCAGAACCCTACATTGAAGGTTCAACAGGGCTGAAAAGCACTCCCCAAGTAACACCCTCTGGGAACGACCATCCAAGTAGGACTGGAACCACTGCAAAGCGGTGCCACCCCCCCTAGTTCAGAGAGTCGCTCTAGATACCATGGTCGATGGTACTGAAAGCTGCTGAGAGGTCAAGAAGAATTAACACGGATGTGTTTCCTTTGTCTGTCTCTCGATAGAGGTCATCATACAGGGCGACCAAAGCAGTTTCTGTGACAAAACCAGGCCAAACCCCAATTGAAATGGATCCAGAAAATCAATTTCTTCCCAAAGTGCCTGGATCTGGTCTGTGACCACTCACTCCAGAACCTTGCCCAGGAAAGGGAGATTAGCAACTGGCCAGTGTTATGGTGTTATGTTCCATTTGGAACAGTTTTATGCAAGTGTTATGGCTTTAATTGTTTAAAAACAATTAAGAACATCTAAAAACAGCCACACAGCCTGAAGATTAATTTCCAGGTTGCTGTAGGAACAGTACCCGCTACTGTCAAATGCCTGGGTGAACAGGAATGCTTTGAAATCCTGGCTGAATGTTAATAAGGAAAAAGCTGGGACACACCGTGCCTGGGAAAGCCTCATTCCACAAATGAGGAGCCACCACTGAAAAGGCCCCATCACTGGTCAACGCCAACCAGTCACTAAGGCTGCAGGCAGATGTCTTTCTCCGCCTTTCCATTAAAAAAAGATAAAGCTAAAGGACCCCTGACAAGTCAAGTCCAGTCGCAGACAACTCTGGGGTTGTGGCGCTCATCTCGCTTTATAGACCAAGGGAGCTGCGTTTGTCCGCAGACAGTTTTTCCAGGTCATGTGGCCAGCATGACTAAGCCACTTCTGGCAAACCAAAGCAGCTCATGGAAACGCCGTTTACCTTCCCGCCGGAGTGGTATCTATTTATCTACTTGCACTTTGATGTGCTTTCGAACAGCTAGATGGGCAGGAACTGGGACTGGGCAACGGGAGCTCACCCTGTCGCAGGGATTCGAATCATCGACCTTCTGATCGGCAAGCCCAAGAGGCTCAGTGGTTTAAACCACAGCGCCACCCGCGTCCACTGAAAGCTTCTTTGTCTTGGCATCCTTACCTGTCCTGCCAATGCCAGCACTGCAATGCACCACAATAGGTGGCCCACCAGGATGGCCTTTGTAGCGTGGCCCCAAGGCACTGACAGCCACCCTCTGCTGATGTTTGACAGCCCCCAGGAAGTCGATGAGAGTTGCTGCTGAGGTCGGGACACCATAGTCAGGCCAGCTCACATACTGGAAATGGGTCACCAGTCGCCTCTCGCGGCTCTGCGGAGGGAAGAATGGCGGAAAGGGGAGAAAGGAATGGAGAAAGGAATCTTGCCTGTCCCTTCTCTTATGTCACCCCCTTTACCTGGACATGCCCCCCCCCCATTTCTCACACCTCTTCTCCTTAGATCAGCAGTGATTGCTTCCTGGAAGGGTCACAATTACTTCACAGGTTGACATAAGCAGCAGGCCCCAACTGTATACCCATAATGGGAACCCCAAGTAAATATATTTGAAAGTGTTTGTTTGTTTGTTTATTATTTATTTTAATGCATTCCTATCCCACCTTTTCCTCCAAGGAGTTCAAGGTGGCATACATGGTTCTCCCTCTCCTCATTTAACCCCCACAACAACCCTGTGAGGCAGGTTAGGCTGAAAGTGAGTAACTGGCCCAAGGTCACTCAGTGAGATTAATTGCAGAGTGGGGATTTGAACCCGCGTCTTCCAGGTCTTAGAGCAGCACTCTATCTGCTAAGTCACACTGACTCTCTATGGAGACAATGGCTGCTGAGCAATCAGGGCTCTATTAAATGTTCTCTGTGCACTCAGGCAAAGGCTCTTGTGCTGGCTGACTAAGGAGTTGCAATGTTGCACAACGGATTAATCAAATGCAAGAGCTGCACTGGGGAAAACTATTTTGTGCAACAGATTGCACAATCTGTTGTGCCACAAAGTTGCCAGCAAGCCACTTACACATTGTCTTGTGAAACAACGTTCCACTGGCAAGTATGCACTATTGCCACATGAATTTAACTCAACACTAAAGAGGGGATGAGTGCCGCACCCCATAGTCAAATTCGACTGGACTTAACTGTCCAGGGGTCCTTTACCTTACCTTTACATTGGCTACAGCCCAAAGAAACACAAAATGTAACTATCAAGATTTCCAGACACTGGAGACTCAGTTCTGCATAGCTTCTGGTCACCACAGAAAAGGCAGAATCAAAGGTGCAAAATAAGTGAAAGTACCCAACTTTTCAGTATTTATTCAGAATGAAGAACCTGGCCATCCTTGCTGCTGAATTCAGGCTAATTTGGCCCAGAATTCTGAGAGGCCTTGCATAAAGTACGTATGCTGTGCCCTCGGCCTCCCAGTGACACTTGCGAGTAGGCCCAACACTTGACTGTCCACAAGGCGTTTTACTCTGCTTTATCAGTAGGAATATTCTCCAGCTGGATACACTGCAGATTCACTGATCAACATATCTAATGTTCACAATGTCCAACATGAATCAGACATTACACACATTGTCCATTTATAGAGTTCCCTGTGTCTGTATTAGGAACACAAACATTCTCAGGATAGTCTATCCAGGATTCCAGGCAGGGAGGAGTCTCTCCCAACCCTGCCTGGAGTGATTGAACCTGGGAGCTTTTGCTTGCAAAACAGATGCTCTGCCACTCAGCTATGGCCCTTCTCAGCAGGAGCAAGTTGCTCCCTAGCAGCCCGCCTTGGTGCTGGGACAACCAACCTGCCTTGTCTTGTGGGGCTCTTCCTCAGGACCAGAACACAATACTGCCTTAGGCAGTGTTTCTCAAACTTGGGTCTCCAGCTGTTGTTGTACTACCATCATCCCTGACCACTGGTGCTGCTAGCTAGGGATCATGGGAGTTGTAGTGTAACAATAGCTGAAGACTCAAGTTTGAGAAATACTTAGAGAAATTTGTGGTTACCTCAAAGTTGTAGATCTCCAGAATGGTTTTCTTGTAATGGTTGAGGTTCTCTATTCCCAGATTGGTGACCGTCAGGTTTCCATAGCAAGTCTGGAAGTCTTTCTCCAATGGCCAGTATTGGCCACACTTCCGTCTGCCTCCTTCTTCCAGCCTTGAACACAAGAAAGGGAAGTTGAAGGGCTAACCGATTTAATCAGAAGCCCACACTGAAGAAAGACTCCATGTTTCCTGTGAATGACATCTGCATATCTACCAGGCCAAGTTCAAGCAGTTTGCAGAGGGTCCTTTCCAACTTTACAGTTCAAGGATTTGATGATTCTATGAAATTTGTGTGTGTGCTTTTGAGTAATCCTGGTGTATATTTTGCTCTAGGAGGCTGTTTGGTCATAATCGAGTGTACACTTCTAGAGTTAATGCTAAATACATTGCTTCTGGTCAAGGAGCCACCATGAACATTTCTGTCCTGGGCTTTTTAGCCTTGTCTACCCATGTCCTATGGGACGCGGGTGGCGCTGTGGGTTAAACCACAGAGCCTAGGACTTGCCGATCAGAAGGTCAGCGGTTCGAATCCCCACGACGGGGTGAGCTCCTGTTGCTCGGTCCCTGCTCCTGCCCACCTAGCAGTTCAAAAGCACGTCAAAGTGCAAGTAGATAAATAGGTACCGCTCCGGCGTTTCTGTGCGCTGCTCTGGTTCACCAGAAGCGGCTTAGTCATGCTGGTCACATGACCCAGAAGCTGTACGCTGGCTCCCTTGGCCAGTAAAGCGAGATGAGCGCCAAAACCCCAGAGTCGGTCATGACTGGACCTAATGGTCAGGGGTCCCCTTTACCTTTACCTACCCATGTCCTATCTGAAGCCAAAGGGGCACATTGGTTGCCAGATGTGAATTATTTTCAGCTCTCCCACCCATTACTTAGTTTATTGTAGATTTTGATTCCTGAATGTTTTAAAGCATCCTTTTTTACTGATGACTTTATTGTTTTTTCTCTTTGTAAACCGCTCTGAGGATTTTCTTTCTTTTCTTTTTAACAATCAAGCCATGTATAAACTTCATGAAATAAATAAGTAAGTGGGCACCTGAACCTCTGAGCCAACAAATGGCAGGTGGTCAGTTAGTGGGGCACCTGTGCCTCTCCCAGTTCCAAGGCAGAGTGTAGGTGCAGAAAGAAGGTGTGGCTCTGCCTGAACACTCACCTCGTAGTCATGACTATCACCAACACATTTTGCTCCCACACCATGCGCCAAAAGTCACCATATGTGTTCTCTAACGGCCCTGAAGAGAAGCAGCAGCACACACAGACAGACACAAATTAAGAAGGGAAAGGAACTGAAGGCCTCCTATTTCTCCTCCAAGGAGTTCCAGGTGATGCAGATGTTCTCCCTCCCCTTATTCATCTTCCCAGCAGCCCTGTGAGGTAAACAAGGCTGAGAGAAGATGGCTGGCCCAAGGTCTTCTGGTTGTATGGGGATGCAAACCATGGTTCCCCAGGTCCCATCTAAAGCCACTAGACTTCATTTAAAGGTTTAATGTAAGGATTCATTCTCCCTGGCATTTCCCCTTCAAAGGACTCTCAGCTCATGAAGCTTTGCTGCCAGCCAGAGAGCCCTGGACTGGGCGGAACAACAGCCTGGCTTGCTAAAACCCAGCTTCAGACAACTCCTCAACCCATGGTTAACTTGCTAAATGCATTCCCACCAAATAAGTACCGTAAGATGTGGTGAGAAAACTGCGGCAACAGTCATCGTCTTAGGGGGCTTTTCCAAAGTATTGCAAGAAGCCCATGGGCAAAAGGGTGCCCTGCTGGAATCCTTGAACTCCAGCTCCCATCACCCCCAGCCCACACGACCTATGATGGGTGTTGTAGTCCAGCAACATCTGGAGGCCCGCAGCTTCCCCAACCTCTGGTTCAAGCCTATTGGCCAAGAGAGCTAAAACTGAAGCTCTCACCTTGGGAGGTCCTGGATGGTGATGGGAGAGGGGGGGACCTGTGGCCCTCCAAATGTCACTGGACTACAGCTCTCATCATCCCTGACCGCTGGCCATGTTGGTTTGGTGCTAATGGGAGTTGGAAGTGTTGAATGGTTTATTTAAATATTAAGGTTCATTATTGTTTCACAAGATGTGTATCTCTTTAAAGGCCAGAGTAAATATTATGACCTAGTTTTATAGCTGTGAAGCAGTATAGCAGGGGGTTGGACTCGATGGCCCTTGTGGTCTCTTCCAACTCTATGATTCTATGATTCTAGGTGCTGTTAAGTTGTGTTAATTAAGCTGTGTCAGCAATTGGGTATAGTATATAAAGAGGAGCATGTACCTCTCTCACTACCCTGGTGAATGGGTCATACTTATAGATTTAATGTAAGAGGAGTTTTTGTTTTTGTAATTAAAGCCAAGCAAAATATATTTTTGCGTTTCTTCATTGTTTCCTGAATGTGTGGTCTCCCCAGCACACTTTCTGCAGTGCAATTAATCTGCTAAATATGCAACAGGAAGTTCAACCACATCTGGAGGGCCACATGTTCCCTATCTCTGCATTGAGATGCTGGGGGCACAGCTAGCTCCATTAAGGAGCTGGACAGGGGAGTGGTGGGCTGGGTAGTGCTGCCTGTCCTGGAATACCAGTTACTGGGGATCCCAAGCACACGAGGAAGTGCTGGATCAGCTCCAGGGCCCATCTAACCCAGCACCCTGTTCTCCCAGAATCCTCTGGGAAACCTGCAAGCAGGATTGGAGCACAAGAGCCCTCTCCCCCTCCTGAGGTTTCCAGCAACTGGATCCAAAAACATTATTCCCTCTGGCCAGGGCAGCAGAGCAGAGCACCTCTTCCATGAATTTGTCCAACCCCCTTTTGAAGCCAGCTGGCGAGGGGGTCATCACTGCCTTCTGCAGCAGTAAGTTCCCACAGGTTACCTATGCACTGTATGAAGAAGGACTTTCTTTTACCTGTCCTTTATTTTCTAACATTCAGATTCCTTGGTTGTCTATGAGTGTTACGAGAGAGGAGAGGGGGGAAATTCTCTATTCACTTTCTCTATGCCATGCCTCATTTTATAAGCTTCTCTCGCAACACCTCTTACTGGCCTTTCTTCTAAACTAAGAAGTCCCAAATGCTGCCAGCTTTCCTCATGGTGGAGTCACTCCATCTCATGATCCTTTCACTTGCCCTCTTCTGCATGTCTCCAAACTCCACAATATCCATTTTTAGGTGGCGTGACCAGAACTGTACACAGCAAAGCTCTGAACACCTTGGAGTGGGGGGCAGAACTCACTGGAAAGGCACCCTAGGAAGGTGCAGAGAGGCCTCACCTCAGAAGGGATATTGTAGGGATGGAAAAGGTTCAGCAAAGGGCCGCCAAAAAGATCAAGGAGAATGGAGAAATCCCTTTGAGAAGAAAGATTACATCTGGGACATTTTAGTTCAGGAAAAATTCTGAGCAACGTATACAATGGCAGGTGCATAAGGTTATGCATGGGGAAAGCAGAAAAATAGTTTATTTATCCTAATGTTAGAACTTGGAGGCAGCCAATGAAGCTGAACGATGGAAGCACAGTGCCAAACCATGGAATTCCATGAAATGATGTTGGATTATTGTTTATCTCTTCAAAAATTCTATAAATAAAATTAATAATAAAAAGGAATTCGCTTTCACAAGAGGCTGTGATGGCCCCCAACTTGGGTGGTTTTAAAAGGCGATCAGACAGATTCATGGAAGAGAACAGCAATCAGCTGCTCCTGTCTGCAAAGCCTTCTGCTGCCTCCATGGTCAAACGGAGCAGGCCTCTGCGTGCCGGTTCCTGGGACTCACCAGCCAGGAGAGTGATGTCGCACTCCAGTCCTGCTCCTGAGCTTCCAAGGGGCATCTGGTCGGCCACCATGAGAAGCAGGACACTGGATTAGGCGGGACTTTCGTCTGATCCAGCCAGTCTCTTCTAATTTGAATCTCAGCTTGTGATGGAAAGTGCCACCACTGCTTCCTCTGCAACACGGTCTCTGCAGGAATGCAGTGGCTGCCCGCCCACCCACCCTGCTCCCCTGGCCAGATCACCACCCCAAACACCGATGTGCCCAGGGCCTCCCTACCTTGGGTGCCAATGTATGCATTCCTCTGCTTGTAGCCATCCATGAAACTGGCGTTGATGTAATCTGTCAGCTGGAGAGACGCAACAGGAAAGGTCACCCTGACAGACAGGCCAAAGCAGTGACACCCAAGCAGAGGCACACCATAACACCCTTGGGGGGCGCATGAGTATGTGCAGGGGAGAAAAAGGGGGGGGCAACAGCCCATGGCTTTCCTCCTGCACCACTGCATGACAAAGGCTAAATTGGGTCCCAATTCTACGCAGGAAGGAGAAATGCTCCAGAGGGAGGGTTGGAGGGAAACCCGCAGCGATTTAGGGGGTACCCAGGGAAAGGAGAGGGAGGACGAATTTTGTTGCACCATCTAAAATGCTTTTGCTAGTGGAGCTGCTTGGTTCGAGACAGTCTGTTATCTATGAATACATGAACTGGATTAAAAAGCTGCCTTCTTTCAGGCAGAACCTGGTTGGCCCTGTAACTTGACTCAGACTGGCAGCGGCTGTTGAGGAAGAGAACATCTTTCGTCTCACCTGATGGTTCTTCTATCTGGAGATGCTGGGGATTGAACCTGGGACCTTTTGCATGCAAAGCAGCTGCTCTACCACTAAGCTCTGAGCCCTTGCCCTAAGCTGTTGTTGGTGTAGCACAATATCATCTCTCTGAATGACAGCCCTTCCCCATTAGCTACTTCCTGACTCTGCACACTGCTTCTGGAGGGTTGCCTGGAAATGTAGAACTCATGTAAATGAACACAAGAGCGGTGAGACCTGGCTGAATTCCCCACTCAGTCACAAAGCTCACAAGGCGATCTTGGGCTCATTGCTGTTCACCTGCTTCACCATCCTGACAGAGTTTAATGGAACCAAACACTAAGTAAGCTGTCCAGAATTCCTTGGACAACACAAACGTGGAAGAGAAATGTCTTTAGAAAACAGGGGTGCCATTTCCACAAATGTCATCTGCTCACATTGATTGCAAGCACAGAATTTGTGGGAGGGTTTTTTGGGGGTGGGAAGCATGGCACAAGAACCCCAATTTCTGGCTTGCATTTACTTTGAATAATGATATGCATTTTTCAAACTTTCTGCATGAAGAAACTGACCTCTCTGCTCTGAGTCAGTGCAGACAATAGCACTCTCCCAAACTTGGTGCCCCCAGATGATATTTGGTTCCAGCTCCCATCAGCCCTAGCCAGCAGGACCACTTAGGAAGCATGATGGGAGTTGTAGCCCAGCATCCTTTGAAGGTGGCTTGGAAACTGCAGTTGGTGCAAAAATTGGGGGCCAGGCTGCTCACTGGAGCACAAAATACCAAAATAAATAATAATAATAATAATAATAATAATAATAATAATAATAATAAATTTATTATTTATACCCCACACATCTGGCTGGGTTTCTTCAGCCACTCTGGGCAGCTTCCGACAAAATATTAAACTTTTATTAGTAGTCCATCAAACATTAAAAGCTTTCCTAAACAGGGCTACCTTCAGATGTGTTCTAAAAACCCGGTAGTTGTTTATATCTTTGACATCTGATGGGAGGGTGTTCCACAGGGTGGGTGCCACTACCAAGAAGGCCCCCTGCAACTTGGTTTCTCCCAGTGAGGGAACCGCCAGAAGGCCCTCGGCGCTGGACCTCAGTGTCCGGGCAGAATGATGGGGGTGGAGATGCTCCTTCAACCCAAGCCTGACTGCACTGGCTCCCAATTCAGAGTGCTGGTTTTGACCTATGGAGCCTTCTGCTGCTCATGAACCCAATACCTCCAAGACTGATTCTCCCCCTATGAACTGGCCCAGACCTTGGGATCATTATGCAAGGCCCTTCTTCACCCGCCCCTTTGGCGGGAGGCTGGCACCCCAAGAATAGGCCTTTTCAGTGGTGGCTCCCTGCTTGTGGAATGCTCTCCCTGGGTCAGCTTTTTCTCCAAGTCTTTGGCTCTTTAATAATCTCTGGCCTCCTTTACTTTGTAGGCCGTTTGAATTCTATGTTTTAAAATCAGGATTGACCTTTACTATTGTGCGTTTTATTCATTTAGATTTTGTAAGTTAGTTTGAGTTACCCTTGGGGGAAAAAAGAGTGATCAATAAATATAGCCAATAAATACCAGAGGGAACCAGATTGTGGAAGGCTGAGCTAGACCGACAGTCCGATTCAATACAAGGCAGCTTTGCAGAGCCAAAACTCTCAGCCAGCTTACCTCTGGATAGCTGAATTGCTTGGACAGCTTCACCCTCGTTTGGTCAAGGCACGGCACATCCCCATATCTGTTCTTCTCCTGGTTGAAGGGAGACCTGTGGCAAGCAAGAGCAGGCACAGTGAGTGCAACACAAGGAGATGGGGAACCTGGCCTTGTGGGGCCTCTGGATTAAAGAAGACACACACACACACACACACACAAACTCAGGGACATACAAGGAAGTTGAGTGTTGGAAGATTTAGGACAGATAAAAGGGAAGTCCTTCCTCAGGCAAGAGGCAGTGGAGGCCATCTGTCTAGGCAGCTTTAAAAGAGGATTTGACAAATCCTTGGAGGAGAGGCTATTGGGGGCCACAGTGGCTCTGCCCCGCCTCCGCAAGGCTTCTCAATGGCAGTTGCTGAAGACCACAGGAGGGGAGGGCTGCTCTTGGGCTCAAATCCTGCTTGTGGGTTTCCCCCAGAGAGGCATCTGGCTGGACAGTGTGAGAACAGGAGGCTGGACGTGATGGGCCGTGGAGCTGAACCGACAGGCTCCTCTTATGTTCTTCAATATGGATCTGTTGGAGAGCTTAATTCCTGTGCACATTGCCGCATGGGATAAATTTCCCCAGTGTACCTGAAAAATGACAGGATACACCCTGACACTGACCACAGTCAAGAGCTGGTTTGATTGTTCTCTGAGCCAACCACCTGGTGCTCTGCAGGCCACAAACAAGGCTACAAGTGAAGACCTAAGAAATGTTGCAGAAATTGGATGAAACTGGACATTGGGTGGGGCGAGGAAAGGGGAGTTTCTCTTCCCAAGACTGCGGAATCCTATGGGTGCTCCCCGGCAAAGGGCGCCAGGAGCAATCACCCTCCCCCTTCTGCCACACCTCTTGCCCCCAGTGCCACACTTGAACCCTTACAAGGAGCAGGCAAATGTTCCTGCCGGGCTCCTGCGCCGGATGCCTTCGTACTCCTCATAGATGCCCCGCTTCTGCTTCTGGGTGACGTGCTCCAGCACCTCCTGCACCGTCATGGCCTTTGGCCCCGGCGTGTGCACCGAGCCGTTGTCCCGGGGTGATGCCAGTGGCACCAGAATCAGCTCATCAAGGGGGTCCGGGTGGCCGTTCTGCTGTGGGAGGAACCTGCAGTTCCAGCTGAGGGGATCTAGTTTGAGGGATCCGCCCAGGTACTCGGGGAGACACTCTTGGGGCAGGTGCTCCTTCAGCTCAGACATCTTCACCATCTGGACCTACAAGAGAGGGGGCAGGTAGAAAGGGAGGCACAGCAAAACATGAACCCTTCGCTGCACTCTGCGTGGGGCTGCCCTGGAAGGCGAGTTGGACACAACTAAACAACAACAAAATGCAGCAGTCAGGTGATGGCATTGCTTGCCAGTTTGTTTCCAGGCCCAATTCAAGGTGCTCAGGTGGGTGTTTAAAGCCATAAATTACTCAGCCCCCCTGCCCCCCCGCATACCTGGAAACTGCCTCCTCCCCCACAAAACCTCCTACAAGGTGCTGAGATTGACAGAGGGGGCCCTTCTAGTTGTTTCCTCATCCTCACAGGCACGGTGGGGAGGGGAGACTGGAAGAGGGACTTCTCTGAGGTGGCCCCTAAGTTGTGGGAGACCCTTCCCACAGAGGTGCACCTGGCACCTTCATTACATACCGCATTTTTCGCTCCATGAGACAAACTTTTTCCCTCCTAAAAAGTAAGGGGAAATGTGTGTGCGTCTTATGGAGCGAATGCAGGCAGGAGGCTCTGTTCAGTGCTCCCTTTAAAGAGCCGCGTGGAGCGTTTGTTTAAAAGCCCCCAAGATCCACACACACGCGCAGGGTGGCTCTTTAAAGGGAGTGTGGCTCTTGGGGGCTTTTCCCTGAGGAGGGAGAAGGGACTGACAGGCTGTCCTCTGTCCCTTCCCACACCTCCCGGAAAAGCCAGCAAGAGCCGCTGCCAGGCTCTGCTCAGCGCTTCCTTGTAAGGGCTCCCTTTCGTCCCTCATCCCGCTTTGCTGGGAAGCCAGCAGAAGAGGCGCTGCAGCGCTCTTGCTCTTGCTCTGCTGGCTTCTCAGCGAAGCGGGAGGAGGGACGGAAGGGTTTAAAGCAAGAAAAGCGAGAGCTTTGCGCAGAATATATTTTTTTCTTGCTTTCCCCCTCTAAAAACTAGGTGCGTCTTATGGAGCGAAAAATACGGTAGCTTCCGGCGAACACTGAAGATGCACCTCTTTATCTTGGCTTGTGACACTTGAGGTGCATATTTTTGGATCCCACCTTATTTCAGCTATTGCAAGTTGTTTTAAACTGTTTTTAATACTGTGTTTTGATTGTTGCAACTTGCCCTAGGAGCTTAAGGGAAAGGGCGGACAATAACTAATAACAACAGTAATAGTAACAACAGTAGCAGTAGGAAGAAGGAGGAGGAGGAGGAGCAGCACGATGGAGATGGTGAACGGTGGAGGCCCACTCACCCTTTCCCGGAGTTTCTCTTTAAGCAGCAGGCTGATGATGGAGTATGGCACTCGGAACCACATAGGAGCACCCACAATGAATACCTTCTTGAGACGGGCTGGGAAGGCTCCCTGAGAAGAGGCAGGGAAGAACAGTTTGGAGGAGGAAATTTATGTTTCTGAATTGCTGTCAGCATTATCCATGACAGGGAGCCACTTGACGCACACACGAGGTTTCTGGAGAAGCCTATTGATGGCTATGGCCCAACAGCTCTGCCCTGCCTGACCTATAGACAGAGAAAGCGATGCCTGTGAGGGACCAGCTGCTGAGCATCGCAAGGGGACAGAATTGTGATCTTGCTCTCCAGCCCTGCTTGCGGACTTCCCCCAGAGAGGCATCTGGCTGGCCACTGGATGGGCCACAGGGACCTGATCCAGCAGGTGCTTCTTATGAGGCAGAGGCCAATTGTTTATGTTTTTTTCCAGAGTCAGCCCAAGACATCTGGCTGCCTCAGGCAAAGGACCAAATCAAATCTGCCTGCCATGTGCAGAATGAGAATCTGAAATTTACCTCAGGTGTATCCTCTAGCACACCTGAGGGGAGCAGGCCGCTTTACCGAGGGCAGGGGGCCAACAAGCCGCACCACCATACGCCTCTGTCTTCCCAAGGAGATGGATTGCTGGGGGCTCAGCTGCTCCCCTCCAGCAGCTGCTGCCTGAAGTGTCGAAGGCTCACTCAGCCTTATTGAAGACTATAACTCACTCTAGTCTGACTTGAGAGTAAGCCCACTGAAATTAATGGGCACAACTTAGTCCCCTTAACTGCAATCGGTCTACCCTGAGAAGAACTTAGTTGGAGACAGCCATATAACATTTCAGCCAACACCTCAAAGTGCTGGTCCAATAGGAAGGATTTCCACAGGTGTCTCTGAAAGTCGGGCAACTGGCTTGAGCGCCAGCAGCCAAACGGGAATCAATCTGGATTGTGAGCAAGACAGCAACACCCTCTTGCCAACCTTTTTGCTTTCTCCTCCTGTGGCCAACAGAGGGAAGACCCAAGTATATGCAAAGATGGCAAAGTGAGGTTTCAGGGCTCCACAGAAGATGAAGAGAAACCTGGAAGGCAATTTTGCAGTCCCTTTGCAACTCCTCCCTCCCTGGCAAACCAACAAGAGAATTTTGTTGGGGGGAGGTTGTGGTTATTGTCACTGCTTTACATGTAGAGAAAAGTTCCCTCCCCAACAGCATTTCCAGGTGTGGCCGGGAGAGAGTCCAGTCTGAAACCCTGGAAAGCTGCTGTCGGTCAGTGTAGGCAATACTGAGCTAGATGGAACAATGGTTTGACTCAGTAAAAGGCCGTTGCTCTTTGCATTTTTGTTGTGAAACAATGAACTAAATAAAAAGGAGTCCTAACAGGGGGTGGGGAGAGAACACATTTCCGCTGCACGGTCTTCCTATTCGGGCTTAAGGGACAGAGAGAGTTTCCATGACATAAGCTCCGATTTCGAACAAGCACTCCACTGCTCCAGGGTAATTAACTGACTCACTTTTAATTGGATGAACACATTTATGGAACCTCAAATGCTCTTTTTTATTTATATTAGTTTAATTTTGTTTTTTGTTTTTTAAAAAAGGTCAATTAAATAGAGGAAATGGTTGCTTCTGACTTTTCTGGGAAATGGCTTCAAATGCCTTGACTGAACCGCAGGGACTGCTGTCATCCTGTCCAAGGTGATGACCTCTTTGGTTCTGCATTTGTGTTCCATCTCTGTGATTTGCCAATTCACCAGCATCTCATCAGCCAGTTGGTGGATTGAGTTCCATGTTAGCCCCACTCAGACTAGACCCATTTAAAAATGACAGGCATGACTGTTCAATAGGCCTAGTCTGGGTACAGCCTTTATTGGATACATCCCCAGTGCTTTAGGTCTTAGTGGATAAACTTGCTTAAATTAAGTACAGTGGTACCTTGGTTCTCGAACTTAATCCATTCCGAAGTCCATCCGACTCCGAAAATGGTTTGAAAACCAAGATGAGGCTTCCGATTGACTGCAGGAGCTTCCTGCACTCAATCGGAAGCCACGGAAGCCACATTGGACGCTCGGCTTCTGAAAAACGTTCACAAACCAGAGCACTCACTTCCGAGTTTGTGGTGTTCGGGAGCCGATTTGTTTAGGAGCCTAGCTGTTCGACTACCAAGGTACCATTGTATGTCCCTTTCTCCAGTTTATGAGGGACCATCCAAAAGGCATGACTGCATATCTTGGTATTCCAGTGCAGGTGAAAACATCCTCTGCACCACACTGATGTCACTGGGCAAGAGAGGAGAGCTCTCCCACTTCAAAAGTGAAATACCAACAGGATTCTTTTTAAAAAAAGTAGACACCTTCTAAGAGTAACATGCTTAAGAGTGTAAAGGGGGGGAAATCAACAAGGAAACGTTGCACCATTTGGGACTTTTTAGTCCCAAGAGAAAAGGGAGGTAAGGGAGGCAACATGAGAGAAGTCTATAAAAAGATCAATGACAGGGAGAAAGAGCAGAGAGAAAAGTTTTTCTCCCTCTCCCATAACATTAAAACATGTGGACAGCCAATACATCTTAAGGTTGGAAGATTCAGGGGGCATTAAAAAAGAACTTGGGACAGCTTTAAAAAAGTATTAGACCCATTCATGGAGAAGCAGGCTCTCAATGGCTACTAGCCAGGAGGGTTCTGCTCCTTCTCCTGGCCAGAGGGAATAAAGCTTGTGAATGCTGGTTGCTGGAGACCACAGGCGGGGAGGGGGCTCTTGGGCCTGGGTCCTGCTTGTGCGTTTCCTGCAGCCATCTGATGGCTGCTGTGGGAACAAGATGCTAGACGGGATGGGCCATGGGCCTCATCCAGAAGGCTCTCCTTATGTTCTTAATCATACAGAATCTTTGATACCTTACCTCTTGGCATAGCTGTCAACCATCCCTTATTTGGCAGGAAACTCCCTTATCCCAGTGCCGTGTCCCGCTGCTGTCCCTTATTTATGATGTCCCTTAAATTTCCCGGGTTTCAAAGGAAGCAGCTCCTCTCCCTCTCTCCCTCCCTGCTGGCCAGGGAGGAGGGAGGCTCCAACTGTGTTGCTTGGCTGCTCGGCTCACCCCCCTCCAGCCTCCTCTCACCAGCCTCGGCCCCCGGGAGCCCCTCCCCACCGAGACTGGTGGGAGCCTCGGGCCCTTCCGCTGTCATCCTCCTCGCAGCCGCCAAACTGAGCGTCTCTGCCTGGGGCCTCCCCTCTGCCTGTCGCCGCCACCGCTCCCGCTAGGCCGTACTGCAGCTGCGCCATCAAAGGACCCGGATGAGATGGGCAGCCTGGTGCGCCCTATGAATTGCTGAGGAGCCTTGAAAGGAGAGCGAGGGCAACCATAGAGAAAGCAGTTCAGAGAGAGGAGGAGGAGGAGGAGGAGGAGGCGGAGGCGGAGGCGGAGGCGCGGGCAGGTGTTCCAAGGGCTAACCATAGAGGGGGAAAGCAGAGGAAGGACCGCAAGCGCTTCTCCCATAGATTTGTAGTGGTAGACTAGCATAGATGGTCTGATCTGCGGGTTTACTTCGGGCGCTATTTCCCCCACCTTCCTCCTGCCCCGCCTGATGGAACTGAGAGCTGCAGATGGAGCACGAGAGAAAAGATACAGAACTGCAGCAGCATCTTCGTAGCTTGGACTTTGTTTTGTGCAAAAAGTGGTTGCTGCTTGTAGTTATTTAATTGCAGTGTTTCATCAGCTGGTGTCTTGAGCAGCAACCTCTGGAAACGAAGGGCTAAAAACCGGCGCTGCTCTCCAAAATTATCTTGCCCCTTTTAACTTTGTATTTCAACTGGTTGACTAAAATCCCTTATTTTGGCTGCTGGTCCCTTATTTTCAAATCTGTAAGTTGACAGCTATGCCTCTTGGCTGCTACTATTATGGCTCTTCCTGCCACCATTATCCACATTTATAGCCCACCTTTACTCTAAAGAACTGATGGTGGCACACCAGGTTCCCTGCCCCTCCCAACAACCCTGTGAGGTAGGTTAGGCTGTGAGGCTGCGACTGCCCCAAGGTCACCCAGGGAGCTCTCTGATCGAGCAGGTATTTGAACCCTGGTCCCCCAGGTCTTTATCCAATGGTCTAACCACTAGACATGCTGGCTACTGACAGAAGGACCACCCGACTCCCAGGCCCATCACCCTTTAAGCCTTTAAGAGCAGCATCACAGCCTTCCTCCAGCTGCTTCCCCCTCCCAAGGTAGGCAAGGGGGAGGCCAGAGACAAGGTCAGTCCGGCCCATCCGGGTGGCCTCCAGTTGCTGTTGGACCACAGCTCCCATCAGCCACATCCAGCATGACCACTGCAAAGGCTGATGGGACTTATAGTGCAACACCGTCTGGAGGGACACCACAAGCCACAAGCTCGTGGCTACTTTGCCATCTTTCCGAGCCAAGAGCCACCTTGACGGCTACCCCATTTATTTACTCCGTAAAATGCCCCATTCTTGATGCCTCCCCTCATGCCATAATGTTAGCCAAACCAAGGGGAACCTCCGCAATGAGAGGGAGGACAGAACTCCAAGTGACTCCAGGATCCATCCAGGTCTCTGTAGCCGACAGGCCTTGGCCTCCTTCCCACAGCCCTTGATAAGCAATTGCTTAAGGCTTCTGGGCAGGGAGCCAGCGAGAATGAGAGAGGGGAAAGGGGGGTGACAGAAAGAGAAGGGGGGCAGGACAGAGAGAGAGAGAAAAAGGGGTCCTGCCTACTGGGGTGGGTGACCCAGTCCACCACTGGTTTCATCCCTGCCCATAGCCAGCACACAGCCGCTGGTAGGGATCAACCCCACAGGAGTGCAGCCCTTGGCAGAAACAGAGGTTGCCCCCCCCCCCGACACCAATGGCCTTTCCTTTTACCTTCAGAAGGTTCAGGATTTTCTTACTGAGATCCAGCTCAAAGTTGGTATAGTGGGAGCCTGCCATGTCATATATAAATACCAGGCCATTTCGCTGAGTTTCGAAGCTGGCAGGGGGTAGAAAAGAGAAAGTGTGCACAAATTAGGACTTTGGTAACAGCCCAACAGCATATCCATTGTGTCGGAATGAGGACAAAAATGGAAAAATCAGCAGAACCTGAGATGTTTAGGATGCTGCTTATAGGTTTCTAAAATGACACCTGGTGAATAGGGAGATGTTCTCCCACTCTCATTCCATGAGAGCTCAGGGTCCTCCCATGTTTGGCAGAGAGAAAAGGAAGTATTTCTGCAAACAGCCCAGGATTAATTGATAGGAATCTTCATTGCCAGAGGTTAAGGTGAGGGCAACCAACTCAGAAGGCTTTAAAAGGAGGTAAGACCAATCCATGAAGGAGGAGAGGTCTGTCATTGGCCATTAAGTCATGATTACTACATTGAACCTCCAGGATCAGAGGCAGCAGATGACTGAATACCCTTTGGAGGAAAGTAACAGGGAGAGATCGCTGATGAATCATCTCCTGCTTGTGGCCTTCGCAAGAAGCATCTTGTTGGCCACCATGAGAGACAGGACAAGATGGGCTTTTGGTCCTTGTGATCCTTGAGATCATAAACCAGTCAATGTTAAGTATTTTAATTTAACAGGATAAAGTATGTGCTTAACTATTTGACTGAAGTTATCCAGAATTAACATGCACTCTTCTTCATGACAGAAGTTTATAAAATTATGCATTGCAAGGAGAAAGGGATGGAGGAAAGTTTTTCTCTCTCTCTCTCTTATAACACTGAAATTTGTGGGCTTCCAGCTGAATGTTGGGAGATTCAGGGCAGATAGAAGAAAGTCCTTCTTCACACAGCACAGAGCTGAACTATGGAACTCCCTCCTGCAGGGGGCAGTGATGGCCACCAAGGATTAGACAGCTTCATGGAGGAGAGGACTCTCTGTGGTTACGAGCCCTGAGGGCTCTGCTCTGCCTCCACAACTGAAGGCAGTAAGCTCTTCTGAAGAGCCGTTGCAGCCGAAGGAAGGGAGAGGACTCTTGCACTCAGGTCCTCTTTACAGTTTTCCCAGGGGCATCTGTTTGGCCCCTGTGAGAACAGGACGCTGGACTAGATGGGCCACTGGCCAGATCCACAAGGCTTTGCTTGTATTCTTATATGGATCTCATTCTGGGTCAGATGAGAAGGCAACGCTGCAAAAAAGCTGCACACAGGATGCCAAAGGGGAAAACACACACATTATTGAAGTGCGGTCATCTGAAAGAAGCAAACCCCACAGGGATGGAAAGTCTTCTACTCACCTCTCCACAGCTCTGTCCAGCAAGTAGAAGAGCGCTTGGAGGACCACATGTTGGATGCTTTTGTTGGGATGGTGCAACTTGGCAGTGAAGAGGGCAATCGATGCTCCAGTGGGATCTCGTACGCTCTGCAAAAATGCCAGAGATAAAAGATCAGCAATGAAGCAGAAGAGGGGCAGATCAGTCTCTGCAGAGGCATAAAAAGTCAAAATCCGTTCAAAGCCACTTTGGAATTCTGGCTGTTGCATGACCAAATCCTAGAATCCTAGAACTATAGAGTGGGAAGGAACCATGAGGGTCATCTAGTCCACCCCCTGCAATGCCCAACATGGGGCTGGAACCTGTGGCTGAGATTAAAGAGTCTCATGCTCTACCAACTGAGCTATCCCAGCAGAAGCCCGTGGTTCCCAGGGGGGTCCCATCCAGGTACTAAACAGGCCTGACCTTGCTTAGCTTTCGGATCAGATGATATTGCGCATGTTTTCTACCTGATGGCATGGAACGTTGAGGCAAAGCAGGGGTTGCCAGCCAACCTCACAGGGTTGCTGCAAGGATAAAAAATGTCGACAGGCAGAAGTGATCTACAGGGCCTGAACCTCCTTGGAGGAAAACAAAGGAGATAAACCTAATAAAACAAACAAGCAGCTCTGAGGGCCAAAGTAATTATGACGCTGTTGATTCACGAATAGGATGCGATGCGGGGAAAGCAGAGTGAAACTCCAGACAGATAAAAGGAAGTCCTTCTTCACACAATGCAGAGTTCAAGGATGGAACTCCCTCCCTCCAGAAGCAGGGATAGCCATCAGCTAAGATTGGACCAATTCATGGAGATGGAGGAGGTGGCTATCAAGGGCTACCAGCCAGGATGGCTCTGCTCTGCCTCCACAGTTGGAGACAGCAGCACTTCTGAAGAGCAGTTGTTGGAAACTACAAGAAGGGAGAGGGCTCCTGTGCTTGGATCCTGCTTGCGGGCTTCTCATAACTGGCACCCAGTTGGCCACTGTGGGAACAGGATGCTGGACTAGATGGGCCACTGGGTGACTCAGCAGGCTCCCAGTGTTTCTCAAACTTGGATCCTCAGCTAGCTAGGAATGATGGGAGTTGTAGTTCAACAACAGCTAAGGACCCAAGTTTAATAAGAAGCACTGTTATAAACAATCTGCCCTCCCACATTTGTGGATGCTGTGATTACTAAAACACAACATGGGTTCCTCAGAAGCAAGTCATGCTAAACAAATCTCATTTCTTTTTCTGATGGAGTTACAAGCTTGGTGGATCAGGGGAATTTGGTGGACATAGTGTAACTTGACTTCAGTAACGTTTTTGACAAAGTCCCCATGATACTCTTGCAAGGGAGCTGGTAAAATGTGGGTTGAACAAGATAACAGTTAGGTAGATTTGTGACTTGTTGACTGACCAAACCCAAAGAGTAAAAGAGTACTCATTAATGGTTCTTCATCATCCTGGAAAAAAGTGACAAGTGGGGTACCACAGTGTTGTGTCCCAGGCTCATTGTTGTTCAATGACTTGGACGAAGGAATTGAAGGGATGCTCATCAAATTTGCAGAAGACACCAATCTGGGAAGGGTAGCTGATGCCACAAAAGACAGAATCAGGAATCAAGATGACCTTAACAGATTGGAGAACTGAGCACAAGCTAACAAAATGAATTTCAACAGGGAGAAATGTAAGGTTCTGCACTTAGGCAGGAAGAACCAGATGCACAAGTATAAGATGGGGGGGACACCTGGTTTACTAGTAGTACATGTGAAATGCATCTAGGGGTCTTGGTGGACCACAAGCTTAATATAAGTCAACAGTGTGATGCAGCAGCAAACAAGTTACCGTATTTTTCGCCCTATAGGACGCACTTTTTCCCCTCCAAAAATGAAGGGGAAATCTGGGTGCGTCCTATGGGGCGAATGCAGGCTTTCGCTGAAGCTTGGAGAGTGAGAGGGGTCGGTGCGCACCAACCCCTCTCGCTGTCCAGGCTTCAGGAAGACATCCGCAGCCTAGGCAGCCCTGCGGGAGTTCCCGCAGGGCTGTCTATTTTTTTTTTAAATGATATTTATTAAAGTTTCAAAGAAAAGATTACATAGATAAAAAGAAAAGAAAAATAAAAAAATAAAAAAATACAAATTACAGAAAAAAGATAAAAAAACACTTTAAAAACACATCGATCTTTCCATACCTTACATTTCATTTCCTTACTTCCCTGACTTCCTCACACCTCCCCTTTTTGTATTCCCGTTTACAAAACCCTTTCAGCAAATCCTTACCCTCTTTCATTTATCTTTACTCTGTATCTTAACCTATTATAACTATATATTTTCATCCATATAACTATCAATATTTACATATTCTTATTAACCTTATTACCAAAACCACTTATTTTCAGTCCAACATCATTTTAACATTCATTAATTTTACAGTATTTCTGCAAATAGTCTTTAAACTTCTTCCAATCTTCTTCCACCAGCTCTTCTCCCTGGTCTCGGATTCTGCCAGTCATTTCCGCCATTTCCATATAGTCCATCACCTTCATCTGCCATTCTTCCAAAGTGGGTAAATCTTGTGTCTTCCAATACTTTGCAATAAGTATTCTTGCTGCTGTTGTAGCATACATAAAAAAGTTCTATCCTTCTTTGGCACCAATTGGCCGACTATACCCAAGAGGAAGGCCTCTGGTTTCTTCAGGAAGGTAAATTTAAATACCTTTTTCATTTCATTATAGATCATCTCCCAGAACGCCTTGATCTTTGGGCACGTCCACCAAAGGTGAAAGAATGTACCTTCAGTTTCTTTACATTTCCAACATTTATTATCGGGCAAATGATAGATTTTTGCAAGCTTGACTGGTGTCATGTACCACCTATAAATCATTTTCATAATATTCTCTTTTAGGGCATTACATGCCGTAAATTTTATACCTGTGGTCCACAACTGTTCCCAGTCAGCAAACATAATGTTATGTCCAACGTCCTGTGCCCATTTAATCATAGCAGATTTAACCGTCTCGTCCTGAGTGTTCCATTTTAACAGCAAGTTATACATTCTTGAAAGTATCTTTGTTTTAGGATCTAACAGTTCTGTTTCCAACTTTGATTTTTCCACCTGGAAGCCAACCCGCAGGGCTGTCTAGGCTGCGGATAGCAGCTTGCTTCCTGGAGCGCCGGGCGCACTGAAAGCAGAGCGCCCGGTGCTTCGGGAACACATCCACAGCGGATAGCAGCCTGTCGCCCGGCGCAAGGGGCGCCCTGAAGCAGAGCGCCCCTCGCGCCAGGCAGACATCCGCAGCGTGGGGAGCCGCAGGGCTCCCCACGCTGCTGATAGCAGCCTGTCGCCCGGCGCAAGGGGCGCCCTGAAGCAGAGCGTCGCCATCCCGCTGTTCCTCGACCTGGTTCGGTTTCCCCGACCTGGTTTTGGGGAGGAAATAAAGGAAAAATTTTTTTCCTTTATTTCCCCCCCAAAAAACTAGGTGCGTCCTATGGGACGGAGCATCCTATGGGACGAAAAATACGGTAATGCTATTCTGAATCAACAGAAGGAAGTCTAGTGTTCAGATCAAGGGAAGTCAAATTCTTGCTCTATTCTGCCTTACTCAGACCACACTTGGAATACATACTATGTCCATTTCTGGGCACCACAATTTAAGAAGGGTGTTGACAAGCTGGAAGGTGTGCAAAGGAGGGCAACCAAGATGATGAAGGGTCTGGAGACGAAGCCTTATGAGGAGCAGTTGAAGGAGCTGGGTATGTTTAGCCTGGAAAAGAGGAAACTAAGAGGAGATATGATAACCATCTTCAAATATCTTAAGGGCTGTCATGCAGAAGATGGAACAAGCTTGTTTTCTCCTGCTCTGGAGGGTAGGACTCGAACCCATGGCTTCAAGTTACAAGAAAGGAGATTCTGACTCAACATCAGGAAGAACTTTCTGATGGTAAGAGCTGTTCAACAGTAGGATGGACACTCTTGGGAGGTGGTGGACTCTCCTTCCTTGGAGTTTTTCAAGCAGAGGTTGGATGGCCATCTGTCATGGATGCTTCAGCTGTAATTCCTGCATTGCAGGGGGTTGGACTAGATGACCCTTGGGGTCCCTTCCAACTCTACAATTTTATGATTCTATGATCTAAAACCACACTATGGAGACATGTGTCCCCTGCCTCCGCAAACAGGAAGCCCAACTTCCACAGTTATCCACAGCTCTGTCTGCCCAAGCAAAGCACCTTACTCACCAGGATGGTGAACTTTCCACTAAGCAGCTCTGAGCGGAGTGGTTCCTCATGAGGCTTCAGCTTCACGATCCCTTCCTTCAGCCTGGTTTCCTAGAAGGAAAGAAAACACTCTGTTATTGTCTGCAACCAAGGTAGGGATCCTTCGTCCGCTCAGACCAGTAGCCCTCTGGGTGGGGCTGAGTGGAGCTGGAGTCCAGCAGCACCTGCTGAAAACATTTTTGTTTAGACAGGCCTCCCCAGATGCTTTGAAATGCTGATAGAAATTTTAATCTTTTTTAGTAGAGGCAACTCCCCACATGTTCTGGCACATAAGTGAAAATCACGTAAGTGGAAGCACCCTCTAGATACCCTTTAAATCAGGGGTCAGCAACCTTTTTCAGCAGGGGGCCGGTCCACCATCCCTCAGACCATGTGGGGGGCCGGACTATATTTTTTTGGGGGGGTGGATATGAACGAATTCCTATGCCCCACAAATAACCCAGAGATGCATTTTAAATAAAAGGACACATTCTACTCATGTAAAAACACGCTGATTCCTGGACTGTTCGCAGGCCGGATTGAGAAGGCGATTGGGCCACATCTGGCCCACGGGCCTCAGGTTGCCTACCCCTGCTTTAAATGCACTCTCTGCAAGCCAGATTAAAAATATTGTACCCAAAATAACCGCAATTGGAACTGAAGCTCTGGGACGTGAAAAGTGGCAGCTGCCAGGCAACCCTTCACATCAGCTGTTAGGCAGGGAGGCTGAGCAGCCTCCACAAAGCCCTCTCCTCCGCCCTCCCTGAAGTCCCTTTGGGCTCCTGGAAGGGTCTCCTCATGAGCCATGAGGTCTCTCCAGCTCTCTCCCTCCATTTCTGGGGAGGAATTGATCCCCTTACCCTGTAGGAATGGAAGAGCTCGATCGCTCGCAGGACATCGAATTTCCTGGCCATGAGGAATTTGACTGCCACATTCCAAGAGAGGGGAGACACATTGTATTGGACTGTCCACTTGTTAATCTCTTCAAGGAATTGCTTGGTTGCCTGTTCCGGAGAGAAGAGAAAAGAAAAAGACACCGTTAATTAAAATCATCATCACGGTCCTTCATGCTGAGGTCCCAGGGCAAGCTACAACAATTTTTTAAAAAAATGTGTTGTTAGTTTTAAAAATAAAACAAAACAAGTACAAAACAAAACAAAACAAAACGCAATGATCAACAAAAGGCAATCCAAAATCAACACTCATTACAAAAAAAGAAAAGATTGAATTCACACATCACAAATTCCGACATGACTTCCAGTCCCCCCATTGTGGTTCCTAAATTACATTACAACTGCACACTTAACTTTATCTCTCATAGGTTGTTCAGTTGTGTTAATTTTGTAAAATTCTCTTATTTCATGCAGAAGTCAATTCAGGCCTGCGAAATAATTTAGATTATTACACTTATTATTACAGATTTCTTGTAGGTATTCTCTGTAAATATTCCACTCTTTATTAAATATTTGATCGGTATGGTCTCGGAATCTTGCTAGCTCTGCATATTCTAACATTTTATTATGCCAGTCTAATTTTGAGGGAGTAGAATCTCCTTTCCATACCTTAGCAACCAGAATTCTTGCTGCTGCTACTGCAAAAATAATTTTTTTTCCTTACCCTTATTGGAATTTCATTGCTCATTATAGCTAACAGGAAGGCTTCAGGCTTCTTAGGAAAGGAACATTTAAACATTTTTAAAAGTTAGTTATATATAGTTCCCCAAAATTCGGTTTTTTTTGCAGTTCCACCACATGTGGGTCATAGTGCCTCCAGCAGATGTTTGACCTAGATTTATACATTTTGTCCAGTTTTACAGGTGTTAAGTACAATCTGTAGAGCATTTTCATGAAATTCTCTTTCTCCCTCCACAACCTTTCCCATGATTCCATTTGGATGTTGTAGCCAAAATCTCTGGTCCATTGTACCTTAACAGATTTTACTTCTTCCTCTTTGACCTCCCAGTCAAGGAGAAATCTGTACATTTTAGAGAGCGACTTTTTGTGTGTTTGTATTAGGTCTTTCTCAAGTCTTGAAATTTCTGTGGAGAAGCCTTTCACAAAATATAAAGCAAAGGAAAGCGTGGAAATATAGGCTGTTGGACCTTTTAAAATATGCCCTTGTGAGTTCCTTCCAAAGTTTTCCTCTTCCCCCAGCACATAAAAAGACCACACATGGCAAGTTATGTGTGGAAAAAGTTGCACAGGCAGTAAAACCTACTTAGTTACAGAGCAGTCAAAGTTCCTAAAGTATTGGTATAGGAACTCAAGAGTGGCTTCTGAGAGCCATGTGGTCTGAGCTGAAGCAAGCAGCTGAGCCTCTTCACACAATGAGCTTCTCAGGTAATAATAATAATAATAATAATTTTTATTTATACCCCGCCCTCCCCAGCCAAGGGCGGCTAACAAGCAATAATAAAAACAAGTTGAATGAATGAAGGTAGACTGAAAGGGGAGCAAAGGTTTAATTACCTAGTTCCTCCAGAGGCAAGCTCACTGCCTTGCCCCCACGACTGACGGGGCCGGGGCCACACAGTGTCAGTATGCTGTGTGTGCATGCCGCAGGGCATGCTGACGTGTTGTGAGAATGCCTCGTGGCTAGCGCACGTGATGTGACCACACCTTGTGGCATGTGCACATGGCCACTGGGAAATTTTGAGGGGCCCCGGCTCCCTCCTTGAAAATCGAGGGGGGCCTCAATCCCCCCAGATGGTGCACCTGTCCCAAGGCGAGGGAAAGTGGACTTAGCTGAGCTTGGCAGGACAGCTTACTCGATGGTATTAACCCCTTCATGCATTAATTAGACTTAAGTATGTTGGTTATATGCTGCAGATTATCCCCCACAATTCGCACCAGGCATTCCTTGAAAATACTTTGTTTAAAAGCAACCAGCAGCTTAAAAAGCTTAAGGCTTAAAGAAGAAAACCCACAGCTCCCAGAGCTTTCCTGTTATCTGTGCATCCTGCAAACACAGAAACCTTTCATTAAGGTCTTGGCAGGTGAACATGAAGGCTAAATGGAACCTTTCCATTCCAGCTGGTCATTCAAATGCTCTCTCTGTAGCCAGCTTTCTAGTTTTCTTTTCTCCCCCTGCCCTCCTCCCTCCCCAACCCCATTTCCTTTTGTGTTCTGTCTTGTATACTTTAAGCCTGAAGGCAGTAGCCATCTTACCAACACCTATATGCCGCTGCACTGGGGGCCCTTTTTATGGGGGTTGCTGAGAAGAGGGCTTGACTGTTTGACTTGTGTGCAAAATGATTTATTTCATTTATTTCCTGCCTTTCCTCCAATGAACTCGACAATATACATGGTCCTTCTTCCACAACAGCCCTGCAGTGCAGCTTAGATTGAGAGATGGTGAGCAGCCCAAGGTCACCCCAGTAAACTTCAGGGCTGAGCATGTATCTGAATCTGGATCCCCTCCCAGTCCCAGTTAAGCACAGAACCACTGTTGGGAGAGCCAGTACCAAAAGGTTGTTGCATCCAAAAAAAATTATGAGCTTCCTGCAGGCAATTGACCGGCCACTGTGGAAAGCAGGAAGGTGGTCAAAGTGGCTCTTGTTATGTGCTGGCATGAAAACACAGGGAACTTCCAACAAAAGATCTTCAGCCAGTCAAAACAGAAGTCTAATGTCTGGATCAAAGGAAGTAACAGTACTGTTCTATTCTGTATTGGTCTGACAATACTGGGAGTCCTGTGTCCAATTCTGGGCACCACAATTTAAGAAGGATGTTGACAAATCGGAACATGTGCAGAGGGCAGCCAAGATGATCAGGGGTCTGGAAACCAAGCCTTATGAAGAATGGTTGAGAGAGCTGGAGATGTTTAGTTCGGAAAAGAGGAGACTGAGAGGAGATATGATAGCCATCTTCCAATATCTGAAGGGCTACCACACGAAAGAGGAACAAGCTTGTTTTCTCCTGCTCTGGAGGGTAGGACTCAAACCAATGTCTTCAAGTTACAAGAAAGGAGATTCTGACTAAACATCAGACTAAACATCAGACTAAACAACTTTCTGACAGTAAGAGCTGTTAGGCAGTGGAACACTCTCCCTTGGGAGGTGGTGGACTAAGCAGAGGTTGGGTGGCCATCTGTCAGGGATGCTTTAGCTGAGTTTCCTGCATTGCAGGGGGTTGGACTAGATGACCCTTGGCAGGGTGGATAAAAATCAATGATATATATATATATATATATATATATATATATATATATATATTATTTTAAAAAATCACATTTTTTAATTTAAATAGGATTTTTAAAATAAAATGCTTTTGGAGGGAAAATCTTTCTAAGGATAGTTTTCTATTTAAGTTACATTATAGTCCTCATCAGGAAATAAGGATTTGCTTTAAGTTTTTCATGTGTGCTAAAATTCAGTCTAAGGTGTGTGTTTTTAAAAAAAATCATTTAACCACATCAGTTAACAAACATTGATACATATGCTATAATGTTATTGTTTTATTTAAATAAATTGTTTAAATTGTTATTAAGGAAATGATTGTTTTTCTCCTTCCAATAAAGTACAGCAGAAAAGTTGTCCAAATAGAAACAGTTAACTTATTAAACCTCACAATAATTTCATAATTATCTGTCAATGTATTTCTAATAGTGTAACCAAATCAGTAATTTTTGATATAACTGTAAAAACTACTCTGAAAAGTTATTATTCCAAAAATTAAACCTTCATCTGTTTGTAAATATTAAGATTATAAAAGCAATTATGTGTCTTTCTGTAAAAAAGAAATTAAATCAAGTCTTAGTGACTAGTGATTTAAATCGTTATTTAATCGATTTAAATCAAATCCACCCTGACCTTTGCGGTCCCTTCTAACTCCACAATTCTATGTCTCTATGATTCTACTTTGCTGCCTCCATTGCATCCTGATTATGTCATCTGGCAGAGCTTTTCCAGGCCTTTTACAGGCTGGCCCAAAGGAGGTGGGAGAACCAAGAGTAGCTCGCTGTGACTCGTTTGCAAGGCATTTTGAGGATAAGATCACTTGCATCCACCAAGACCTTGACTCTGCTGTTATAACAGATGAATCTCATGGGGTGTCCAGAGCACAGTCTAGTCCTGTTGTGTTGGCTGAGTTTCAGTTGTGGCCGAGTTTCAAGGATGTGGCCAAGGTGCTCGGATCAGTCAGGGCGATCACTTGCGCTCTAGACCCTTGCCCCTCTTGGCTGATAAAAACCAGCAGGGAGGGAACAGCTGGCTGGGTCAGGGCGGTGATCAGTGCCTCTTTACAAGACGGGGTGGTCCCCACCTGTTTGTTTGGTGTGTTTTTTTAAATAATATTTGTTACTTTTCCAACAATTTAAACACTACAAAAAACAATAAACAATACAATACAATACAAAGACACTACATAACACTAACACAGTAAACTAACAAAACAAAACAAAAACAGTTTAGAACACATCAAACAATTTCAGTATCTTATCTTTCATTCACTTATTTCAACGACCTCCTCACACCTCCCTTTTTGTATTCCACTTCTATTAATTGTTTCAACAATTCCTTTCGATCTTCCTCTGTTTTCTATCCTATAATTATCTTAACACATTCTAACCTTATTTTTCCCTTTAATACTCTATTAATCTATTTGTACTTAATTCCTTATAACATTTCTACTAAAGCCATATAACTTCATTCCAACATTTTTCTAACATTCATTAATTTTACAGTATTTCTGTAAATAGTCTTTAAACTTTTTCCAGTCTTCTTCCACCGACTCTTCTCCCTGGTCTCGGATTCTGCCAGTCATTTCCGCCAGTTCCATGTAGTCCATCAACTTTATCTGCCATTCTTCCCGGGTGGGTAAATCTTGTGGCTTCCAATACTTCGCGATGAGTATTCTTGTCCCCACCTGTTTGAAGGAGGCAGTGGTAAAACCACTCCTTAAGAAACCTTGCCTGGATTCAGAAAAACTAACTACTGGCCAGTTGCTAATCTCCCTTTCCTGGGCAAGGTTCTGGAGCGAGTGGTTGCAGACCAGATCCACACACTTTTGGAAGAAACTGATTTTCTGAATCCATTTCAATCGGGGTTTAGGCCCGATTTTGGCACAGAAATTGCTTTGGTTGCCCTGTATGATGACCTCTGTCAAGAGAGAGACAAGGGAAACATGTCCCTGTTCATTGTTCTTGACCTCTCAGCGGCTTTTGATAACAGGAACCATGGCATCCTTCTGGAGCGACACTCCTAACTAAGGATGGATGGCATCACTTTGCAGTGGTTCCAGTCCTCCTTGGATAGTTGGGTGTTACTTGGGGAATGTTTTTCAGCCCCATGGAGCCTTCAGTGTGGGGTTCCTCAGGGCTCAATCCTATCCCCCACGTTGTTTAACACATCTACATGAAACCGCTGGGTGGGGTTATCCGCAGGATCGGAGTACGTTGTCAGCAGTACGCTGATGACACTCAGCTCTATTTCGCCTTGACATCTGCAGGTGAGGCAGTGGAAGTGCTGGACCAGTCTTGGTAGCGGACTGGATGAGAGCCAAGAAACAGAAGCCCAATCCAGATAAGACTGAGGCTCTGTTGGTGGGGGGTTCCCTAGACCAGATGGGTGGGAGGTCGCCTGCTCTTGATGGGGTTACGTTTCCTCTGAAGGAGCAGATTCATAGCCTGGGGGTCCTCCTGGATCCTTTGCTGTCGTTCAAGGCTCAGGTGGCCTCAGTGGCCCAGAGTGCCTTCCATCAGCTTTGGCTGGTGGCCCATCTACATCCCTATCTGGACAGGGAGAGCCTAACTACTGTTCTCTACACTCTGGTAATCTGAAGGTTAGATTACTGCAGTGTGTTGTACGTAGGGCTGCCTCTGAAGACAGTTAAGAAACTTCAGCTAGTGCAGAATTCAGCGGCCAGGTTGCTCACCGGAGCAAGACGGTTTGAGCATATTACACTGATCCTGGTCTGACTGCACTGGCTACTGATTAGTGTCCAGGCCCAATTCAAAGTGCTTGTTTTGACCTATAAAGCCTCAAACGGCTCAGGACCACAATACTTTGTGAACCACCTCTTTCCATATGAACCTTCCCGGACCCTGTGATCATTTTCTGAGGCCCTTCTTTGTGTGCCTCCTCAAGAGGTTTGGAGGGTTGCAACACAAGAATGGGGATTTCTCAGTAGTGGCTCCCCATCTATGGAATGCTCTCCCCAGGGAAGTTCACCTGGCGCCTTCATTATACACCTTTAATCGCCAGGCAAAAACATTCCTCTTTAACCAGGCCTTTGGCTGATTGACATCCAATGTAATTTTAAAAGTTGTTGGGGATTTTTTGGGGGGGTGTTTATGTTGTTTTCTTTTGCAGGGGGCCTTCTCAGTAGTGGCACCCACCCTATGGAACACCCTTCCATCAGATGTTAAGGAGATGAGTAATTATATAACATTTAGGAAACATCTGAAGGCAGCCCTGTATAGGGAAGCTTTTTAAGGTTTTACTATGTTTTTACATACGCTGGAAGCTGCACAGAGTGGCTGCGGCAACCCAGTCATATAGGTGAGGTACAATAAATTATTATTATTATTATTATTATTATTATTATTATTATTATTATTTTGTATTGTGATTTTATGTTGCAACTGCCCTGAGACCTGCGGGTATAAGGCAGTATACAAATTTAATAGCAACAACAACAGCAACCCTGCCTGAAAACCTGGAGGGTTGCTGCCAGTCAGTGTAGACAACACTGGGATAGATGGCCCAGTGGTCTGACTCAAGACAAAGCAGTTTCTTATGTTCCTAAATGTTCTCTTTTGGCACAACAATCCTTCCCTAAAAATGCCTATTTCTGGGTAAACAGGGAAAGGTATGTAAAGATGAATGACCCCTGGGTAAGCCAAGACTTCAGGCTTCTATGTGACCCATCTTTTGCAATGCCTCAAAACAACTAGGTTAGTGTTGTCACTACAAAAACATCCTTCCTGGGGTGTGATGCTCACATAGTACCAACCTGCTGGGCTTGGGTGCCCTTGTATTGATCACATCTCGGTCATGTTCACACCATACACTGAAAGAACCCTAATGCTATGTCAGTGGTCATGGCTCCCCCCCCCCCAAAGAATCCTGGGAACAGTAGCTCTGTGAGGGGTCTCCTGACAGCCCATGGGACACTTAACAAACTACAATTCCCATGACTCACTGGGGAAAACCATGACATGACATGGTTACTGAACAATGGCGCTATCATCCAGGTTCAAAATCCCACTTCTGGCACAAGCTTGCCTTAGGCAAACCTTGGTCTCAGCCCCCATCTTCAACACAGAGGTGCTGATGTCAGCCTACCTTTAAGGTTGCTGTAAGGATTAAAATAATGCACACAAAGCACTCTGAACACTTAAAAGTGCTATACAAATACTAACAAATATCATCAATAAGTTTACTGTACTAGCCAAAAGCTATGAAACATTATCCAGACAAGTGGGATCGGTAGCAAAATAGTGGTGGTGAGTGTCATGCCCTTTTGCAGAATACTCCCATTACATCTGCACCCAAAAAATCCCTCAGCATTCCATGGTCACCAAGCAAGTTCAGTCCTCACTGAACCACTGGGGATGGCGGGGGTGGGTGAGTGAGAGAGACAATGACTTGGCTTCCTTCTTCTAGACTTCTTTCCCCATCTTTCCACAAACTTCGCACATTTCCCCCAGACCTGCTGCTCCCTCCCTCCTGTGCGTGAGTGAGGCCATTTTGGTTCCATAAGGAACAGCACTCATGGCCTGAACATTGCAAATAGATGGAATCGTGACTGGAAAGGCATGTGGGAACCAGGGCAAGCGAGGACAGAAGAAGAGGGAAAAGGCAACAGAAAAATGGAATGAAAAACAACATGGATAAATTTGCTATGCATGCCAAGCAATGCTGAACATGGGGAGGTGTCTTTAACACTTGAAATCATGCAATGAGGCTAGGCGTTTTTGCCCAGCTCTCATTCTACTAAATGATGAAAGACATCTAGAAGGTGGAGAAGAAGGTGCCTCTTGCTGCATCAACCAGAAGGTTTCTTCCTAGGAAGAGCCCTTCAACTCCTCTAAAAAGTGTTTGGGACTTTTTAGTTAGAGAAAAGGTGAGCAAAAGGAGTCATGACAGAAGCAGAAACTCACGATATATAAGCGAGGCACCAAACGGCTCCTTAAACCAGGGTTAGTCACCAAAATGGAATGTCTAGTTGCCATTTGGAGGCCAGATCGCTCGAAAGCCGTATTTTTCAATACAAACTTTTGGTTCCTGAAATTCATTCAGGTTGTGCAGATAAAATATCACAGATACAATTCTACAGGATGTGCTGCTAGTGTGTGAAAGCAGTCGAGATCCAAGGATCCCCAGGGATGCACCTTCAGATGGAGAAGACGCCAGACACCATCCTAGTGCCCAGGCATCTTCACTTGGTTGCAAGTGGCCAACAGCCAGGTGCAAAATGTGCCCGGAAAATTTTGAACACTGGACAGGAGATTATAAAATTTTGCATGGCATGGAGAAAATGAGTAAAGAAAAGTTTTTCTCCCTCTCTCATAATGCTAGAACTTATGAACATCTAATGAGGCTGAAGGCTGGAAGCTTCAAGCAAGTCCTTCTTTGTGCAGCACATAGTCCAACTACGGAGGCAGTGATGCTCCCAAAGCTAGATGGCTTTAAAAGAGGGGTGGACAAATTTATGGAGGAGAGGGAGTGGGAAGGCTCCTACTCAGGAGTTGCCAGCAATAATGCTTCTGGATATCACAGAAGGGCAGGCATGAGCGTCAGAGTCTCACACTGATCAGAGGCTACAAAACCATTCCAGATTTGTTTTGTGGGGCGGGAAATGCAGGGAAGACAAAACAAACACACACACAACTAAAACATGGCCTTGATCCTGACAGCAATGATTGACTGTGGATTTCACTCCCTACACTGACCTTGCCACCAAGCAGACGGAGAAGCATATTGAGAAAACATGCTTTGGGAAAGAGGGAGCCATTTTGCAGCCTGGCATGGCTAGTTTCTCTTGTCAGGGTCAATATAGTCTAGATTCACATCTCCTCCCTCTTAAGCCCCCAAAACACACACTGTAAGAAAAGTGGAAATCAGTGAAAAGAAGAAGGGTATGATGTCACTGATTCATGGCAGGAAAAAGGCACCCCCCCCCAAAAAAATCTCAACAACTTTGACCGGCCCCCGATCACTGTCTTTTTTTTCTCGGAGTCTCTTGCGAGTTGGACACCCCTAGAATAGAACAAGGCATCCTTCCATCTTTACTGGGTGCCTCATTAGTATTAGTAATAATAATGATTAATAACAATTAATATTAATGATATATGTAACATTTACAGCACTCTGATCATTCAATATGTATCACATAATACAAATATGAAATCACTCCGCTGAGGGCTCGCATCTCAACTATCACACCTGCCTAGTGTCACTTTCCTCCTGCTTCCTTCCTTGTGTCTTCCACTGGGTCCTCTAAACCCCTCCCCTCTCTCCTCCTCCCCAATTATCTCATCTGGTCTCTTTGATTAAACTGCAGGGGGGAGGGGCGCCTCCAAAACAGGTGCCAAGTGTCACAGTCAAATGCTCTTAACAATGCAGGCACATCCGGTTCCTTGCAGTTGGTGTGTGGTCCGGGGAGTCCAGGGCCCCAGCTGTGTGGCAAAGAGAAGGGCAGAAAGGGGGGGCTGCTTTGACACAATTGCACATCATAAATCTTGATTGAGAAAAGGCATCACAACCAAGACCTGTGGAAGTGAGCCCCAGTGCTTCAATGGGGGGGGGGCACTTTCTGAGTGTACAGGCCTCAGTGGGAGTCCATTCATTCATTAATAAGCCTTTGCAATTCTGTTTAACTAAAGACAGAGCACCGTTTTGCCTACAGCAGTTTACTTATGAGGTGGGCTGGCCCACTCATAAGGCAAGGTGAGGTGACCGCCTCAGGCAGCAGGATCCACAGGGGCAGCAAATCTCCTCATTTTTCAGCAGGAGAATGAAGGGAACTGTCAGCAGAAGTCGTCTTGGCCCCCATGGCCAGATCACTGGGTTTCTTTTCCATGAATTGGGAAAGGAGACCTCTCCACACAGAAACCAATTTGAGAAAGGAGGGAAAGGAGAGCTAGCACATGTGTGAGAGAGACAGCGCACACATGTGGGAATCTGTGCATGTGTGAAAGTGTGCATGACAGCATGCATGTGAGTTTGCACATGTGAGTGAGTGTGAGAGTGTATGTGTACATTTGTGTGTGGCTGGGCGTGTGTGTGTGTGAGAGAGAGAGAGAGAGAGAGAGAGAGAATTAATGTGCGTGTTGGGTCAACTCACTTTGCACGTGCAGCCCTAGACCACTTTCCTCCACAAAAATTCAGCTTGGGGTTGGGGGTGAATGATTGTCCATCCCTATTCTAAGCTGCTTGGTGCTAACTCTGACATGAACCTGCCCAATTATTAAGATTCCCCCCCCCCAACTTGAGGAGAAGTGGATAGAAACCAAAGGCATCTCCTTTCCAAAGGTAGCTCAGTTGTGCAGTTCTCCCCCCACTCCCAAATCTTCACTCCATATCCTTCTAAATGACTTTTAGGTACCAGTTCAAAATGTTGTGTTCACGCAAGTTTTTAATGGAGTTGAGTATTGTTTCAGCATTCTTCTTACTGAGTCCAGATACATTTTAACACTTTCTGCAGTATATATTTTGTTTGCACCTTTGCTGTTCTGTTCTTACCATTGATCTGTTTTGGGGGGAGGAGGGGGGGTTTAGGAGGCATGCACTTTAAAATTTGTTGCAAGCTACCTTGAAAACTAAGATGAAGCAGCAGGATATAAATAAATGCTGGGGGAAAATAATAAAAAATATAAAAACCACATCCCAGTAGAAATGGAATGCATTTGGGGGCGGGGGCAAGCTGATATCTTTCTCCCACTCCACTTTCCTTTCATATCCTCTCAAGAATGGCAACTTGTCAAGAATGGCAACTTGTGGCACCCAAAGCCAACTGCCAGTCCCTTGGGAATGCACAAAGGGAAGGTCACAGGGAGGGGGAGGCAGAGAGAAGGAGCAACAGAGTTTTCAGGAGTAGAAGAGGACAACAGAAGAAGACAGCAGGGCATGGGAAAGGGGCAGAGTCCAGGAAGCACAGCTAGGATCTCAAAAGGTCTGAAGAATTCAGAGAAAGATAAATTGCTGGGAGAATTTTGACTAAGTTATTTATTTATTTATTTATTGTGATGCAGGTGGTGGAATTTTTCCCGAGTGATTCATTTTCCATTGGAATTTTTTTCCAGTTTCATGAGTTCTTTAGTAACTATGAATGGATGTCAATTGCAAATACACATTGCTTGGCTTCAAAAATTTTAGCTTCATTAACAATAATACAAGTAAATATATGCACACTAAATTAGATCTCTCTTTAGGGTGTCAGAAAAATGTCCTGATGCAACCCCCCCCCCACTCCAATACAAACCACCCTAATTTGCATAGCGTAATTGCACTGGAACTTATCCTAATTTGCATGGAAAAGTTTTCTGGGGAAAACGTCTGGGAATTTTCCAGTGCAATTTTTTTTGGGGAAAACCCCAAAACACAATTAACAACATAACACAACACTCTTTCCCAGGTGGTTCTCTGCCTCATGTTGGTCGGTTGGGGCATCTGTAGCCGGCCCTCCAAAGAGGATCTCAAGGTTTGGGGAATTCAGTGTTTCAGGTAGGCTGATGCCAAGCCATTTAGGGCCTTAAAGGTTAAAAGCAGCACTTGAAGCTGAACCTGGGAACCAAAGGAAGCCACTTCATCCAACAAAGCCCAGGCCTCGTGAGGCCCAACCACCCTCTGCTAGTCACTTGCCTTGAATCCCTGCTCTGGAGCAATATGGAATTAGTTTACAAGGCAAAAAAGCAACACATGATTTAATTTGCTAGAAGCAGCCAAGATGCTAACAAGAAAATCCAAGAAACATATTACTGCATTTCTGTATTTGACTAGTTAGTGTTTGGGCTTTGGAGGATATACTGAAATTGACATAAGTAATAACAACTTTCAGAAGCTAAGAAATATGTGGCGGTTTAAATCGAGGGCATGTACCTGTTCACTTTTCCAGGATGGAGTAATAATATATGTACCTATGTAATATATGTACAATGCAAGTGAAACGAAGCACATTGGTCAGGGTCTGGTCAATGCTTAGATAGCAGACACTAGCAAATAACAGACTTCCTAGTCCAGGGGTCTGCAAACTAAGGGCTGCGGGCTGGATCAGGCCCAATTGCCCTCAGGATCCGGCCCACAGACTGTCTGTGGATCATCGGCGTGGGGATTCTGTTCATTCAGGCTGCACCATTTTTTCCTTGCACCATTCCATTCCCCCCCACACACCGTGGCGGTGCCTCCTCCCTCCCTCCTCCTGGTTTCTCTGCACCCTGCCTAGAGGAGGAAGGGGGCTGAGTGCCATTTTAAGCAGCCCCTCTCTGGAGCCAGCCCTTTCACGCCGCTCATCTTCCCTCTGCCGCTGCCGCCCTGGTGCTCCTGTGGGCCAGGGGGCAGAGCAGATGAGCTCCCTCTGCCTACCCACGAGAAGCAGCGGTGGTGGCGGCAGCCCCTGGGAAGGTAAGCACAGCAGCTGGGGCTGGGGAGGAGGACTACTTGCCCCCCTCACCTCTTCTTCCAGCTCCCCCCCCCGGTGCCGCTTCTCCAGCCCGCCACAAGGTCTGAGGGACAGTGGACCGGCCCACGGCTAAAAAAAATTGCCGACCCCTGTCCTAGTCCATGCCACCAAGACTAGATGGCGGTCTCCTCGGGGCGGGGACCTGCCCTCTTCTACTCTGCAAAGTACTGTCTGAGCCTTATGATCAGAAGCAGGGACCTTCCTATCTGGCGCATCCTTAGTCAAGAACTTATCAATGGGGACAGGGTGCCAATGTGAATGAAATTTTGGGAGGCCCAGGTAGGCCCCCCACACCACCACTTGAATGGCAAAGCCCACCAACTTTGGGGGTGCCTGGCCCCCTCAAAAATTTTATGGGGGGGGGGTTTGAAGAGACCTTGGCCCCTAGGAGAAAATCTGCTCTTTTTCTGGATAACATCTGAAAGACATTCTCCATTTGGAAAGCGTTTTCTGACTGCTGCTTTTATTGTTTTTTTGTGGGGGGTGGGCAGTTATTGCTGTTCTATGCTTTTTAAAAATATTACATGATTTTACACTGTTGTTGTACATTGCTGGTTTTTAAGATGCTTTGGGAAATTCGCTTGAAAAGCATGGAAAACATTCTTTAAGAAACCTAAACAAAGCCCCCTGCAATCGGATGGAGTAATAGCAACAATGTATGCCGCCTTCAGTTCTATCCAAGACAGGCTATAGAAACGCAAGATTAAAAAAACTCCCACAGACCATTTTATTTAAATAAAAGGGTTACATTTATTAGTATAGTATCTTTTTCTCTGCCAGGACGGACAACGTTCACTTTTTCTGCTACAAGTTAGGAGTGTGAAAACTTTAACGGAGAAGAGACGCTCCCGAGCGGGGTTTGTGTCTCCCGGCCTTCGCGGGGGTCGCGGAGCCCTTTCTGGGGCGCCTCCCGAAGGGATGAGCAACATCCACCTCGCATGACTCAAGCGCAGCCGCAGCCGGCGGGATGTGCGGGCGCGACAAAGGAGGGCCGGATCCTTCCCGGGGGAGAAAGTGAAAAGGGCCAGAAGCAGAAAGCGGCGAAGGGCAAGGGGCGAGGCGGAAGCGAGAAGTCCCTGCGAGCGGGGCGGCGGGGAGAGAAGCCCCGAGGGAGCCGCGCGGAGCTCTCGGGAAGAAGGGCGAGCCCAGCCAGGCTCCCGGCAGAAGCCGAGCTTCCCGGCTGCCCCGCCCGCCGCCCGGGCAGAAAGCGGCCGCGGATCCTGCGCGCTTGCCGGCCTTTCCCCTCCGCGGCACTTCCGCTCCATGGCGCGCTTCTCTCTCTGGCCTCACAGCTTTTATAAAAGGGGTGGGGAATCCAATCCCCCCCCCGAAAAAAGAAAACACCACACACACAAACAGGGGGCGGGGGGGGGGAGATTAGAAGAGAAAAACCAGTTAATGAATGAGGCGTCCATTAATGGGGGAGAAGCCCCTGAGGCGGCTGGATCCACCCCCCAAGAGACAACTGCGGGGGGAGAATTAGCCTTCCCCCTCCTCAACCAAGAGCGAGTGTGTGCTTGCAGCCCCCACCCAAAGAAGCGAATTTCCTGGCTTGTTATCAACTCCTCCTCTTTTATCGGAGGATCCTAGCGGGAGGGGAGGGGGCGCCCCACGGCCCCGCCAGGCTCCTTCTCCGACTAGGCCGCATCGCGGTTCTGATCTCCATGGAAACCTCCCAGGGGGCCCCACTTCTGCCCCTCCCCTTGAGGTGGGGGGTGGCGGGACTTGGAGGGACGCAGCCCCCCCCCCGCCCACCAAGAACGGATTTCACCCCCGGGAAGAAGAGGGGAGGGGAAGCAGGGGCAAAACGGAGCACAGACCCTGGCCCTGGGTCCCCCTCAGACGGGAGACGGGGGGGCGCTGCTTCGCTTCCAGGAATGAGACGACCCCAAAACAGATGGGTACGCAGCATTACTCTAGGCAAATAAATACTATTTATGCATCTCCTTACTCTTTCCCCTCGCGATCCGCGTTGTTGCGAAGCGCAGCCAAGAGGCCCGAGAGGCTCCCATCGCAGCCCAAGACCTGGGAAGGAGCCGAGAGGCGCCTCTCCGGAGAAACCCCGCCATCCCGGCCGCCCCGCCCTCCTCCCTGGCCGCGGTCCCCCCAAGCTCCGGGGCCCGGAGAGCTCCTACCTGCTCCTCCTCGGGGCTCAGCTCCGCCGCCATCCTGCCCTCGGGGCGCTCCCAGGACTCGACGCCGGCCAGAGAGCAGGAGATCGTGCAAGTTGTCCACAGCTACCACCCCACAAACATTTCCCAAAGCAGCTCGTCTCCTTTTTCCTCCTCCTCCCACGTTTTTCGGGGGGTCGCTCAGCTCGGGTCGCTCCCAAAGTTGGAGGATCGCATTCTTCGCCGTCGTTGTTGTCTTCCCTCCCTTTTATGATGCGCTTTTGTAGATATATAGATATATGCAAGTATTTTTTGAAAAGGGCGGTGGAAGCACGGAGGGGAGCGCCCGATTATTAGTATTCGGTGGGTGGGTGTTTTTTGCGCCCCTCTCTCCTTTTCACTGTAACAGGGACGGCGACAACGACAACTTCGACAAAAAAAGTTCCATTAAAAAGAAAGGTCCTGAAAAACAAAAAACCTCTCCCTTGATAAAATAAGAATGCCAATTCTGATTCAGCCGCGGTGAATATTCGGGCATTAAACACGCCTACATATGGATCGGAAGGCAAAGGGGCTTAACGGGAAGGGAAGAAGGGGCAGAAAATGGCAAAACTTCCCAGCCCCCAAAGCTTGAAATCCTCTCCAGATTGTGCCGAGATATTCACCCTGCAAAGATCCCTCCTCCTGCTGCTTTCTGGGAGAAAAAGGAGGGAGGGAGGGAGGAGGAAGAGGAAGAGAGAATCTGTAGGAAGCAACTTCCCTTATATACTGTATCAGAGGAGGAAGCTTTCACCCCCCGCACCCGTCCTGTGGCCTGGAGGGGGGGCCGGGGGGCCTCCTCCCTCCCTCTCCTTTCTGCAGTGCTTGTTCCTCAAAAGCAGCAGGCAGAGCAGAGGGAGGGAGGGAGGAAGTAAGCCCAGCTGACCCGCCCCCCCCCGTCGCAGACCAATCCTGCTTCCTTTGCTGCTTCCTTTCGCTGCCAAGCCTCCCTCCCCCTCTCTGCTTGCTCCATTCAGAAATTGAATCTCATTCACAAACAGCAGCAGCGGCAACAGCAAGCCGAGGACGAGCCGGGATGGAGGGCTCCCAAGGGGGCGGGGGGAGAGAGAGCCCTAAAAGGCATCGGCAGCAGACAGACAAGAAACGAATAGCCACGCAGCAACCTGCCCTGGCAACTTCTAAAAATCGAGGTGGCAACTCCATGCACAAAGGAGAAAATCCCATTGAAGCCAATAGAAACCTGCTTTTGAGTCAATGTGCTGTAAGAGACGCCTTCTTCGCGGTGTGAATCCTACATTGGCTTTGCCTCTTTAGATAAGCTTTTTCCATGAGGTCCTGATCTAAACTTCCCAGCGCCCATGAGAATGCTCTGGCATTGGGAAGGTATCTCCCCGCCGCCCCTTTGTAACTAGACCCAGCTACAAATCCAAGACAGGTTCAAGGTGTTGCTATTAGTAAACGAAGCTCTACCAGATCGCCTTAGCCAATAGATGCCCTCTGGACCGCTTCAGTCTGTGGAACTGAGCCACATTACAGGTGCCACATAATACCCCTTCCACATTTGTAAACAACCTACCTTTCAGTGTGACTGCACCTACACTTGGGGACTCCCTGCCTATCAGGTGAGCATCTTCACTGCATTTTTTCCAGCACCTGCTAAAAACATATTTGTTTAAGTAGCCCTACCTAGACATGTAGAATGTCAATGTTTTTAGTTTGTTGCTGATTTTCTTTTCTTTTTGAATGTTTCCAAGAGTAATTTTAACTGTTTTTACTGATAATTTTATTGTTTTATTCTTTGTAAACCACTTTGAGGGTTTTTTGGCTTTTCTTTTACAATCAAGTAGTGCAAAAAATCACTTGAAATAAATAATGTGAGCACCACATGAATAGCATAAGCGGGACCAGATCCTGAGCTCCCTCTGCATCCTGGGCCATTTTGGCACATGGGTGGTAGCACCAAACAACGTGACAGGGCTTGAGCTGTGTCTGCAGAGGAAGACCATCTGCATTACCTGCTTGAAATCATTCTAACTATGCCTTGAAGGCTCCCTGTATCTGGCATCAAACATGGCAAAAGAGGGTGGCGTTTGCCCTAAACAGCCTGGCAAGCAAGCAGGGGGGACAGTGTTGTATAGTGGTTTGAGTGTTGGACTAGGACCTGGGAGAGATGAACTTCACCGGGTGACCTTTGGCCAGTCACCGCCTCTGAGCTTAAGCTATCTCACATGGTTGCTAAGGGGGTTAAATGAGGAAGGAGAGAACCATGTACTCCTTGGAGAAAAAGGTGATATGTGTTATAAAATGAATGAAAAGACGGCCTCTGAGGCCTGGCACGCCTAATTAGCCGTGAGGGCTGAAGGTTCCCCACCTCCGTAGTACAAGAGGCAGAAGCTGCCATAGACCATGTCAGACTGTTTGTCCATCAAGCCCAGCACTGCCCGCTCTGACAGGCAGCAGCTCTCTCTGGTCTCAGGGGTCTTTCCCAGCAGGCAGCAGGCGAGAAGCTCTTGTGCTCGAATCCTGCTTGCTGGTTTCCCACAGGCTTCTGCTCATCCTGTGAGAGCAGGATGCTGGGCTAGAGGGGCCACTGCCTTGATCTAGAAGGCTCTTCTGTTATGAAACCCCTAAGCTGAAGGCACACAATTTTCCATCAGGCCTGCAGCCTGTTCCCTAGAAGGAAGAATCATAGAATCGGAAGAGACCACAAGGGCCATCGAGTCCAACCCCCTGCCAAGCAGGAAACACCATCAGAACACTCCTGACATATGGTTGTCAAGCCTCTGCTTAAAGACCTCCAAAGAAGGAGACTCCACCACACTCCTTGGCAGCAAATTCCACTGTCAAACAGCTCTTACTGTCAGGAAGTTCTTCCTAATGTTTAGGTGGAATCTTCTTTCTTGTAGTTTGGATCCATTGCTCCGTGTCCCCTTCTCTGGAGCAGCAGAAAACAACCTTTCTCCCTCCTCTATGTGACATCCTTTTATATATTTGAACATGGCTATCATATCACCCCTTAACCTCATCGAAGCCTTGCTACGATGTTACGCTGCCTGGCTTTAACTACACGTGTTGCAAATACAGAGCTTGAACAATTCACCAAATGTGCAACATGCCTCCCTTGCAGCATCACAGAGAATTATGGGGTCCGACCACAGCCATTAACTCAATAATGTGCTGAAGTCACCCATCCCAGCAGCGCAGGAGGAGTGTCTGGCTGAAGAAAAGGATCTTGGCGGTTTTTAGCAGATCACCAGCTTAACGTAAACTAACAGTGTGATGCAGCAGCAAAAAAAGCTAATGCACTTGTAGGCTGAATCAACAGAGGTGTAGTGTTCAGATCAAGGGAAGTCATAGCCCCACTCTATTCTGCCTCACAGACCCCATCTGGAGTATTAACAGACCAACTGACCATACATTTCCTAATATATCTTTGCATTCAAAGGCTAGACATTTTTATTTTTTAAAAACACTGGATGCTGAGGTCCTGAGGAAGCTGGATCCTGCAAGGCAGATTCTGCAATTACAGTCATACCTCATGTTATGTTTGCTTCATGTTACGTTTTTTCAGGTTGTGTCCTGCGGCAACCCGGAAGTACCGGAAAGGGTTACTTCTGGTTTCGCCGCTCACGCATGCGCATAAGCGCCAAATCGCGATACGGCACTTCAGGTTGCGGGCTTTACATGTTGCGAATGGGCCTCTGGAATGGATCCCATTTGCAACCAGAGGTACCACTGTATTCTGATCCCACCCACTTTAGTCTACAGACAAAAGCATGCATTTAGTACTTGCTTATCACAGACACATTGACTCTCACATGTACTCTTCACATCCAATAGTTTCCTTTTAGCTGCATGGACAGCTCTGTGTTCTCTCCACACATGTTGACTGATTTGGACCAATTAATTAATAACCCTGTTCTTTCTCAGTATTTTTTCCAAAAGTGCTTCTATTACCTGCAATTTTTCCAACGGATTTTCAATTGTTAGCAAGGTGTCATCTGCAAATAACCTTCTTTTCTGTTCCGATAGATTTATTGCTTTATTGTTTGGCGCCCAGCCACGCTTCCCTGCGAGCCTCTGCAGCTTCTGTTTACGCAGTGTGGCTTTGGAGCGGTCGTAAAGCAATTAGCAGAATTACACAGCGGCGTGTGTCGAAAGATCAGTAAACAAGTCCCACACGTTTCTTCTGTCCTAACATCCCTTTATTTGCACAAAAGTAGTGTATTTACAATCCACAACAGCCATCAGATTCAAGCTGCATTTTCTCTGCGTCCTTCTCTCTCAGTGCAGCGACGCAACAACCTGCTTTCGCTTTTTTCACTCAGCTCACAGCATTCCAAGCTGCTTTCGTCAAGTCCTGGCTTACTTCCCTTGTAAGCGCCTCCTCTCAGCCTCGAGACACAGAAGGTTAACCCTTCACTACACCCAACACCCTCTCTTGTCTCGCGCCCGAGGGGAGAATCAACCCTTGGTCGTCCCAAACCCAGACCTTCGCAAAACTCCCCATGTCTTTGGAAGGAGAGTGGCTTTGTGAACCCATCAGCTAGGTTCTTGGCAGAGGGACAATACTTCAACACAACTAATCCCTCCTGAACACTGGCACACATTCCGAAAGCGAATGTCTAGGTGTTTAGTTCTAGCCTTGAACTGACCTGACTCTGCCAAACGCAGGCATGGTTGATTGTCTTCGAAAACACGTATCGGCAGACAATCCACTTCGCAGAGTTCCTGTACTAAGCAAGCATAGAACTCTACTTCTCTGCACAGCTCTGAAAGAGCACTGAACTCAACTTCAGTGGATGAGAGCGCTATAAGACTTTGCTTCTTGGACCTCCATCCAACTACTGAGTTCCCAAACTTCACCACTAGGCCAGACACAGACTTGCGATCCGCAAGATTAGCCCAATCCGAGTCCACAAAAAAAGTCAGTTTGACGACTTCTTGTGCTGGTAACCTAAGACAAAAGTCTTTGGTTTCCTGCAAATACCTCAGAACTCTCTTGATGCCATTCCAGGCTTGCACACTAGGGTTTGAAGCTTCCCTGCTGAGCAGATTGACAGCAAACGCTATATCAGGCCTCCTCCACTGGGACAAGTACAACAAACTCCCTAGGGCTGACTGAAACACTTCAGTATTTTCGAACGCAGCGCGTTCTACTTGCTGGCTGTCCTTCACAAAACTAGTCTCCATAGGACTTCTCACTCCTGCACAATCACTCATCCTGAACTTCTGAAGCAATTGCTCAATTTTACCTTTCTGGCTGAGCAAGAAGCTTCCATCCTGTGCACGCTCAACACTGACACCTAGATAGGTTTTGACAGCACCAAGCTGTTTAAGCTTGAATCGTTTACCTAGCTCTTTGGCAAACTTCTCTGCCTGTTCATCTGTCTCTGAGAAAAACAGCACGTCATCTACATAAATCTGCAAATACTCTTGTGTTGCCCCTGAACCTCTCAAATAAAAGCAACTATCAGCAACACTTCTTCTGAAACCTAGCTCTTCTAAGGCTTCATTCAAGCACATGTTCCAGTTTCTAGCAGATTGACGCAATCCATAGATGGATTTGTGCAATCTCCACACAACACCCTGCCTCAAGTTCTCAAAACCCGGAGGAGGAATCATGTACAGCTCCTCCTGGAGATCTGAGTTAAGGTAGGCAACATCCACATCAAAGTGGTTTACCTTCCAGCCTCTCTGTGCTGCACAAGCTAAAAGCGTTCTCAGAGTCTCCGCTCGTGACGTTGGCGAATACACCTCCGTGAAGTGTATTCCCTTTCTCTGAGTAAATCCTCAAGCAACTAACCTGGCTTTATACTGTGGCTCTCCAGCGTCAGTGGGTTTCAAGCGGTAAACCCACCTGCAACTCACAGCCTGCTTGCCCGGTGGCAACTGTGAGTGAGAACACACCTAGATCTTTCATGGACTTCATCTCTTTGTCCATTGCTCTGTGCCACTTATCTGCTTCTTCCTCAGGTAAACTCTGAATATCCTCGAAGGATTCAGGTTCACATCTGGCTGAACCTACCCAGACGCTAGAAGCGTCGTACCGATCAGGAGGCCTCCTTGTCCTCGCTGATCTCCTCAGTGTGAATCCTGGTGACCCTGCTGCTTCACTGGGTCCAGCTAAATCATCCTCAACTTCAGTGTCTTCCCCCTCTGACCCGCTGCGCCTCTTGGGCCTTACGGCTGGTCCAGCAGGTGAAGAAGGCTCACTCTTTGGCTCAAACTTGACACTTGCCTGAGGTGTTCTAGGTTTCCCTCTCTGAGGGATCCTGAGCTGTCCCTGCCTTGGACTCTGTCCCTGTGGTGGATCCTGTTGCTCTGGACCGTGGTCCCCAGCACCAAGTTCCTCTTCCTCCTCAACGTCTTGAGTCATAGAACTGCTGTGGAATCACGTCTGGATTAGCATGCAGACACTTCCAACCGGCTTGTTCACAGAACTCAGCGCTATTGCTGATAACCAACCTTTACTGGTTTCCACTTGGGTACGCAAACCGCCAGGCCTTTGAGCCAGGCTCATACCCTACAAAAAACATTCTTTTAGATCTTGGCTCACCTTTCTTGCGTAGAGCCTTTGGAATAAGCACCCAAGCCTCACAACCAAACACATGGAGGTAGTGTACCTTGGGCTTCTTTCCCTGCAGCAAGAAATATGGCATATTTCCTACACTAGAGTTGTACACTCTGTTCTGCATATGAACTACGTAGCGCCAGGCCTCAGACCAATATTTCTGGGGTAGCCCTGCGTCCCACAGGATCGCAGACACAGCTTCCTGCACCGTCCTGTTCTTTCTCTCTGCCAGTCCATTCTGTTGCGGAGAGTAAGGAGCGGTCAAACAGTGGCTAATCCCCTTATCCCTAAAGAAATCCTGTAAAGCAGAACCAGTGAATTCACAACCTCTGTCACATTGAAAACCACGAACTTTGGTGGAAAAGGTTACCTCAACTGCGGTGATCCAATCCCTGATCATTTTAGCTGCCTCCCCTTTAGTTTTAAGGGCAAAGGTCCAAGCAGACCTCGAGAAATCATCAATCAGAAGCAGAGAATAATTTGATCCTCCCAGTGACTCAACTGACATGGGGCCACACAAATCTGCATGAATTAATTCAAAGGGTTGTGTGGTCTGCCTCTCTGACTTTGGATAGGAGCATGTCACAATTTTTGCCTGTTTACACGCATTGCAATCTAAAAATTTGTCACAAACATTAAATTTGCACCCTTGTGTCAGCTCTGGTGCTTTCTGAAGATTTCTCCAATTCAAATGGGCGAAGCGTCTGTGCCAAATATGTGAACAACCATGGTGGGGCGCCACATTCACACATTGCCCCTCCGCGTCTTCGGTGTCATCCTCTCCTGTAGAAAAAGGCACATTTACAGCAAACAAATTGCCTTTAGACTGCACTGTGTACACGTGTTTCCCACCCTTGGAAACCTCACATTTTGTACCTGCAAAAGAGACATGAAAACCATCAGCAAGTAGATCAGGCACGCCTAATAAACAGTTAGTTAAACCGGGCACTGCAAAAGCTTTGACTTCATGCTTAAGGAAAGGACAGAAGAAAAAGCCTGTCTCTGTTAGCCTTCTTCTACTTCCATCTGCAATCGTCACAAATCTTTCAGTTTTTACTGTCCTGCAATTTCTTAAAAGACTGCTAGATGGCACTAGCGTGTTGGTGGCTCCACTGTCGATTATTACAGTGAGAAAGTCTTGTTGTTGACATTCCTGGGTCGCCATGGCAACAATCTCCTCGCTACCCCCCTCCTTGGGGCTTCTGCAGATGTTCTCTCTTGTTGTCACGGCAACAGACTCCCCCCGGCAGGGAGACTTGCCCATGACCTTCACAGCTTCCATAGATGCAACTCTCACAGTTGCCTTGGAGACTGGACTTGTCTCGGCGTTCCCACACAACTCCACAGCTCTTATCCCTACTTGCTGCAGGTGGCCGGCCTTGAAGCCTCCAGCATGGCTAGGCTTCAGCTCTTGGCGTAAACAACTCTTGGCAGCTTTTGGAGAAAGAGGCGTCTCTGAGCTTTCACTGCTCACTGCCCCCCCACTGCTCACGGGGCCTCCAGGATGATTTTCCTGCACCCCCTCTGATGGGTAAAGGGCTCCCAACACTTGGCCTCTCTCCAGGTTCCTCACACAGACACGTTGTAGCATCCAAACAGCTCCCAGGCTCAGCAAAAGCACCAGCAGCATTGCCAGCAACAGCAACAGTCCCTTCGCCCCCCGTGGGGGCTTCCAGCTCCTCCCAGCTGTGTATCGGCGCTCAAGAATGTGGCTGGTGCCATCTTGCCTCTCCCTTTCGGATGCAGCCACTTCTCGGCCCTTGCTTCCCACCCCAGCTCCACAAGCCTCTTGGAGTGCTAGCCAAGCGGCCTCTGGCCTTCTTGCACCCAGGACAACTGGCACCAGTTGAGCATCCACATTTTCTGCCAAAAAAGCAAGCACACGCTTCTCAACTTCACTTTGCTCTGCAGCCCTCTTAGCCTCTGCTTTCCCAGCTGCATTCTGTGGGGGCTGTACTATGTCCCAAAGCTGCTCCCCCACCAGCAAAAGCTCCACTTGAAAGCTCCACTGCAGCCAATTTTGGCTGTTCAGTTTCTGACACGGCAGTTTAAGCTCAAAGCCATGTCCATGGGGCTGAGCCATTGCCTCCCTTCTGTTGGCCTTTTGCAAGAGCAGCCGATAATACTCTGCAGCCAAACCGGGCACTCCGGACGACGTGGCTCTCAGCTCCTTCTCCGTCAGCCTCCTCCGATCTGCCCTCTGCTCTCTTTTAAGCCTTGGCAGTCGATCAAGCTGACGTTCAGTCCTTTAAAATCTTCCAAACCCTTTCTCACACTCTTGGCGTTGGCCCATAACCTGTTCCGATAGATTTATTGCTTTATTGTTTGGCGCCCAGCCACGCTTCCCTGCGAGCCTCTGCAGCTTCTGTTTACGCAGTGTGGCTTTGGAGCGGTCGTAAAGCAATTAGCAGAATTACACAGCGGCGTGTGTCGAAAGATCAGTAAACAAGTCCCACATGTTTCTTCTGTCCTAACATCCCTTTATTTGCACAAAAGTAGTGTATTTACAATCCATAACAGCCATCAGATTCAAGCTGCATTTTCTCTGCGTCCTCCTCTCTCAGTGCAGCGACGCAACAACCTGCTTTCGCTTTTTTCACTCAGCTCACAGCATTCCAAGCTGCTTTCGTCACGTCCTGGCTTACTTCCCTTGTAAGCGCCTCCTCTCAGCCTCGAGACACAGAAGGTTAACCCTTCACTACACCCAACATTTTCTCTTTTTCTTTATTGCTTATTCCTTTTATATTTCCATCTTCTCTAATTACATTGGCCAGAGTTTTAATGACCAATACAAATACAATTGGGGGAAGGGGGCATTTTTGTCTTGTACCTTGGGCTAGTGCTATTTGTTATGTTATACCATCGTTCACTAAGTTATATGCCTTGTTCCTCAAGTATAATTGATTTATTAATCCTTTAAATCGTTCTCCAAATCATAAACTTTCTATAATCATTTTTTAATGTCAGCCATTCTACTCAGTCAAAAGCCTTAAAGATATCCAATGCTACTATACCAGTTTTCAATTTATTTCTTCTTATTATATGTATTTTATTCAACACTTCCTATTAAACTAGACATCTGTTTTCCTACTAGAAAGGCTCATTGGTTTTTATTTATATATTTATACATGAAATTAGTCATCCTTTCCCCCTACTGATCAGAGAACGGAATGAGTTCACCAACAGAAGCCTGTGAACAGGACGGCTCCACATATTGCTCCACAGCTTTAATTCTTTTAAACAAGCCCTGCTGCTAGCAATTAGGATTTACATCTCAGGCCTCAGCTAAATAACTTGCGACACCTGGAGAATTATTATGGAAGTGGATATCCTTCTACCCAAAGTACTGTCAAAACAGAGCTGCTCCCATGTTAAGTTTCTTTTGCTCTCCTCCTGAACATGGAAAAGCGGCCACCCCAGGCTACCTATCAATTCTCCATCTTGCTCGCAGAGTCCCTCAGAGCCGAGGGAAAGCCTTCTGCTTTTGGTGTGGACAAGTGTTCCAGTTCATAGCGGCCGTCCTGGGGGGCTGTGCTGACACTGGAAGAATCCTCCTTGGCGGCCTGCTGTAGGCTCCTCTTACGCTCCACGATCTGCTGCACCTGGAGTCCCGCGTAGTCTGGCTTGGCCGTCAGTGGGCAGAGGGGGACAGGTATGCCCAGGATGTCTGGTACCATGTACGGACGGAGCCAGCCCACTAATGGGGTGCTACCAGGGTTGTAATGAGTTTCCTTGTGATAGAAGAGGAGCCCGTCCACCTAGGAAAGAGAACAGAGAGAAACCAGGTAGGCAGCAGCCTTGGGTCTATACAGTCCATGGCCTTACATGAGGCCTTACCTGAGCCCGGTCTTGGCTGGGATATAAATAAAATTTATTATTATTATTATTATTATTATTATTATTATTATTATAGGATGGTCCAGGGGTAACCTGCCTTTTGAAAAATGGGAGAAAGTGCTGTGGGCATCCCACCTCACCTCCTGTTCTATTGGTTAGAAGGAAATGCTTCTTTCAAGCTTAAATCCAACAGGAGAAGAGGGGATCCTATGGGTATGCCTTTGGTGACAATTGGGATATTCTGTGGATTCAAAGCACACCCCTTTTGCTGTGGGAATCAGCTTTTAAAATAATGGCAATTTTCTTCTTTTAAAAAAAGCCTACACCTTTTTAAAATTTCCACCTTTATTTTATGGAAGTAAATCACACAAACCAACAGAATAAAAATGGCAGAAGTACATAAAAACAGTGCAGTATAGCTAGGAGAGACTGCCTATTAGGTTAGTAAAGAACTTAAGACCCTCAGGAAAGGCCAAATTTCACAGTGTACTATGGAGAGGGAGTTCTGTGAGTCTGTCTTTCCTGTATATAAGATAAAATCCCACCAAACGGCACAGAATTTTTCAGGGTCCTCCAAGCTCTTGGCAATATATACTGTAATCTACTAACTGCAGCTCCAATTCTACGGAGGCCAGCTTACTGTGCGGCACCGTTGGAAGGACAAAGTGTGATGATAGGCACCTTGCAGACCTTGATACCTTGAGCTCCTTGGATGGGAAACGATAACAGAATCTAAATCAAGTCCTACTGAACTCAGTGGGACTTGCCTGTGAGTAGGCATCAATAGAGCTGCACCGGTTGAACTGAAATCCAATGTGCATTTACCTGGAAGTCTGTCCCACTGAGCAAATATGTTAAAGGTTGTGCTTGTGGAGCAGAAAACATTCTTTCAAACCAGGGATGGGCAACCCGTGTCCTCCCAGATGCTGCTGTGCTACAGCCCCCGTTTTCCCAGAGTATTGGGTGGGGGCTGATGGGAGTCAGATATCCAGCAGGAACTGGAGGACCCCAGGTTCCCTCCCGCCATCCTAAACTGAAAACTGCTTTGGTTGATTACGGACTTCTGGGTTAGCGCCTCCGGCAATGGCGGATTTCCTCTGATCGGTTGGAACCCGCTTCGTGAGAACTAGGGTCTGGACCGCCGCGGCGAGGCGGAGACCCATTAAAAACCACAGGCGGGAGAAGCCTGTGGATGTGGGATTCGGCTGGCACCTTTTGCGCCTCCCCTACTCGCGGGGAAACCCAGTTTCGGGGATCCAGAGAGACGTGGGGTGAATGGCGCGGTGCTTCGAATCAACTGCTCTTTTCACAGAGTGAAGCCGCATTGCTGTTGCCGGAGAGCGCTGACTTTTTCCTGTGGACAATTGGATTTTAAACAACTGCCCGTGAGTAGAACGGAAAATTGGACTATGAAACTTCTTAATTTGGCACCGAAGCGGGAAGGTCTAAACAGGAACTCCGCCTTCCGCTTTTGTAAATAGATTGAAGCAAAGACATTGCAAGCTAGAGTCTGGAAAGTCGTTTCCATCAGTTAAAATTACTAAACCCCCCTTGGAAGCAGGAGAAGAGGGGGGAATCTTTTTAGACTGTTTAAACCTGCAGAAGAGAGAGTAAAGAAAGATAAATTTCCACCGTCTTGAACCTGGGAGCGGGGTGTCAGAGACAGACGCTTTGGGGTAGTTCATTGACTGTGGACAAAACGTTTTTGACAGATAGTTAAAAAAGAGAAACATATTGATTCCAATGTTCCCTTTTGCACTTAAAAGGAACAAAATATCTGAAAAACGAAAGGAACTTTGTTGCTAGATCTGCTTTTAAAAAGACGGATACAATTAGAAATTGTTTCCTCTAGAGGGAGCTTGTGAAACTGTTGTTAGAGTCGATCTGGGGAATTCTGCAGCTGCAGAGATTAAAGATCGTGAGACTAGACTTTGACCTTGAACAAGAATGTGCCCAGAAGAAGCTTTAGTGCTTGCTTTTTGCAAAATAAGCGCTTTACTGGAACAGCTACATGAGAAGATGGATTTGATGACTGTTGCAGTTGGCAATTTTGGACAAACAGTGAATACCTATATAGAAACCACTCAGGAATTAATCCAGAAATGTGCTCTGACAGAGCAAGTGACGAAGAAGATAAAGGAGGAGGTTGTTGCTGAACCTCAAGTAGTAGAAATGGAGAGAGCTGCGGCCTTGAAGGAACATAAGTTGTTGTCTCTGACGACAGAACCTGGAGAAAGTCAGATTTGGAGAGATGGAGTACTGTTTGGTCTGGAGATGGGAAGTTGGATAGATCCCCCTATGCAGGGATGTTTTGACTTTTTGGATCTGGCTTTGGGCCAGGGGGAGTTTGGAGTTGTGGGGGCCCTTAACCATGGAGGGACTTTGAAGCATGCCTTCAAATATCTTTTGGATTTCAATGTCGACTATGGAGAATGGGCTGACTTGTTGAGAAGGGATAAAGATATTGTCAAGTTGGAGTCTCCCCGAGAGAAAGGAAGGAAATTAAGAATAAGATTAGCAGAAGATAAAGTAAAGTGCAGGTATAAACATGAAGAAGACCTGCGGAAGGGACATGGAAAAGACTTAAGAGCCTCGGATAGAAGGTCACCAGGTTGATGGACTAGATGGATGGGATAGAAAGGACTGACAAAACCCGAGACCAGGAAGAAGAGACGATGGATGAAGATTGGAAGAAAGTTTTAAAAATTCATTTAGAAAATCACTGTAAAATTAATGAGTATTAGAAAAATGTTGGAATGAAACTATTTGGCTTTAGTAGAAAAGTTAAAAAGAATTATGTATAAATATGTTATGTGAAAAAGAATTATGCATAAATAAGATTTAAGTTTTAAGCTTTAGGGCTTTTTATGGTAAGATAAGGTTAAAATAAATTAAGGTAATTTAATGACAGAATATTGTGAAAGATGGAAAGGATTTGCTGAGATAATTAATAACTAGAATACAAAAAAGGGAGGTGTGAGGAGGTTGCTGAAACAAGTTAATGAAAGATAAAGATTTGGGAATATTGGATTTGTTTTTAATTTTTTTTGTTTTTGTGTGTTTTTTTGGATATTGATGTATTGTGTGTTTTGTTTTCTTTTTGATTTTTGTTTTTATTGACTTGTATTGTTTAATTTCTCTTTTTGCCTACCTTTTTCCTTTTTCTTTTATTTCTTGTTTTTTCCTTTTTTTTCTCTGTAATTTTAAATTCTCAATAAATATTATTTTAAAAAAAGAAAAAGAAAACTGCTTTGAGCACTTTGGCACAGCATGTAAGTGTTACCAAATAAATAATATGAAAAATGAGGTGCATTGATAGGGTAGCCAAGTAAAAAGAGGATGTGGTGGTGGTGGGGAGAATCCCCTCTTCTCTACAACTATTACAGCTGCAGAAGCCCTGTCTTTTTCTTTTAATCACCAGGCCACTGTAAGGTACAATACAGATTTATAACTCTCTTGTGTACGCCATCACATGAGTGGCTTTTCATCAACTAGCCAAAAGTCTCTCTGTAAAAAGCTCCAACCCCACCCCCACACTTGGGTTATTTTTTAAATAGATACATGATTGGGTTTTGTATTTGCAAATCTAACTGCTTAAGGAGAAGATACCTGGATATCTAGTGCTGCTTAGTAATTAAAACTGCCTGCATAATCCTGCTGGCACGTCCATCTGGCAAGGTCCCCATTGGTTGGGATGTAATGAGAAAACAAAAAAACATTTGCCTCCTTACTTACTTACTTCACCAAACCTTTATTAGACATTACAAATATAGGCCATCATCAAACATCCATATTTAAAAAATATACAAATAAACAGCCATGTAAAATATGTAATAACAAGGGTTTTCATTGGAGTTTCTTCCCACTAAATAGTGCTATTCACCACTCTGAGATACTGTTGACAAAAAACTCAGCCACCTTTGCAGTTACTTCCGGGTTAATGTCAGACAGATTGAATCTGATATTTTCACCATGCCGTGATGTTAGACTACCCAAAAAGGGGGATAGCACACGTTTGCGTAGCTGATTGTACAATGGACAGTGGAAAAGTATATGTTTTACAGCATCTAGCACATTCAAAGAACATCCACAATGTCTATTATTTCTGGGGATGTTTGAATATCTGCCCTTGACAAAAGCTGAGGAGAAAACGTTCAGTTGGGCTAACATAAAGGCCCTGTGTTGGACTGGAATTATTAATTGTGAAATATAAGTGACCCTGTTATCTGTTGTATTTAAACCATAGAACTTGGGGGAGCAAATTTTATTTACAGCTGACTTGATGTTTCGTTTTTCAATGACCCTTAATCTGGATTGACTATTGTGATATATTGCTCACTTGAATTATACATGAGTTCCAAGTCAGTGCCAATAGATCTGATTTTGTTATGTAAGAGTTAGAACCATTTGGATTTATAAAAGTCCTCAAGTCAGAGAGCAGACTCGAGGGTTGACAACGGAAATGGCAACGCAACCAGTGTTTTCCAGTGTTAGCTCACACCCAATATTCCATTGTGTGTATACCTAGTTCTGCACACATCATCTCATACTTGATTGAACTTGGGAGCCCCAGGACACGTCTCAAGAAACTTGAGTGTATCTTATCTAAATCACTATTATATGCTTGTATCCATATTGGGATCCCAAAAAGTATCTGGGACGACACTTTAGTTTGAAAAATCTGAATATCAGCTGGTATAAATTGGTTACCTTTCTGAAAAGAAAAGCGAGCTACTGTTGAGGAGGTAAACTTTGCCTGTTTCATAGCACTTACGTGATGGTTTGACCAACCTGAGTTGCTCTGGAATAAAATTCTGAGATATCTTTGAATCTTTACTTTACTTGGATTTCTTGTCCTCTAATTTTCCATTTCTCTAATATCCAGGAATTAGAGAAGATCAGAAATTTTGTCTTCTCATAATTTATTGAAAATGTATTGCTTTCATAATAGGAAACCAGGGAAAGTAAAAGATGTTTCAGATGTTTCAGACCTATCGTCAGTGATAATAAGGCCACATCATCCGCATACAGTAACAATGGGACCGGGTTTTGATTGATTTTGGGGCCATGTGATTCTACTTTTTCAATGTGCTCTGGAAGATCTGATAAAAATAAATTAAAAAGAAAAGAGGCAAGAATACACCCTTGTTTTACACCTTTCGTATTCGGGATGTTGGAATAAAGCTGACCTTTGGCACTGAGTTTGATTTGGCAAATGTTAAAGGAATATAAATTCTGTATTAAGATCAGCAAATGATGATCAATTCCTAATTCCACAAGCATCTTCCACAATATATTTGCCATTGGGGCAGAGTTGCCTGCAAAACAAGATTAGCTATGCTATTGCTTCTGTCCAATATGGAGACAGCATTAGACATTTCCCAGGCAATAACGCTTATGTGAGATTTAAAAAGCAAGGTCCTATTAAGTCCAATTTTAAAGATTTAGTACCCTACTTTGTTGACCATTGGGTCTACAAAGCCTTTGCCGAAGCCCCATCAGTGCAGTCATTGTGGAATGAGAAAACAGCAACATTGAAATTAATTTTTTAATCCATCACTTTGCTTCTATGTTGTTCAAGACAGTTCTTAAATGCAAAGCTAACTTATGGAATTTCACTGCAATAAGGTGCAATGGTGGCCACTAAGTTCGCGGTTTTTAAAAGGGGATAGGACAATTTTTGTGACATGGGCTGTGGTCTAAACCACTGAGCCTCTTGGGCTTGTCGATCAGAAGGTCCTTGCAATGGGGTGAGCTCCCGTTGCTTGGTCCCAGCTCCTGCCAACCTAGTAGTTTGAAAGCACGCCCCCCCAAAAAGTGCAAGTAGATCAATAGGTACTGCTCTGGTGGGAAGGTGAATGGTGTTTCCGTGTGCTGCTCTAGTTTCACCAGAAGCGGCTTAGTCATGCTGGCCACATGACCCGGAAAAACTGTCTGTGGACAAACGTCAGCTCCCTCGGCCTGTAAAGCGAGATGAGTGCCACAACCCCAGAGTCGTCTGTAGCTGGACTTAACTATTAGAGGTCCTTTACCTTTTAGGACAATTTTATGGAGCAAGTTACTAGCCATAATGGTTCCATAGAACCTCCTGGTTCAGAGGCAGTATACCTCCAAACACCAGCTGCTGAGGGGGCAAAGGGAGATGATGTAGACCCTTGTTGGATGCTTGATGGAGGCATCTAGCTTTCTATCGTGGAAAACAGGATGCTGGACTGGATGAGCCTTTCATCTGAACTGGTAAAGCTCTTACATTTAATAAACAATCAACATTTTCACAGCATTTTCAAGTGTTCAAAGCACTTCATATGCAAATCCCCTGCTGTAGCTTCCTCTGGGGGATGTCCCCATTTCTAAAAGTGCATTGTTTCATGAAAATAATACCAGCCAGACTGGTTAGTCTCAAATGTTCTAGCTGTCATTTTCAAAGGCAGCACCTAGGAAATACTTCTAAGTATCTAACAAATGGCATTTGGGGCACACTAAATTAGAACACAAAAGTTCTGCAATTCTTATATCCCTTGAAACTGATACAATGTCAGGGAAGTGCATGCTGCTGAGTGACCAAATCTTCTAATAAAAATGGAAGGGACAAGTCAAGCCTTGCACTGGCTTGAATGCAACCTTAAACATGCATTTAATAATAATTTAAATAATAATAATTTAAATAATTTAAAGTGTGCTTCCTTGGATGCAAATACTTCCATTCCATTGAGATTCCAGGAGGGTGGGGGTGGGAATTGAGATTTGCATTCCAATGAATTTAGAATGTGAAAAATAGTTGCTGGTACCTCCAGCTTCATAAGGGTGGGGAGGGAGGGGAGAGTGGCTGTGTTTTGTATCTTCTTGCTTGCTCAGGCTGAAGAAATCCTTAACATTCCCAGGATCCTCCTCTCCTCTGACAATCAATGTGAATTAAGAGCATCCTGTGCTTTAACAAGCCTTAACTCTTTCCATCATTTCCTCTTGCTGCAATACTGCAGCTGGCGAATACTCCACACCCCTCCTGCTAGTCCCATGTACATACATTCCCCCTTTGGCAGTAAAAAAAGAAAAGAAAAGAAAAGATTTTTCTATTACCCCTCATGTTCAGCTCCCCAAGGGGAACAGAATTTTACAGATAACCTGCTGTGGAGTTTCCTAAGATTTGAGCTTTTGCTACTTTCAGCTAAATTGGCCTGTGCTTTTAAAAGGCAATTTGTGTGCAGGGAAGTGATGACTCTGGAAAAAGGAGCAGCGGAAGCTGGGAAGAAGTTGGGGGGAGGGAATGATGACAAAAGACACAAACTCTCTGCAAGCATTTCTGGCCGGTGAGGGGGGCTCCTCATTCCCGCTCCAGCATTGTCTTTCCTTAAGAGCCCTGGCTCGAAAGAAGCAGCTTTGATCAATGCCGCCAAAGCCAGCAGCATCAACCTTAGAATCACAGAGTTGGAAGGGACACCAAGGATCATCTAATCCCAGCCCTTGCAATGCAGGAAGCCTGCCCACACTGTCTCTGGGTGGGCTCCAGCCACCAACCTTCTGGTTAACAGCCAGACCCACTGACACACTGCGTTGTATGGGGGCCCTTGGCAAACCACAGCTTCCCAGGGACCACAGCCAAGACCCTTCCGAGAGAGATGTCATGGGTGATACCTTGGATTTTGTAAAAAGAAAATGCCCTGTTAGATCAGCTCAGAAGCCTGTTTACCGGGTATCCTGTTTCCCGAAGTGGTCCAACCAGATGCCTCTGGGAAGCCCACAAGCAGAATCTGAGCACAACACACTCCCCACTTGCAACTTCCAGCAAGTGGCACTCAGAAGCTTGTTGCCTCCACCAATGGAGGGAGAGCAGAGTCATCAGGGCCAGCAGCCATCCAAGTCAGTGGCCATCACATTCCTTCCTTCATTCCTTCACTCAATACCTCCTGTGGAAGCACATTCCGCAGTTTAACTATGAGCTGGGGGGGGGGGGATGCGTTCTTTCGACTGTCCTGACTCTTTCAACATTCAGCTTCACTGGATGAATGCAAAGCTTGTAGCATCATTACAAAGGTTTGGTGTGCATGCTTTAAATTATGTGTATCAGAACATACGGCGGGGGTGGGGGGGTGGCACCTGGCCTGACAGCAACACATGAAAAAAAGATCTAAGGCTCTTAGTAGACCACAAGCTAAACATGAGTTCACACAGGGTTGCAGCAGCAAAAAAAGCTAATGCTATTTTAGGCTGCATCAACAGAAATCTAGTGTCCAGATCAAGGGAAGTCACAGTCCCACTCTCTTCTGCCTTGGTTAGACCACACCTGGAATACTGTGTACAATTCTGGACAACACAATTTAGGAAGGATGTTGACAAGCTGGAACATGTGCAGAGGGCAAGCAAGATGGTCAGGGGTCTGGAAACCAAGCCTTATGAGAAACGGTTGAAGGAGCTGGGCATATTTAGCCTGGAAAAGAGGAGACTGAGAGAAGATACTATCAGAAGGCCTCTTCTTCCTTGGAGGTTTTTAAGCAGAGGTTGGGTGGCCATATGTCGGGGTCACTTCCAACTCTAAGATTCTATGTGCATGTAACATACAGTATGTGTTACACCCACACATTCACCACAACACCCATCAACCAGGGTTCAGCACCTCACTCCCTCTGTATCCCTGGCACTCAGTTCTCACAGGATTGTTGGGTTCCATTGTCCCTTTGCACCTTTTAAATTGGATGCTGAGAGTTTTTCTTGCACAAAACAACCTTCATTTAGTCATTTATTTTAAAAAAGCTCAGAACATGTGACCCAAACAAGGTTAATTGTTTTGGCATCTTATTTCCCATCTGTTTTTGGAGACTTTGGAAAAATACTGCTTTGTATGTACTGGGTGTCCATCAATATGCAGATGATACCCAGCTCTACCTCTCTTTCAAATGAGAACCAGTGAAGGCGGTGAAGGTCCTGTGTGAGTGCCTGGAAGCGGTTGGAGGATGGATGGCGGCTAATGGATTGAAGTTGAATCCTGACAAGACAGAAGTATTGTTTTTGGGGGACAGGGGGCGGGCTGGTGTGGAGGACTCCCTGGTCCTGAATAGGGTAATTGTGCCCCTGAAGGACCAGTTGCACAGCCTGGGAGTCTTTTTGGACTCACAGCTGTCCATGGAGGCGCAGGTCAATTCTGTATCCAGGGCAGCTGTCTACCAACTCCACCTGGTACGCAGGCTGAGACCCTACCTGCCCGCAAACTGTCTTGCCAGAGTGGTGCATGCTCTAGTTATCTCCCGCTTGGACTACTGCAATGCACTCTACGTGGGGCTACCTTTGAAGGTGACCCGGAAACTACAATTAATCCAGAATGCGGCAGCTAGACTGGTGACTGGGGGCGGCCGCCGAGACCACATAACACCGGTCTTGAAAGACCTACATTGGCTCCCAGTACATTTCCGAGCACAATTCAAAGTGTTGGTGTTGACCTTTAAAGCCCTAAACGGCCTCGGCCCAGTATACCTGAAGGAGCGTCTCCACCCCCATCGTTCTGCCCGGACGCTGAGGTCCAGCGCCGAGGGCCTTCTGGCAGTTCCCTCATTGCGAGAAGCAAAGCTACAGGGAACCAGGCAGAGGGCCTTCTCGGTAGTGGCGCCCGCCCTGTGGAACGCCCTCCCATCAGATGTCAAAGCGATAAATAACTACCTGACATTTAGAAGACATCTTAAGGCAGCCCTGTTCAGGGAAGCTTTTAATCTGTGATATTTTACTGTATTTTTTGTTTCTATGGAAGCCGCCCAGAGTGGCTGGGGAAACCCAGCCAGATGGGCGGGGTACAAATAATAAATTATTATTATTATTATTATTATTATTATATGTACACAATTCAACCAGAGGGGCAAAGGAAGTATTGTCACCCTAACCCCCTCCCAAAAAACACACTGTTTCTGTTTGCTACTTTAAAAACTAAAATACTTACAAGAATTCAGTACCTGCACCCCTTAGGTCAAAACTATACAGCTATGTCTTAAGCCAGCCTTCCCCAGCTGGCACCCTCCAGCTCTTGGACTCTGATGCCCCCAGCCCATGCTGGTTGCAGTCCAAAACTAAAGGGGACACTTGTTTAATGACTGCATGGTTATCCTGCATCCCCCATATGGAACGGAAGATGGTATATACATGATTCATATTACCAGCCCTTCTCCAGTTCAGACACTGGCCAGACCAAAATCTGCTTGCTTTCAGGATGGGGGCTGGCTGTACCATGCGCTTTTCGACCTTGCCCAACCACAGCCTTCTCCAACCACCATTTCACACTGGACCTCCCAACAGCTGGAGCCAGCTGGCTTGGCTGATGAGAATTACCAGGATGGACACTTTCAACCCTTCTAAGTGCATAAATCAGTTTCATACCATTTATACTGTTTGGGACACAAACAAAGAAAAAAGCTTCCCAAAGTGGGGAATGCCTGCCCTCTCCTAGCTTTTTAAAAAAAGAAGACTGAAGGGTTTCCCACTTGGTCACTCCAAAAGGAAGAGGATCAAACCACACTCTCCCGCCTCAGTGCCCCCCCCAAGATCAAGGCATTTAGGGAAAGTCCCCGGAGAGCAGCAGAATCCGGAGGCTCAAAGGCGCTGCCTTTGTTAATAGCCTCTCCACTTTTCAGTAGCCCAGATTATTCCATCCTGTGAAGCTGCTCGTGTTTATTTAATGCACCGTCTGCCTCCTTCCCACTGACTCACGGCACTGACGCCAGCTGAATCAGGAAGGATGGATGAAGTTACTGTTTGCCTAAGAGCCTGGGGTCTGACCGGCAAGGAGTAGCATCAGCACTTTGCTCTCTGGACAGCCAGAGGTTCCAGACTCTCTAGACGAGACAGAAGCAGCTGAGCTGCGAACTGTGGCAGCAAAATGGCCATGCGTGAGGCATGCTTAGAGCCAGACATGATGCTGGTCTCAAACCAAGGAACTGTGGGTGGGGGTGCTTTTGTTTTAAAAAGGGGCTCCTCAGAGACACATTTCCATCGCCAAAGCCAGGCAGGTAGGGATGTGGCAGTGTGTGGGGGGGTGTCCATGGCCCCTTCAGTTGTTGTTGGACTGTAGCTCCCATCCTCCCTGACGGTTGACCATGCTGGCTGAAGCTCATGGGAGCTGGAGTCCAACACGATTTGGAGGGTCCCCTATGCCTGCCTTACAGAGCGAGCAGTGTTGCTCAACAGCACCACCTAGGTTGCAGTACAATATGGGGCTCAGTCAGCTGACACTCTCAGCTGATTCCCAGGGGCCAATCAGGTTCCGCCAAGCATTATAAAGCCACAGCCTCAGCCCCTGCCTTACTGCCTTTCCGCCAGCGGCTTGCCTTGCTGGCAAGGACTTTGCCTGGCTGAGCAACAGTTCCCTTTGGACCCTGGGCTACACTCTGTGCCTCAGCCCCTCCCTCTGCAAAATGGGGAACACTACTGTATTAATGGGAGCAAAAGAGGACGGTCATCTAGTACTGCTGAGGTGTTCTGGGAAAAGGTTCCAGAATTTTGGATAGAATCATAGAGTTGGAAGAGACCACAAGGGCCATCGAGTCCAACCCCCTGCCAAGCAGGAAACACCATCAGAGCACTCCTGACATATGGTTGTCAAGCCTCTGCTTAAAGACCTCCAAAGAAGGAGACTCCACCACACTCCTTGGCAGCAAATTCCACTGTCAAACAGCTCTTACTGTCAGGAAGTTCTTCCTAATGTTTAGGTGGAATCTTCTTTCTTGTAGTTTGGATCCATTGCTCCGTGTCCGCTTCTCTGGAGCAGCAGAAAACAACCTTTCTCCCTCCTCTATGTGACATCCTTTTATATATTTGAACATGGCTATCATATCACCCCTTAACCTCCTCTTCTCCAGGCTAAACATGCCCAGCTCCCTTAGCCCTTCCTCATAAGGCATCGTTTCCAGGCCTTTGACCATTTTGGTTGCCCTCCTCTGGACACGTTCCAGTTTGTCAGTGTCCTTCTTGAACTGTGGTGCCCAGAACTGGACACAGTACTCCAGGTGAGGTCTGACCAGAGCAGAATACAGTGGCACTATTACTTCCCTTGATCTAGATGCTATACTCCTATTGATGCAGCCCAGAATTGCATTGGCTTTTTTAGCTGCCGCGTCACACTCTTGGCTCATGTCAAGTTTGTGGTCAACCAAGACTCCTAGATCCTTTTCACATGTACTGCTCTCAAGCCAGGTGTGTACTGCTCTCAAGCCAGGATGGCTCAGGGCAACCGACACAGGGCAGTAAACGCTGCAAGAGGACACGAGAAGAGTTCTGCCAGATATGAGGTGAGAGGCCCATCACGTCTACCTTCAGGAAGCCTCCAAACTGGACATGAGGGGGAAAGTCCCTTCCTGCTGTTGCTCACTCAGCCACAGGTATTTCAGTGGTACAATGCCTCTGGATAGGGAGGCTCCATTTTGCCTCCATGCGCAGGGACCTAATTTACTCTGGAAACAGCCCTGTTTCTCTGTGTTTACTTTAGTCTGTTTCTCAGGTTTGTGCTAACATTGTTTTTTTCTTTTTGCAGAGAGAAAAATCAAACACATAGTAACACAATCATACACTGAACAATAATCATCCTTGGAAATTAGAAGTTTCCAAAATGATAGAGAAGGGGGGAAAGTAGGATAAATAACCTAATTATCTGTATTATCCTAATTATATGCACTGCACAACTCTTGATAAACTACAGGGCTGAGTATTATCCTGTACCTATTTTTGGTGCATCATGAACATGGAGCATTTCTCTACAAAACTGATGCATTGACTTGTTACATGCAGTACTCTGGAAAAGTCACAGCTTTTCCCCAACCTACAGATTGCTGTGAGATTATAACTCCTAGCAGCTCTGACCACCATGGCCAATGCTCAGGGGATGATGGGGCTTGCAGTCTACAATGCTTGTTTTACTGTCTGTGTTTAAAAATATCTGCAAGCTTCAACATTACTGCACATCCCAGATCCCACTCATCCAATTTCTCAGTGATGGCAGGTCCCTCTGTTTCCACTTATGGTCAATCGCCCGCCTGGCTGCCGTTAGTAACAAATCATCATCTGTCCATCATCCATGAGTACTTTCTTTCTTACACTGCCAAACAATGCAAATAGCAGGCCGAATGACATGTTATAGCCTGGAATTTCCCAGCTATGACCCCACACCATTTCTTACTAATTACACATTCCCGAAAGAGACGTACCAAGCTTATTTCTTGTTAACAAAGAAGTCAGGGATCTAATTTGTTCTCATGCAAATGGTGCTGAGTTTGTTCAGATGCAGAAGACACCAGGCAGTTCCTATCACAGGAGGGAGGTATGGCTTGGCTGCGACGGAACGGGCTCTCTCCAGTGGAACATAATCATTCCTAAACTAACTGGAGCTAGAGATTACCAGCATTCATACAACATACGAAGCACCTGCTGGATCAGGCCAATGACTCACCTGTTTCCAGCATCCTGTCTCCAGTGGCTAGCCAGATGCCTGTGGGAAATCTGCAAGCAGAACCTGAGTGTAAGAGCCCCCCCCCCCCCCGTGGTTTCCAGCAACTGGCATTCAGAAGCGTTCCTGCCTGACAGGGGAGGCAGAGCAGAGGCATTATGGCCAGGAGGCATGGATAGTCTTCTCTTCCATGAATTTGCCCAAACCCCTCTGAAAGCCACCCAACTTGCCTCCTGTGGGAGTGAGTGCCATAGCTTAACCATGTTCTGTGTGAAGAAGTCCTTTCTTTTATCTGGCCAGAACTGTCTGTATGTCTTGAACCATCTGAATCTCCAGCTAGAGCTTAGGACAATGCTAGTCTGAAATTGCTAGTCTGCATGAAGACAATACTTTATCCTGATGTTAAATGGACAAATGGTCTATTCATCAGGATAAAGCAGCTTCTTTCTATGTTCCACTGAGCCAACAAGTGCACGTGCCCCAAGGAAAAGGAAGGGGCAGAGCCCACTTGAGCTTGCAGGAAATCCCAGATCACCAAACCATGCTTTGCAGGTTGGGCAGTGCTGTGATATCCAACATCTATAAGTCACCCACACAGCCAAGTGTAGCATCATATTACTGAATCAAGTCATTAACAAAAAAGGAGCCTTTGCTCCCAAGCTAGGCTTAGCTGCACTAAACTTAAATGAGGAAGAACGGAGTCTCCGTTAGTGTGTGTAGTCAAAATGGGCTTCCATTGGCCAAGTTCTACTGGCACAGCTGCATTTCATAGAATCATAGAGTTGGAAGAGACCACAAGGGTCATCGAGTCCAACCCCCTGCCAAGCAGTTAGAACATGCAAGGGACTCCTCAGCAGTTTCCTTGGATCCTGGCCAGTAACTCCGGCACCTCCTTTGGTCCCAGGACGGCTTGGAAAGCGGGGACCTGCCAAATACTGCTCAAATCCAGCTACTGCCACACCAGCCTGGTCAGAATCTGCAATGTTCAATAGCTGGGGCTGGGGGCTGCTCAGAAACAGGAGACTCTCCACTTGGATTTGGAGGATCATTCTGATCTGAGCTCTGCCAGTTGCTGGAGCCATTGAGGGCTCCATTTTACATGGAAGTACATGGAAGCAGCACACAGTTAAACTATGGAACTCCCACAGGAGCAGTGATGGCTACCAAACTGGATGGTTTTAAAAAAGAATGAGGCAGATAGGGGACGATTGATGGTCCAGGTTCTTGAGCTCATTGGCCAGTCAGTGAGTCTCTCTGTGAGCCGGCGTCTGCGCTACGTCTTGAAGCTGGAGCAACAGGGAGACCACAGGAGGGGAGACGGCTGCTCTTGTGCTCAAATCCCGCTTGCAGGTTTCCTTGGGGGCATCCGGTTGGCCGCTGTGAGAACAGGAGGCTGGACCAGCTGGACCCCTTTGGCCGGATCCAGCAGAAGCTCTGCTTTGGTTCTTAAGAGAAGGTCTCCAGAGCTGCATCTCTTATTGTTTAACTTTCTTTCACTAGCAGCAGCAGCAGCAGGAGGAGGAGGAGGAAAATAGGCTTCCTCCTGCTTGCCTCTCCTTGCAAGCAAGAGGGGAGGGAAAGGATGTTTGATTCCCTGAGACTCGGTCAGAAAGGAAGAATGTGATCTGAAGGGAGGGAGCTGGAGGACAGGCAGACTCGGAACGTCTGGTTCCAACATGTGGCACAAACAAGTTGTTAAGCCCTCTTGCACAACAACAGCATGGAGTCTGTAAGCAAATCCAACACATTTCCACTTCCTAACCTGATGCCTCTGGGAAGCCTGTCAGGGCAACGGCCCTCTTCACCTGAGGTCCCCACAGACTGGTATCCAGAGCCTGCTCCCTCTGAGTGCTGGAAGATTCAGGACAGATAAAAGGAAGTCCATCTGTGCACAGTGCAGAGTTAAACCATGGAACTCACTCCCACAAAATGCAGTGATGACCACCAACTTGCCTGGTTAAAAGAGGACTAGATAAATTCATGGAGAGAGCTGATGATGGCTCCTAGTCACCATGGCTATGTTCTGCCTCCATGGTCGGAGGCAGCCATGCTTCTGGATTTTTATTTTATTTATATACCACCCTATACCTGGAGGTTTTAGGGTGGTGAATGCCATTTGGTAGAGATCATACGAGGGGAGGGGACTCAAATGCTTGAATCCCACTTGCAGGTTCCCCACAGACATCTGGCTGGCCACTGTGGGAACAGGATACTGGCCTAGAGGGGCCCCCATGGGCCGGATCCAGCAGACTCCTCTTAGTGCTTCTGTTCTCTAAACCTGGACGGGGCATAGAACCATCATGACAGCAACGACTGATGGCCTTATTTACTCATTTGCTTAGAGAACTGTTTTACTCACTCTTAAGCCCCCCAAAGGCTCTCATGACAGCAGCTAAGTAATCTCCAACAGAAGAGCACCCAACCTCTTTTTAAAAACTTCCGATAAAGAAGAGTTCACCACCTTCTGAAGTAGTCTGTTCCACTGCCAAACAGCTGTTACCATCAGAAAGTTCTTTCTAATGCTTCTTAACAGTTTGGTCCAGTGGAGAGAATGAGTGCTTCTAGAGGGCAACAGCATAAAAGCCACCTCCTGAGCTGTAGCCGATGCCTGTGCCAGTACCAGCCCCAGCCATGTTCGCGAGTGACTGACAGCTGCCATCTGCTCCCCATCCACATGGTACTGGCCCATTTCTCTTCCTTCCTGCTAATCCGAATATTTGTGGCACACACGTTCTCTGCTCCCTCAAAAGGACAGGGTCAGATCTTTGGGGCTTAAGTTAAAGGAAGGCAATTTCAGCAGAACATTGGACAAAACTCTGAAACTGTAACAGCAGCAGGACATCAGAGCCGACTCCCCTTGGGGGCATGCTGGCTCTCCCTCGCTTGGACGGTCAAGCACAGGCTGGAAGCCATACTTGGGGGTGCCCAATCACAGCTCTGGGCTGTCTGCATCAAGCAAGGGGTTGAGGGCTTTTTCAGTCCAAGGCCTGCAGTCCCTCCCGGGTAATCTTTTGCATCCTCCTTAAAGCCATCCAAATTGGTGGCCATCACTGCCTTCTGTGGGAGCAAGTTCCATTGCTTAACTATGTGCTGCATGAAGAAATACTTTTTTATTGGTCCTGTAAACTTTATTAATTGGGGGGGGGCAGTAAGCAGTATTGCTTAGCTGGAACCTGTTGCCCCTGGGGCTCCTACTCTCCAGGTTCTTTGGGGGGTCTTCTCCACCAGGAATACAAGTCTTAGGGTTGAAAGAGACAGAGCTGTGGTGCCAACAGATGACTTACCTCAAAGGGGAAATCTGTGGCCAGAACCTTGCACAGGCTTTCCGGTGTGCAGGAATAACTCTGCAGTCCCACAAATTTAAACTGAAAGGGAAGAAAAAGAAAAAAAAAGAAAGATCAGAACTACAAGTGCTCACATCTGAGACTCTCCCATTCATCTCTCAATGGCTGAATGGAACCTCCAGATTCAGAGGCAGTGTATCTCTGAATCCCTGTTGCTGAGAAGGCTGCTGCCCACAAGGAAAGGGCTATGCTCCCCTCACTGGAGGAATCCTCTTTGGTGGGTGACCTGGAGCTCCCACAGCAAAGCATCTTAGAGGAGCAGCCTGTGTTGAAGAACCAGGGGGCATGCCAGAGGGACCCAGCTCTCCCACTGGAGAGCCTTCTGATAACCTGTGGCTGAGCCATGGGCTATGTGGCTGGAGGGCCACAGGTTCCCCATCCAGATGGGCTTGGACTCCCACTCCCACCAGCCCAGCCAGCATTATGATGGTTATTGTTGTTGTTGCTATTATTATTATTATTAATAATAATTTAATTTATACACTGCTATAAAATAAATAGATGGTGAGGATGGGTGTTAGACACAGAACATACACATGGAGTTGGGGACCCACATTTCTTTCTTCAACAAGCCTTTAAATGGTGTTCAGCTCTCCAAAGTTTCCCAGAGAAGCAGTCAGCTGGCAGTTGAGAGGAAAATCCCAAGAGCCATTTCTGAAATCTTTCCAGACCAGAAGCCCTGTGTGGTTACAAGGGGGAAACCGTATCTTTGTGTGTGTAAACCAGAGAAAAGTGGGGGTTGGAGTGTCCAAGAAAGAGCATAGCTGGCAGGAATCCTGAAGAGGAGCACCCTATGCTGCAGCATTTTGTTGCAGCAATTAGTCCAGGGGTCAGCAAACTTTTTCAGCAGGGGGCCAGTCCACTGTCCCTCAGATCTTATGGGGGGCTGGACTATATTTTGGAGGGGGGGAAATGAACGAATTCCTATGCCCCACAAATAACCCAGAGATGCATTTTCAATAAAAGGACACATTCTACTCACATGCTGATTCCCGGACCATCTGCAGGCCGGATTGAGAAGGCAATTGGGCTGGATCCGGCCCCTGGGCCTTAGTTTGCCTACCCATGTGTTAGTCCTTCAAACATAAAAGTCATCCACCTGAGACTACTGTTCTAAGGGGCTCTTTAGCACACTGTGGGTCAAATCAAGCAGTGTTCCTTTTCTTCATCAAAGCCTTCTACAAACTGAAACCTGGAGAGATGTGCTATTTGCTAAAGTTTCCCTGTACAGAAGGCAGACAGATTCTGCCCCTGCCAGCTTCTCCTGCCCACAGTATAGGCACCAGGAGAACGCCCCCCCCAAAAGAAGGTAGGTGGTTTCTGTTTACATCTGCCTTTGTAACAGAGAGATTAAAAGCAGGGAGGAAGTCAGCTAACACCCAAATAGTAAGGAAGGAGGCACACACAATTTAATCTTCCGGAAGGGTTGCCTTATGCCCGGAAGGTGATATTTCACCATTGGGAGATGTTACTGTGTCCAAGATTGGCAGGTCCAGGATAAGCAATTCTTTACTGAATTGATCTACATCATATACACTGGGGTGGGGAACCTCAGGCAGGGGGCCAAATCCTTCCCAGACCTGTAGCCAGAGGAGCTGCTTTATAGATGTTTAATTTCTTCTTTGCAATGAGAAGAGAACAAAATTGTATACCTTGCAACTAGGCTGCTGCATTGCTGGCTGGCAGCTGCTCAGCAACTGGAAATAATACTACTACTAGTAATAAACATTTAGCCCTCCTGCCTGGCCCCCAGAAGTCCCCCCAGGCCATTCCCCTCACTGTTTCTGCTTTGTACCCAGAGTGTTTTTTCCTGGCTGCAATGTGTCCTTGAACTCTGATCCCGCCTCTTGCTTGTCTGGATGGATAATAATAATAATAATAATAATAATAATAATAATAATAATAGATTATTTATACCCCGCCCATCTGGCTGGGCTTCCCCAGCCACTCTGGGCGGCTTCCATTTAGGGCTTTAAAGGTCAGCACCAACACTTTGAATTGTGCTCGGAAACGTACTGGGAGCCAATGTAGGTCTTTCAAGACCAGTGTTATATGGTCTCGGCGGCCACTTCCAGTCATAGAATCATAGAATCATAGCATTGGAAGAGACCACAAGGGCCATCGAGTCCAACCCCCTGCCAAGCAGGAAACACCATCAGAGCACTCCTGACATATGGTTGTCAAGCCTCTGCTTAAAGACCTCCAAAGAAGGAGACTCCACCACACTCCTTGGCAGCAAATTCCACTGTCAAACAGCTCTTACTGTCAGGAAGTTCTTCCTAATGTTTAGGTGGAATCTTCTTTCTTGTAGTTTGGATCCATTGCTCCGTGTCCGCTTCTCTGGAGCAGCAGAAAACAACCTTTCTCCCTCCTCTATGTGACATCCTTTTATATATTTGAACATGGCTATCATATCACCCCTTAACCTCCTCTTCTCCAGGCTAAACATGCCCAGCTCCCTTAGCCCTTCCTCATAAGGCATCGTTTCCAGGCCTTTGACCATTTTGGTTGCCCTCCTCTGGACACGTTCCAGTTTGTCAGTGTCCTTCTTGAACTGTGGTGCCCAGAACTGGACACAGTACTCCAGGTGAGGTCTGACCAGAGCAGAATACAGTGGCACTATTACTTCCCTTGATCTAGATGCTATACTCCTATTGATGCAGTCACCTGTCTAGCTGCCACATTCTGGATTAGTTGTAGTTTCCGGGTCACTTTCAAAGGTAGCCCCACGTAGAGCGCATTGCAGTAGTCCAAGCGGGAGATAACCAGAGCATGCACCACTCTGGCGAGGCAGTCTGCGGGCAGATAGGGTCTCAGCCTGCATACCAGATGGAGCTGGTAAACAGCTGCCCTGTACACAGAATTGACCTGCGCCTCCATGGACAGCTGTGAGTCCAAAACAACTCTGAGGCTGCGCACCTGGTCCTTCAGGGGCACAGTTACCCCATTCAAGACCAGGGAGTCCTCCACACCCGCTCGCCTCCTGTCCCCCCAAAACAGTACTTCTGTCTGTTAGCTGCCATCCATCCATCCTCCAACTGCCTCCAGACACTCACACAGGACATCCACCGCCGTCACTGGTTCTTATTTGAAAGAGAAGTAGAGCTGGGTATCATCCACATATTGATGAACACCCAATACAAACCCCCTGATGATCTCTCCCTGCAGCTGCATGTAGATGTTGAAAAGCATGGGGGGAGAGCACAGAATCCTGAGGCAGCCCACAAGTGAGAGCCCAGGGGTCTGAACACTCATCCCCCAACACCACTTTCTGGACACAGCCCAGGAGGCAGGCACGGAACCACTGTATAACAGTGCCCCCAGCTCCCAGCTCCTCTAGACGATCCAGAAGGATGTTATGGTCGATGGTATCAAATGCCGCTGAGAGATCCAGCAGAACTAGGAAACAGCTCTCACTTTTGTCCCTAGCCTGCCTCTGGAGATCATCGACCAGTGCGACCAAGGCAGTTTCAATCCCATGATGAGGCCTGATTCCCAACTGGAAGGGATCCAAATGGTCCGCTTCTTCCAGGCGTGCCTGGAGTTGTTCAGCAACCACTCGCTCAATCACCTTGCCCAAGAATGGAAGATTTGAAACTGGGCGATAGTTGGCCATATTGGCCGCATCTAAAGATGGTATTTTAAGAAGGGGTTTAATAACCACCTCTTTCAGCAAATCTGGTAAGGCTCCCTCACAGAGAGAAGCATTTACCACCCCACGAATCCCATCGCCCAGCCCTTCCCGGCTAGCTTTTATAAGCCAGGATGGGCAAGGATCAAGGAGACAGGTGGTTGGTTTGACTCATCCAAGCAGCCTGTCCACATCCTCGGGGGTAACAGATTGGAATTGATCCCACACAACTTGACTAGACAGGACTCTAGCACTCTCCCGCTCCGGCCCTGCTCCCACGGTGGAGTCTACTTCTTCCCGAATCTGAGCGACTTTATCTGCAAAAAACTTTGCAAAATCATTGCAGGAAATCTTGTGGCCCGTACTGGGCCCCGATGTAGCAGGTTGTTCCGCTAAATTGCGAACCACATGAAAGAGTCTCTTGCTGCTGTTTTCTGCAGATGCAATAGAGGCGGTGAAGAAAGTCTTCTTCACCGTCGCTACCGCCACTTGGTAGGCTCGACATTGAGCTCTAACCCGTGTCCGGTCAGCTTCAGAATGAGTTCTCCGTCACCAGCACTCTTGCCATCACAGCGATTGTTTCATTGCCCTCAAATCTGTGGAAAACCATGGGGCTGTCTGGGCTCCATGCAATCAGAGAGGGCGCTTCGGAGCTAAACAGTCAATAGCCCCGGTTAACTCCACATTCCAGCAGGCCACCAGGGAATCAACTGAAAGGCCATCAACATGGGATAAAGCATCCCCTGCCACTCTCTGGAAACCATTTGGATCCATTAAGTGGCGAGGGCAGATCATCCGAATCGGTCCCACCTCCCCGCAGAGGGGAAGGGTCGCAAATGACAAAGAAGGGTGGATGATCCTGTGTAGAAGCTAGCACATGGTGCAAAAGCGAAGTCTATAGCTTTGTTCTCTGCACACTGTTGCCTCTGGCCCTGCCCACCAGCAGCATGTGGCCCTCAGAAAGCTGCCCAGAAGGGAATGTGGCCCTTAACCTGAGAAAGTTTCCCCTCCGATATATTGCCACAGCAAACTCTATTCTCCATGTGCCTGCCAGCCCTTGCGCATCCAAAACCAACAGCACCCAAGCACAAGGAGAAGGCATCAGCGAGTTTGCGGGTAAACCCAAAGGTATGCAGAAGCACCCACACAAAAAATAATAATTAAAAAATATTTAGGGAAGAACACCCTGCACCGCAAAAAAAAAAAAAAAGCAGATTGAAGGCTGAGCATGCTGGCTGGTGGAAGGGGAGGGGGGAACAGGACAGAACACCAGGGATTGGGAGGGTAAATGGAATGGAGTATCCTGTAAGGGGGCCCTGAACAGGAAGACTTCACAGCAGATTATTTCCTTGCAGGTCTCACTTGTCTAGAACATCCACACTTCTGGGCAAAAAGGACTTACTGGATTAAGCCGGCTTTTCTTTCCCAGGCCATCTTCTTCCTGCATTTTTGAATGCAGCCAATAGAACCTGAAGTCTGTCTGGGGGGGAAAAAGAGAGGAGGAGAAGGAGTTTGGACTTGATATCCCACCTTTCACTCCCCTTAAGGAGTCTCAAAGCAGCTAACAATCTCCTTTCCCTTCCTCGCCCACAACAAACACTCTGTGAGGTGAGAGACTTCAGAGAAGTGTGACTGGACCAAGGTCACCAGCAGCTGCATGTGGAGGAGCGGGGAAGCAAACCAGGTTCACCAGATTACGAGTCTACCGCTCTTAACCACTACACCATGCTGGCCAGGAAGGTCATGTTAGGGGACTAAATGATAAGCAGCAGCCTCAAGAGCTCTGCCCTGAATATGGGAAATCCATCTGAATTTCTATGAGCTCCGCATGGAACAACCCCAAAAGGAGGCAACACAGAAGCTTTGTAGAAGCAGAGCAACTGCTTCTGCTCTGGATTGTGAAGCAAACTATCATGACTTCAACAGAATCCCTTATCTTGCTAAGCTCTTTTGTTGGTTATAGATTAAAAGAAAGTATATGGAGAGGTGGCCAAGACAAACAGGGATCCACTATTTAGGGCTAGTCTTGGTCGCCATGCCAAAAACCGCAGTCAGCTGAACACTGGAAGCTGCAGCCAGCGCAGAATGCTGCAGCATGGTTGCTGACAGGAGCGAGGCCCTGTCAGCGTATTAACACCTCTGCTTAGAGATCTGCACTGGCTGCCAATTTGTTACTGGGCCATGTTCAAGGTGTCACTATTAGTATTTAAGTCCCATAATGGCTTGGGTCTACTTTGCTCCCAGAATTGTTTTACCTCTTATATGCCCCCCATTAAATAAAAAAAAATAAAATTTAACTATGGGGCAACATCTCTAAAAACACCATTACAGGTGAGTTTTAGCAGAATCCAGGAAGTGTCTCAGAAAGGGAACAGAGAGGAGGAAACAGCTGCCAGGGATGCAAGCCAGTGGCAGGGCCAGAGGCAAAAAGGTACCTGGCAGTCGTACACAGGGTGTCCCCGCCAACACATCACATCGAGGATGTAGTACATCTGCTGGGCCTCGCTGTAGATGCAGTCCAGGATTGTGTATTCTTCACACAACAAGAGGCAAGAGATTAATCTCGGCCAGTGGTTCCCAAACTTCTTTGGGCCACTGTCCCTTGCTTCCATACACTTATACCCAGTGCTCCCTACCCTATAACAGGCATTATTCAGAATAGTTGTTTGCACAACCACTAAAGAAGAGAATTACACAATAAAATTCAAAATTTTGTTGTTGTTTAGTCGTTTAGTCGTGTCCGACTCTTTGTGACCCCATGGACCAGAGCACGCCAGGCACTTCTGTGGCGAAGTTGCCGTGGCGAAGGGGCTTGAATAACTCAGAGAAGCTATGAACTATGCCGAGCAGGGCACCCAAGATGAACAGGTCATAGTGGAGAGTTTTGACCAAACGTGATCCACCTGGAGGAGGAACCGGCAAGCCACTCCAGTATCCCTGCCAAGAAAACTCCATGGACAAAGACAACAGGCAAAATTCAAAATAGGAACGAATAATTGCACATTTAAAATCCAGTTAAAACTATTTGCTTTAGTTAATTCAGCCAAACTAAGGAAAGTGATCCTGAAGTTGCAAGAAAACAATGTTATAACAATGAACAATACAAATATGAAGAAACTTTGATCAAATTTACTCTAAGCTGTATAAAGCTCAAAGAATCTTGGGGGGGGGGGCAGGGTCGGATAGATGATTACTTGAAAAAACAACATCCAGCCAAAATCTCAGACTCTCCCAAAAATAGATAAATAAAAATCAATGGCCCTTTAACAATTCAGGTGTTATGCGAGGCTATTAAAAAATCCAAGAAAGAAAAGGTACAGCGGCCAGCTGCTAACTATCAATTTTTTGAAGAACTTCTACAACCCTTACAACGAGGACAATGAATAATATACTCATATACCAGATAGCTAAAAAGAGGCCAACATCCCACTTATACCTAAAGAGGGACAAGATTTGACCTCAGTAAAAAAATATCAGCCAATCTTATTACTGAACAGTGACTATAAATTATTTGGAGTGATTTTGGCAGCAAGTTTTTTTTTTTTTTTACAAGACTGGTCATGATGTATAATTTTTTTTAATAGATTTATTTATAGATTTTTACCTAAAAGACAGTTAAGAGACAATGTCAGAAATATGTTAGATATTTTGGAGTATTTGAACTGTCAGAACAAGAAGCTGTATTGATTTTTTGGGATACAGAAAAAGCTTTTGACATTGTGAACTGGGAATTTCTGTTTAGAGCTTTGCAAGAAATGAACTTTGGAGATTTCATTAAATGGGTGAAATTGATTTATTAAGCAGAAGACAGCTCACATAATTGTTAAAGGAGAATTAACAAAACCTTGTGAGATACAGAAGGGAACAAGGCAAGGGTGCCAACTGTCACCATTGCTTTTCATTTTGGTTTTGGAAGTCTTGCTTAGAGATATTAGACAAGATGAGAGAATTAAGGGGATAAAGATTAAAAAGGGAAACTACGTTAGGAGTTTTGCAGATGATCTGATGATAGTTCTGGAAAACCCATTACAGGGAGTGGAAACTCTTATGAATAAATTAAAGGAATTTGGCATGCTAGCAAGTTTTAAGGTTAATCATTAGAAAATGAAAATTTTAATAAAGAATATGACTACAGAAGAACAAGACTTTGACAGAGAAAACTGAATTTCAAATTGACAAAAAAGTAAAGTACTTAGGTATTAACCATGAGAAATTTGAATTGTATGTTGTTTCAAAATAATTATGTTAAGACGTGGGTGGAAATTTAAAAAGAGATGTTAAGATGGAATAAATTATAACTGTCCTTGTTGGGTAGAATTTCAGCGATAAAGATTAATATATTGCCCAGAATGATGTTCTTGTTCCAAACAATACCTGTTATAGCTAATGACTTATCGCTCAAGCAATGGCAAAAAGAAAAGAAAAAACCCATGGAAGGTGGGTAATGAATGGTACACGGAAGTTGGTTTTGAGTAAGGACCTGGAGTGTCTCTTTCAAGCAGATCTTTGCCCATTGGGAGATTGCAAAAAGGGAGGGGAATCAAGAAGTTACCTTTCCCTGTTGCTGAAGTACGGCGACTCCCACCTGGCAAAAGAGAAGGGAATCGGTTGACACAGAAACCGCTTTTGGTGTAAGCTGCAGTGGAGCCCTTGAAGGAGAGAAGAGAGGGAGGAGGAGGAAGGGATCAAGAACAAACAAGAGTGATTCCCCCCCCCCACTGTAAAAGGACTTCCTAAATTGTATATTCCAAGTAGAGCGGGGGGGGAGGCCCCCAAACCCCACATATATTTTATTATGTTTATATCCTTCCTTTTCTTCCATTGTGGAGCCCAAGGCAGTATTGCATATGGTAGTAGTAGTAGTAGTAGTAGTAATAATAATAATAATAATAATAGTAACAAGAAGAATAATTGTACCCCACCCATCTGACTGGGTTGCTGCAGGCACTATGGGTTGCTTCTAACATATATAAAAACTTAACAAAACATTACACATCAAAAGGCTTCCCTATACAGGGCTGCCTTTAGATGTCTTCTATAAGCCAGATAGTTATTTATCTCCTTGACATCTGGTGGGAGGGCATTCCACAGGACTGGCATGACTCCCAAGAAGGCCCTCTGCCTGGTTCCCTGTAGCTTCGCTTCTCGCGCGGTGAGGGAACTGCCAGAAGGCCCTCGGCGCTGGATCTCAGTGTCTAGGCTGAACGATGGGGGTGGAGACGCTCCTTCAGGTTTTCAGACAACCGCCTGTTCAGACCCAGAACTGCTTAGCTTTAGCCTCATGTGCCTTTAGACCAGCTAGCTTCAACCTTTTCACACTCAGGACCCACTTTCAACCCAAATATGCATTTGGGGACCCATTTCTTAATCTTTTTACCATATATTTGCATGGTGGTAGTACTCCTATTGCGACCCACTTTGGATCAGGCTGTAACCCACTAGTGGGTCCTTCCCCACCAGTTGAAGACCATTACTTGAGACTGTACCTTGGAACTGTATTACTGTTGAAACTCATTGCAGTGATGGCTGCTCTCATTTCTTTTTTAAAAAAGAAACATATTAAGAGAAAATTATGTTTTTTTAACAGCAGGAGTGGGGGACCTCTAGCCCATGGGCCAACTCTGGCCTGCCAGGCCATTCCTGGCAAGCCATGCCAACAGATGCCAAATGGATGCTGGAGGAAGGATGGGGAGATTGGCTCCTCCCTCCGCCAGCTTGCTGACTCACCTATATGGAATTCTTTGTCACCTACAGTGATCATGCAAGTTGTTAAAAACAAGGCTGGGATCACAAAAATGTTAAAGGCCACAAACACAATGCACAATTAAACAAACCTATCAACAAAACAGGAGATAAGAAGCAGCATGGAAAACAAGTTCTTAGAAATCATCAAAATACTTTTTAAAATGGAGTGTGTTTTTTTAAAATTAAAAAAAATGCTCTGTTAAGCTCTGTTAAAATGCAGCTTGTTCAGATGGGGCGAGATGGAACAGATCCATTTCGTAGTCTTGGAGGAGTTTCACATGCAATAAGCCTTTGGACACGGACGCGAGAGTTGCCTGATTTCAAAGGTTCCTCAACCCCAGCTTGCCAAGCTATTAGAATGCGGCAGGAAGACAATTTACAAAGCAGCAAGATAAAAACTCTTCCTTGGTTTGGCTTGTGGTAGAAGCCACGGTCTCTTACCTGAGATGCCACAATAAGAGCCCTCTTCCCCACAGGGCACACCACCAGCAGCCACTCCTGCACCAAATCTGGGGGCACGTCAATCAGCCATTCAGACAGCATCAGCTACAAAGGCAGTAAAGAAAATTGTTCACTTGTAGCACTGGGGAAAACGGCAAATGTCACAGCCTTCCCTGGCCTGGTGCCTGCCAGACACTGTAGGACTACCACTCCCATCAGCCCCAAGCAGCATGGCCAATGGTCAGGGATGATGGGAGATGCAGCTGGAAAAACGTGGTGGCACCAGGCTGGGAAAGCGTGGTGCAGAAGGAGAAATGCAACCAGAAACCTTACTGGTTAAAGCCAGGCCTGAACAGCTGTCAAGGCTATGAGATGGCCATAACCCAGCGGCAGAGCACTTGCTTAGCATGCAGGAGGCCTCAGGTTCAGTCTCCCCTGGAAAGGACTTCCGCCCAAGAGCCTGGCAACCCAGTCAGTACTGAGCCAGCACTGGATTGATGATCTGAGGATACCTTCTCTGTTCCTCTTTATTTTTATTAATCCTGGCCCAAAGAGCCACTAGATGCAGCAAACCCCAGAGCTGCCACAATGAAGCAAACCACAGAGCTCTAGGCACCTCTTGGGGTTTGAGATGGAGGAAGCTGCTGTGGTCAGGAGTGTTGAAGTTTCAAATTCCAAGAATGAGGGGTGCTAAAAAGTTGCAATGTGGCTCAGGAATTCTAAAGATACTTTGGTAAAACTGATTGATAAGATTCATTGATTGATTGATTGATAAGATTGACTGATTGGTAAGTAAAATATGTGTAAAATTGCATAGAAAACAAAAAAATGATTGCCAAGTGCTTGAAGTTTTATTATTCATTATTATTGTTGTTGTTATTAATCACTTTTCAGAAGGTAAAAGTAAAAGTCTTTCATTTTCTGAAAGCTGTTTATATGCTTCTTAATCAAAGGTAGACTTACTAAGCTAAATGTTTTCCAATCAGAAAAATAATTGCAAGTGTGAACTCACACCCAAAACCATATTTTTAAGATCCCTCACTGAAGAAATGTACAAAAATTAAGTTTCTCCCCCTAAAATAACAATTCCTGCCTACTGCTGTAGCTCTAAGCCAGGATTCCTCAAACTCAGCCCACCAGAGACTACAATTCCCATCATGCCAGACCACTGGTTCTGCTACCTAGGGATCATGGGAGTTGTAGGCCAATAACATCTGGAGGGCTGAGTTTGAGGAAGGCTGCTCTAAGCCACTTCCTTGGCTGGCTGGCAAGAAGGGAGAAAGAGAAAGCTTATCGCTCAGCAAAGGCCTGCTTTTGCAGAGAAAGCCATAACAAGCTGGCACCTGCTTATGGACAGCATTGAAACAGAACGTGCTTCCCAAACCAGTGGAATTAGGGTATAAAACTTAAAGAACTCTGGCTGCATTTGTCCCTAGAAAACTAAGCAAACAAAGTAAGTCGAAGGCCCTCAACAGCCCTCATAGTAAAGCCAACCAAGGCTTCCCTTTCGCCTTCACCCCAAGGGCTCACTGAGTAAGCCCTGCACTGGCAACTATGAAGGACTCTTCAAATTTAAAATGCTTTGTTGCTTCAAAGTTGCCATGAAACTTCAGCATCCCAGGAACTCTTATGTCGCAGGGCTAGAGGCTAGAGGGATTTGAGGATGGAACCATCCGTAGGGGGAGACTAGCTTTGTCCTCGTGGTTTGTGGGCTTTTGCTATCATTTTCATATGACTTTTTAAAAATTCCTTTCCTATTTATTACACTGAGTATTATATCATTCCCTTTTTGTGGTTCTTTCTTGCTAAATTACTTCAGAACTCACAGTAATGATTAGGATAATTTAAAATGCAGGGTTTGATTTTCATTTTAGTTTTAAAAAAGCAAACAACCCTGCATTTTTGTAAGTCATCTGGAGACTATTTTTTATTAGGAGACTCATAAATGAAATAAAATCAATAAATGAGAAATAGTCACATTAATATCACATAAGGGTCATCCCTCAAGTAGTTTATTCTTTATGTTTATTTTCCCACTTTCCCTAGGTTGACCATTGTACATGAGTAAACTCTTTAATTAAGCATAGAACCGTAGAGTTGAAAGGGTCCTCAGGGTCATCTAGTCCAACCCTTGCAATGCAGAAATCTCAACTGGATCTCAGTTTCAGTTACAACTTTCAAGCTGTATAAACACCATACATTTAAAGAACATCCCCCTTAACTCCAAAAAGAACAATGGGAAATGTAGTTTGCTAAAGGTCCTAGGAGTTCTGTGAGAGGCAAACTACAGTTCCCAGGGTTTTAAATGTATGGTGTGTACATAGCCTGAATCTGTGGCCCTCTGCGGTTCCACTTTCTCTTTCTATAATGCTCCCAGATGACCATAATTCCATTGCTTGTACTCAAAGCCACAAAGGAGAAAAATCAAATAAGGTTGTAGTCAACCAAGTTCTACTCAGAGGAGATCCACTGACATGAATGTACTCAAGTTAGTCATGTCCATTAATTTCAATGGATTTCCTCCAAGTATTCTTAGGATTCGATATAACCCAAAATCTATTAACATTGTACCAACTATACAAAAAAAACCCCAACCCACTCTCTTAATGGTGGTTATTATTTCTTAGATTTATAATCAGTCAGACAAACTTATTTGCTAAAAAAAGCTTGATTACTACAAAATACCAGATTGAGAAAGTTATAGTCTAGCACATGTGACCCCCAATATACTAGAATTTTTTGTCTGATTTTCAGGGCACCTAGAGCAAACAGAGCACAATTTATCCCTAACAATCAATACTTGGCAAATTTCTTTCCAGCAATTCCAAAAGAAAACTGTCCAAAAATCCTATTTAAAACCCTACGGTAGTTATATACAAGGAGCAATATAACAGTATATTAACAGTATATTCCAGTATATTCTACCTCTGCTTGGTCACAAACACATTAAATGGTGTTGGATTTATAGTCATTCATCAATAAACATTTCCTGGAGAGCTTACAACACAATATAGAATAGCATTAAAAACCAATGGCAAATGACATGAAAATATTTCCTTCCCTAAAGAAAGGAAAAATTGTTCACAACCTGGATTTAAAATATAGTGTGAAAGTCTATGCTGACTATATGAATGCACCTAACATATTAATTAGGACCGTATCAGCAAATGATAGAGGAACTGAAACCATGCATTGTCCAAGGGAGGTACAAATCTAGTTCATTCCAACACCAAACTAATTGGTTTGATTGGGATTGTAAAAAGTCTCCTACAGTTGCAAATACACCAGAAGGGTCAAGACAAATCACTCTCCAAAGATTATCAAGGAATTTATAAATAAGAAACACAGGAAGCAAATTAGGGATAAGAAAAGCGCTTTTCAGAGACACTTTTGGCTTAGCTCCTCTCTCCACAAGTCTACAGCCTCCTGCCTCCACTCTAAAGAGCCAGAAACTTGAATTCACATTTTGCTAACAAATAAGTCTCTGGGGAAAATTATGTCCCAGGAGGGAAATAATCAGAATGATACCTCATATACACAAAAGCAACAAGGGCTGGCTTCTATTTGGAGCCCAGTTTTCCCCTTGCTCAGTTTTCCTCTCTGCTACCAGTCCCCCTCACCTGGTTGGCGTAGCGTTTTGGTAGCTTCGTCCCGACTTCCATCTCCATGTCTGCACTGTCTGCACCTGCCCCCTCCTTCTCCTTCTCCTTCTCCTCCTCCTCGGTGCCTGTCCAATCATCCTCTGCCAGCCTCCTAGCATGGTTGACATAATCCAATCGCTTACTTGTCAGGAGAAAGAAAAAGAAGGAAAGATTTGAAATTTCCCACCAACTTAGATAGGAAAGAAAATTCTTTATATCCTTTTCCTGCTGCCCAGTAACAATAGCTTTCGGGGTGACATACAAACAAAACAGTAATATTTTATTTAAAATATATATACAAAAATAAAAAAAATCCAATAAAACAAGGGTAAAAGACAAAACAAAACAAAATCAGTAAACAATGCAACTACTGTATTAGAACAAACCACCATTCCAAAGCAGAGATAGTAAGGAAAATGTCATAGAACAATAAATTAAGGAAGAAATGCAATAGCCCTAAAGCAATCAATTCCATAGTTAAAACCATTATACTAAATCCACCGTGCAGCTTTTGTATGGTAGCATCCTGCCTTCATAAGTCTGCCTGCCAGGCTGACACTTTCTGTCTCATCTGAACTTTTCATTAACATAGGGTTGCCATATTTCAAAAGTGAAAATTCAGACAGAAAAGTTGATCAGCTTTTTTTTTCTTTCAAAATCTTGAAATTTTTTTTTTTTTTTGCAATCCTAATTAACACTGACTTTGATGTCTTGCTATGGTCTGTTGGTTTCAATCTGAGCTGACCAATTTTATTCCATGCTGTGAATTTAAGATCTTCCCTCCACAATTTTTGCCATTCTGAGAGTTGTATATTATGACCTAGATCTCTTTCCCACTTTACCATGGCTGATTTTACCTCCTCATACTTCACTGACCATTCTAATAAAATTTTATACATTTTGGACAGTTTTTTGTTGTCATTATATATCATCTATATCTATCTATCTATCTGTCTGTCTATCTATCTAGCTATCATCTTTTAAATTTTATTCAGTTTATTTACAACACGTATACACACACTTGTCAAACTGAACATAAAAATAATAATACAGAATCAAGAGAGAAACAAACAACAAGACATAAAACAAAACAAAAAAGGACAAATAAAACATAACATACGAAGAAGAAGAGTTTGGACTTGATATCCCGCCTTTCACTCCCCTTAAGGAGTCTCAAAGCGGCTAAGAATCTCCTTTCCCTTCCTCCCCCACAACAAACACTCTGTGAGGTGAGTGAGGCTGAGAGACTTCAGAGAAGTGTGACTAGCCCAAGGTCACCCAGCAGCTGCATGTGAAGGAGCGGAGACGCGAACCCGGTTCCCCAGATTACGATACTACCGCTCTTAACCACTGCACCACACTGGCTCTTATACACCACACGAAAACGTATACAAAACAAATAGTCATACACACCCACACACCCACCCACCATATTTCAATTCTTTTCTTCCATTTGATTTAATCCTCAACATGGTTCTTTTATCGTTTTTGGTAAACCGTCTCCTTTTTAGTTCATTATTACTCCTTTTTCTTTCTTTTTAACTTAAGTACCATAAATTATTTTGCAGAAATCAATCAAAATAAGTCCAAGTATTAATTTGAGGGCACTGCTATTAAAAATATTCTCTTTGTTTTACCCATTATTTTTGGAATTTTTGTTTGGTTTGACCCCTAATTGCCTCTGTCAATCTGGCCAATTTAATATAATAAAATAATCTGCCTTGCCATTATTTTTTTGTCGGGATTATTTCTTTTTTCTAATTTTTGGCAATTAGTGTTCTCGCCACTCCCATGGCGTAAAGGAATATTTTCTTATTTTCTCTGGCAATATCTATGTCTAGTATCCCCAATAAAAAAGCTTGTTTTCTTAACAGTTTTGTTTAAACATTTTCTTTAACTCTTCGTACACTATATCCCAGAAGCCTTTGATTTTATCACATGTCCACCACATATGTATGAATGTCCCCTCTGCTTTGTTATACCTCCAACACAGATTTGATTTTGTTTTATGTATTTTACATATTTTGGTTGGTGTTAAATACCATCTGTAAAACATCTTTATTAAATTTTCCCTTATCACTTCACAAGTCATCATCAAGTCACTTTTGAATCTTGAAGGTTCTTTACTAAAGCCCTTTTTTATCTTGTTTAAATAAGTCACGTATTTGGTGGTATTGTAACCAATTGTTGACTTTACTTCTTATTTCTTCAAAATTTTTGAGTCTTAGTTAGTTGCCTTCTTCACAGATAATTTCTTTATACGTAACCCATTCAACCATCTTGTTAATTTTCTTTACTGTCATGGCTCCCATCGGCAACAACCACCAGGGTTTCTTTTGTTCCAGGATACCCTTATTTTTTGTCCAGACTGCATATAGAGATCTTTTTATTACATGAGTCGTAAAATCTCTGTGAACTCTCGCCTTATTGTAGCATAAGTAAGCATGCTAGCCAAACAGTTGTTAAAACCCTCTGTCTAATAAGTTGGGACGTGGGTGGTGCTGTGGGTTAAACCACTAAGCTTCTTGGGCTTGCCGATCAGAAGGTCGGCAGTTCAAATCCCCGCGACAGGGTGAGATCCCATTGCTTGGTCCCTGCTCCTGCCAACCTAGCAGTTCGAAAGCACGTCAAAGTGCAAGTAGATAAATAGGTACCGCTCCAGTGGGAAGGTAAATGGCGTTTCTGTGCGCTGCTCTGGTTCACCAGAAGCGGCTTAGTCATGCTGGCCACATGACCCGGAAGCTGTACGCCAGCTCCCACGGCCAATGAAGTGAAATGAGCACCGTAACCCAAGTCGTCGTGACTGGACCTAACGGTCAGGGGGCCCTTTACCTTTTTAAGTCTAATAAATCAGTACAGTGGTACCTCGGGTTACATATGCTTCAGGTTACAGACGCTTCAGGTTACAGACTCCGCTAACCCAGAAATATTACCTCGGGTTAAGAACTTTGCTTCAGGATGAGAACAGAAATCTCGCAGCGGCAGCAGGAGGCCCCAAGCGAATGTAACCTGAAGTGTATGTAACCCGAGGTACCACTGTACGGGGAAACTACCAGAATCATGGGAGGAGGCCTATATAACCTTAATCCCTAAGGAAACATCAGTTAAGAATTACCGACCTATATCTCTCCTTAAAAATGAATATAAAATATTTGCAGATATAATAGTAAGTAAATTTAAACGTATACTGAAAGACTATATTCATGAGGACCAAGCAGGATTTCTCCCAGGAAGCCATATGAAAAATAATATGAGATATGTAATAGATACTCTAGAGCTGGGGTATCCAACTGGTTGACCACAGGATGATCGTGGTCAACCGTGGGATCCTTATTGCGTTGTTTAGAATCATGTCTCCGCCCCTCCGCCTTTCCCTGCGTCGCTGTGTTTGTGTGTTAGCGAATGTGTTGTTGGTGAGCAATTTATTTTAACTCTGCACACTTACTGTTTAAAAAAGGGGCAACAACTTTGACCTGCCCCCCTAAAAAAAGTTCAACAACTCTGAACTCCCCCCCATGGGTAGATCACTGCCAGTCCCCCCCCCCCCGGAGTAGATCGCAGTCTCTTGGGAGCTGGACGTCCCTGCTCTAGAGTATCTGGAAGTCACAATCGAAAAACAGGTGGTACTGTTATTTATTGATGCAGAGAAGACATATGACAATGTCTCCTGGAGGTTTGTGAAAAAAACATTAGAAATGATAGGAGTGGGAGAATTTTTTTATAAAGGTATAAACGCAATATACTTGCAACAAAGAGCTAAACTAGTTATAAATAACAATCTAACAGAAAATTGTAATATAAAGAGAGATACAAGCTAGGGGTGTCCTTTACTCACATTGTTATTTATATTGGTGTTGGAAATTCTGAATACGAACATGAAAAGAAAAGAAAAGAAAAGAAAAGAAGGGGTATAATAAGGGGTATAGTTGTTGGAAACAAGACCTTCAAAGTAAAAGCCTTCACCAATGACCTGACTATAACCACGGAGAACCCAAAAGAAAGTGTGCCAATAGTGATAGAGAAGATTACGGAATTTGGGCTAGTTGCAGGCTTTAAACTTAAGAAAGAAAAAACTAAAATGTTAGTCAAAAATATGAGAAGAGGATAGAAGAGAACTACATCATCTTACAGGTAGAGTCCATTTCAGATACAACAGCTAAAGGCCAGAAATGATAAGCATTTAAGAATTTAAGAGACAGCACCTGGCATGTTGCCTGCAGACAATTATATATATATTTAAAATATATTAACTATTATCTTTCCTGAGGACAGGTGAGTGTGGCAGGTAACTGAGTGGCAAATGTGTCTGCTTCTTAAATTCCCCACTCCCTGTCTTCAATATGGCAGTAACGGTACTTGCCTGCTTTACAAGGTTGTTGTACAGATTAACAAGAAGACAATGAGATGTAGTCAGTGTGAGCTCAGAGCCAATCCATTGAAACGAATGAACATTATTCATTTAGGTCCATTAATTTCAATGGGTCTACTCCAAGGAGAACTTAGTTGGATACAATCCAATGTTTCATATATAATTTGCTTCCATGGCTCCTTTTTATGCCGCTTTGGCATTTATAGTTGCCTAATTATGTGGAATGACTATGATTAGCATTCTTTCGTTTTGAATGTGGAATTTGCATTCCCATGTTATATTGATGGTTTGGTTTGGTTTACATTGCTTGGTTAGTATTGGACCTGAGAGCCCAGGATTCCAGCCCCACTCATTCATGAAGCTCACCAGTCTCTGTCTCTCAGCCTCACCTACCTGCCAGGGTTGTTGTGAGAATAAAATGGGAAGAAGAATCACCATGTGTGCCACAGTGGGCTCCTTGGAGGAAAGGCAGGATAGAAATTTAATAAATAAATAATACCCGCAACAACATGGAAATATAGCCATTTAGAGATGCCCCTTACGTTTTCTGAAATGCAAGGAGCTGCCGTCGCCTCTCTGCCTGCTCCAAGGAGCTGTACTTGGATTTGTACTGTGCCAGCCGGGGGTGTGGTGCTGCTGTGCTGTTGAGGTCCTGGGAGACAGCAAAGCTGAAAGCGAGAGCTTGGCTCAGCTCCTCCATTGTTTCTGTAGGCGATACAGGGGAAGGAAAGCCAGACCAAGACATTTAGGTACAGCAGAATTAATTTGGTTCAGCTCAGAGTAGGTCAAGCCAATGCAAACACAACCAAAGGTCCATCTAGTCCTGCATCCTGTGGGAGTGGTCTAGATGATGCTTGGGGTCCTTTCCAACTACAGTGGTACTTCTGGTTAAGAACTTAATTCATTCTGGAGGTCCGTTCTTAACCTGAAACCGTTCTTAACCTGAGGTACCACTTTAGCTAATGGGGCCTCCCGCTGCCACCGCGCGATTTCTTTTCTCATCCTGAAGCAATGTCCTTAACCCGAGGTACTACTTCCGGGTTAGCAGAGTCTGTAACCCGAGGTGTTTGTAACCCAAGGTACCACTGTATACGATTCTACGATTCCTACAGTGGCTACCCAGGATACCTCCAGGAAGCCCAAAGGCCAAAGATGAAGCTCACAGCTCTTAAATTGAGAGGAAGACTGCTCTGAGCCAGGAATGTCTCATACCTAGGGGCCAATGTGCCCTTCAGAACTCTGTCTGGCCCTTGTCACTCTCTCCAGGCCATGCCCCTTACTGGCCCCAGAGTTTTTGCCTGCCTGAAACATGTCCTTGAACTCTGATGATCCCACTTGTTTCTCTGGATGCAGGTCAAAGGTGTGTGTGAAGAAAGCAGCCTATTGGACCAAAATTAGATTCACTCTCATTGCTCCAATGGCCTTTTAGTCCATAAATGTTTATACGGCGATGAATCTGTCTGCTTCATCAGGTGCAGAAAGTCTTGTCTTTAACGGACTGAAATCTGCTAACTAGCTTGTCTTTGCGTCTCTGCTAACTAGCTTGTCTCTCTTGTCATCACCAAACTCAGCATGAGGATTCCCAAGTTGGGGCAGCCTCTCCACCCACATTTGGATGCCAGGTGCCATTTTGAATCAAGATGGGAGACCAAAACATGGCCTGGCATGACTTCGTCCTTTTTTTGGCATAGGTTCATCTGCCTCTCGAGATACCGCTGCCGAACTTGCATGAGACTTGGTGGTCTCTATCAACATTTGGACGCAAGGCACCATATGGAGTCCAGACGGCGGCTGAAACTTTGCCTGGTTTTTTGGCATAGGCTTGCCCACCTCTCAAGGTACCATTTGGCGAGGGCTCCTAAGACAGGAAACGGGGCCTGTCCACACTTGGGCCCCAAGCTGAATAAAGGCAGGGGACCAAAGCGGGACTTTGGCTTGACATGATGTTGGGGGTGATGGCAAACTCAGGAATTACACTCCCTACTGAAACACCGGCCTCTTTGGGGGCTCCTGGAGTTTCCTGGGCAGTGGCGGGTGGGTAGACCTACATGTAGGTAGGGAGCGCCCGGCACTGCATCACCATCTTTATTCTCTGTCTCTATACAGTGGTACCTTGGGTTACATACGCTTCAGGTTACATACGCTTCAGGTTACAGACTCCGCTAACCCAGAATAGTACCTCGGGTTAAGAACTTTGCTTCAGGATGAGAACAGAAATTGTGCTCCGGCGGCGCAGCAGCAGCGGGAGGCCCCATTAGCTAAAGTGGTGCTTCAGGTTAAGAACAGTTTCAGGTTAAGAACGGACCTCTGGAACGAATTAAGTTCTTAACCCGAGGTACCACTGTATGTAGGAAATAAGCCCCAGATCCGAAGTTAACCCCTTCCGACTGTGATGACAAGCCCTGGGGGGCTTCCCAGTCGCACAGCATCGCACCCCTCCGAGGAAGCCTGGTCCGTCGCCCGGCCGGGGCTCCGCGACTGGGCGGGGGCGGCGCTGATGCTTCTCGGCCGCCCGATATCCCCGCCCCCAGGCTGCGCCTCCGCCGCCCCCCGCCCGCCAAGCCGCCCAGTCTCCCGCCGGAGCTCACCTTCCCCGCTGGACCATCCAAGGCGGGAGGCGGGGTCTACCAGGCGCGCCTCCCGGCGGGACTCGAACCGGCAGAGTTCAGGGCGCGGAGCGAGCGGCCGACCGTCACGCGCCCGCGGCCTCCGTCTCGCCTCGGCCAACCGGCTTCTTGCCCGGAGTTCGCCGCTCGGCGAGGCGGAAGGGCGGGGCCAGGAAAAGGCCCTCCCCCGGCCCGCCTCTCCCCGCCTCGGGGGGACGCGTGCGCATTCTCCGCCCCGCCCCTCGGCCGCTTGCTTAAGGTCTTATTTCCAAAAGCGCTTTGGTAAAGGCGGAAATGAAGAGAGCGCCTGCCCCAAGGAGACAGCCAGCTTATAAAATTGTGTACGGCACAGAGAAAGCGTCTAAAGAAAAGATTCCCCCCTTTCTAGAACCTGTGGACATCCATTGAGGCTGAATGGGGGAAGATTCAGGACGGATAAATAGAAGTCCTTCTTCACATAGTTAAACTGTGGAACTCCCTTCCACAAGAGGCAGCCGTGGCCACCAACTTGGATGGATTTCATAGAGGATTAGACTAATTCATGGAGGCTATCAGCCTAGATGTGTGGCATAATGGATAGAGCGCAATGGTATCCTGGCTGCAAGGCCATGCACCATTCATTTGGGAATAAGCCCCATGGGGCACAGACAGACTTCTGGTTGAACATGCATAGGATGGCACTGCCTGGCAGTTGCTCCCCCAGAAGCAGAGCTAATATGAAATGTGCTTTTGCAGGCATCCACATGTGACCTTCCTGACTGGCATTGTGGACCTTATTATTTTTATTGCATCATTTATACTGCACTATCCATGCATATGGCCCTTGATAAAGTCCCTGGGGGCAGCAGTCTTTCTTGATGGGATTGCAATCTAAAATAGCTATAAATGAGAGTTGGAACAACCAGCTGCAAATCAATTCTGATAATCATATTTACTGCAACAGACTGCAATGGATGGAGGTGAGTATCAAGTTATTGCCCCTCACAGCAGACTCATTGAAATTAATCTGCACACCCATTAATTTCATTGGGTCTACTCTGAGTAGGACCCTCTTTGGATTTAACCCCTCACCTGGGAGGTTTGGGTTTAAATGCCCATTCTGTCAGAAAGCTTGCCTGGGCCTGTCATTCTCTCATGGCCTAGACTACCTCCCACAATTGCCTAGCTGTGTTGGTCTGCCGTAGTCAAAACAAAACAAAAAAAATTCCTTCCAGTAGCACCTTAGAGACCAACTAAGTTTGTTATTGGTATGGGCTTTCGTGTGCATGCACACTTGTTCAGATACCCACAACTGCCATAAGGGGAAAGGGGCAGCAGGAAGAGCATCAGCTCTTCATCAGCATTACAGGGTGGGATAAAACCTGCAGCACAATGTTGCAGCGCAGAGTGCTCTTGCTCAGGGTGCCAGCTATGCCCCTTTCCAGGGTGCTCCATTCCACCCCACCAGTCTTCTTTGGGGCCCTCCCATTATTCAGTAAGCAATCCATGCCCACTGAGCATGCTCATTCCTCATGGGATTGGTTTTTTTATCCCCTCATGCCCTTTCCTTAGACTGCAACCTGTTCTCTGACCTGCACACTAATTTGGGAGCAAGCCACACTGAACACAGTAGGACTTCCTTATGAGAAGACGTACATTGGATTACTCTGGTAGGGTGTTTTTTGTTTTGTATTTTGTAGACCTTGGAGTCTGCCCCCCCCTCAGCTTGCTGATGCCTCCTTCTTATGTGGGAGGGGTGCCATTTTGTCTACACAAAGAGCCACCCTTGGCGCATCAGTTCTTTCTTTGGATATAGGATTAGCATGCACCAAGCCAGTCTGACCTGAATCCCTAAAATTCATTTCCTTGGAACTTGGAAGCAAGTTCCACTTAAATAAACAATACTTCTATCCAAGTGAGCCTGAAATCCGTATAGGATAGAAGTATTGTTCTAGGTAACATGGTTACCTAGACGTAAGCACAACAGGGCAGTGAGTACCACTAACAAACAGGATCAGGCTGTACAGCTACAATCTTAACACAGTATTCAGTGGAACTTCAAAATAAGTGCAGGATTTTCTGGTGTGCATTGAGAACTGGGGTGCAACGTTCACTCCAGGGGTCTGCCTTTCACTGATGCAATCATTCAGTGTTTGGACTGCAGGTGCACAAGCAAATGAAAGACATGCGTGCCCCTCCATATTTCACTCATTCCCTGTGCATAGAAAACCACAGGGAGCCCAATTTAAATGACTGCTTTCAATTAAATGTTCCCATCCCATGTAATTCCTAAGCAAAGTCTGTGTTAATTGGCTGGAATAACTTAAAAGCAAAACTGCAAAGCTGGAGTCTCCATACCAGCTACGTCAGTGGTCAGTGAGGGTGCGGGAGGACCACTTTTTCTTAAAGATAGCCGTGGGTCACCTGAACAAAGCTGACAGGCCCCCGGTGGTCTGTAGAGCACAGCTTGCGAAATACAACTCGCAGCTCTCAGCTGGCTGCGGATGATGGGAGTTGTAGCAGCAGAAGACAAACAAGAGGTTGTGTTTTCGTTTTTCTGGAAGTCCGCCTGACGTGGACTTGGAGGAGCCTGCCGAGCTTCCCCGGGAGAGCGGGCGCGGCTCCGGCAGCGGGCTGCAGAGGGCAGCCGCGGTCCTCGCTGCCTGCCGGGGCGGCTCTGGGTCGCGGCTGGGCGGGAGCGTGCGCGCGTGTTCGCGGCGGCCAGCCGGCGCCCCAAACTTCCGAGGCTGCCCGGCTCCTGGCGCACGTCACGGAGCGCGACCGGGCCGTGAGAGCGAGAGCAGCGCTGCGCCCCCGACGAGAAGGCGGAGGCGGCGGAGGGTCGGGGCCCCGGGGACCTTCGGGGCTTGAGGCAGCCTCGCGGACGAGGGCCGCCGGGGGGCCGGGCGAGGGCTGCTCCGCCTCCCCGCAGCCCCGGCCTCGTTCCCGGCGGAAGTGGCTCCCGTTGGCCCGGATCCTGCTCTCGGCGCAACCAGCCGGGCTCCGTCGCAGCAACCCCGCGGAAACTTTCGGCGCTCGGCCTCCCCTTGCGCGGCGGGACGGAACCCGCGCTCGCCCGCCCGCCCGCCCGGAGGCTGCCCTTGACACTAGGACTCCGCAGGCGCCGGGAAGCGGCGACCGCCTCGCGCGAAGGACTTTCCTGCCCCGCTCTTTCGCAGCGCCCCTTTCCCCCTTTCTTTCCGCGGAAGAAACAGGAGACCCCTCGGACGAGGCTGGCGGGATCCGCTCTGAAGGAGTCCGGAGCAAAAGGCACCTGCGGCCTTGAAGGGATTTAACGCTCAGCTGGCGGAGCGGAATCCCTGGAAGCGAGGAGATCTATTTGGAGAGCTGGGGGGGGGGGGCAAGAAAGTCACGTTGCTGCGTGGAATCCTCCTGCCTTATCGCCCTCCCAAGGCCTGCAAAGCAGCAAACTACTTCTTCTGGTTTCTATTTCATTTTCTTCCCTCCTGGCAAAAGACATCAACAAGTCCTCTTGAACTCTCTGCTTGCCCTGTTGAAATAGGAGGGGCTGTGCATGTTTGTGTTATTCTGAGGACTAAAGGCGTGACCCATTCAGTTTTGGATGGACTTGCGACTTTTAATTTTTTCCCCACCCCTCTGGAGGGTTGTGGATTTCGAATCAGACCCAAAAGGCTTGCAAAACATTTTCAATCTGTAATAACAACAGTAGGGTTTTTTCAGTTGTTCTTTTTTAATTCTTCTTGAAGGTGTTTTTTCCCCAGCACCATGATCGTGTATTACGCTGGATTTACTTTCAGATGAAATTGAGCAAAATTATTTAATTTTAAAAATATACATACATTTTGAAAGATAAACTTTCCTTAGAAAAGCCCTATCTTGGATATCACTCACCTAATGGGAGACTGCTAACTTTTATGGATACCTCAGGTTTGGTTCACGAATAACTTGTTTGCAAGATAAAATCAACACAGGACCGACAGTTTTCTAAATTATTCATGGATCTGACCAAGTCCTGTATAACCTGAAAGGGGGGCAGGGGTTGACAATGCTGTTTCCTTTGCCCTGAGCGGGTCACGCCTGCCGACTTGTTGGACCTGATAAACCTCAGGACTGATTCTGAAGAAAGAGACAAATTGTTTTGGTTTTTTCCGGGAAAGTCTATGAAACCCCTTTGATTTCGCAAAAGTGTTTCAGATTTTAAGGCACATGGCAAGTGCTGTGCTTAAGTAGGGACTTAAGTATTCAAGGAACAACGGCAGTGCTTGTGGTGAGGAGACCTTTTTGTGTCAGCAGCGGGTTGTGCCACAGTGAGCAGCCATGGCAATGAAAGCCAGAGCTCTCTACAGCTTCCGCAGCGAAAACAAGGAGGAGATCAGCATCGAGGAGAATGAAGAGCTGGTCATCTTCAGTGAGAACTCGTTGGACGGGTGGTTGCAGGGGACCAATAGCCGTGGCGAGACAGGCCTCTTTCCCGCGTCCTACGTGGAGATCCTTCGCTCCAGGACAGCCTCGACTTACTCAGACTATTCCAGCAGCCCAGCCAGGTCCCCTGGAAATGGCTCCTCCTGCTATGGGACCCCGTCCAACACCAGTGTCTCCCACCAGGGCAGCTTCGAAGATGACGATGACGATGACTGGGATGAATGGGATGACAGCAGCACTGTGGTGGAGGAGCCCAGGAGCAGGCCTGGCACCAACGGGCACCCGTCCCCGCACCTGTCTTACCCTGGGCCGTACAATATGGGCTACCGGCCCAAGCCTTCCTTGGAGAGGCAGGACAGCATTGGGTCTTCCAAGAGGGGCAGCGTGGTGGGGAGGAACCTCAACCGCTTCTCTTGCTTTGTCCGGTCTGGGGTGGAGGCCTTCATCTTGGGCGATGTCCCCATGATGTCTAAGATCTCAGAGACCTACTATATTGACATGGGCCCCAGTGGGCCCCAGTGGAGGCCCAGTCCGCACCCTCTGGTCTGCTCCGTGGAGGATCCCACCAAACAGACCAAGTTCAAAGGCATCAAGAGCTACATCTCCTACCGGCTGACGCCCAGCAGCACCAACTCGCCAGTCTACCGGCGGTACAAACACTTTGACTGGCTGTACAACCGGCTGCTGCACAAGTTCACTGTCGTCTCTGTGCCCCACCTGCCCGAGAAGCAGGCCACGGGGCGCTTTGAGGAGGACTTCATTGAGAAGCGCAAGCGGCGGCTGATCTTGTGGATGGACCACATGACCAGCCACCCGACGCTGTCGCAGTACGAGGGCTTCCAGCACTTCCTCACCTGTGGCGATGACAAGCAGTGGAAGCTGGGGAAGCGCCGGGCAGAGAAGGATGAGATGGTGGGCGCCAGCTTCCTGCTGACCCTCCAGATCCCGACGGAGCACCAGGATTTGCAGGACGTGGAGGACAGAGTGGACACGTTCAAGGCCTTCAGCAAGAAGATGGACGACAGTGTGCTGCAGCTGACCAATGTGGCTTCTGAGCTGGTGCGGAAGCACCTGGGCGGCTTCCGCAAAGAGTTCCAGAAGCTGGGTAACGCCTTTCAGGCTGTGAGCCAGTCCTTCCAGATGGACCCTCCCTACAGCTTCAGTGCGCTCAACGGTGCCCTCTCGCACACGGGCAAGACCTATGAGGCCGTGGGGGAGATGTTTGCTGAGCAGCCCAAGAACGACCTGTTCCTCATGCTGGACACACTTTCCTTGTACCAGGGGCTCCTCTCCAACTTCCCAGACATCATCCATCTTCAGAAAGGTAAGTGCAGAGCGCGCAGCCATCCAGGAGGGTGCTGCCAAGTGCACCTTAGGGGCAAAACACTGCTGGGGAGGAGGAGGCAACCGGTGTGGCTCGGGTGTTGCGTTCAACAACCGAGTGAGAGGCCGTCTGTAGTGGTGCCTCCTTGTATAGAAACAATGAAAAAACCCTCAATACATACAATCTACTCTCCGTGGTGAGCAAGCAGGTTTGCCAATCCATATCGATGGCAGAGCAGAGACAGGACATCTCCAAATGATGCTGGGCTCCAGCTACCCTCCCTTGACCACTGGCCATGTTGACTGGGCCTGATGTGAGTTAGAGTTCAGCATCCTCTGCATCCCTTGGAGTAAGCACGGAGTCTCAGGGTGTTGGTCCAATAACAAGGGTGACATATTTATTCCACTTAACTCTGCACCAGGCTGGGCTTCCTGTGGCCTCCCAGACATTGCAGGTCTCACAACTCCACTCAGCATCAGCCAGCTGGAGGGGGGTGGCAGCTGGAGTCTAGCAACATCCAGCGGGGCATAAGTTTCCTACATAAGATCCGCCCCCCCCCCCGGTAAATTAGAATTTGAACTTACTAGCTTCCCCCGGAGACAATTCCTGAACCCATCAGTATTTCACAACCAGACTTCTTTCTTTTCTTTTCTTTTTTAAAAAGAATTATTTCTGCCTGAAAAATATTAGAAGCCTTTCCATAGGAAATGGGCCCTGGCTCCTTTGGGATTTAACTGTTGGAACTGATCCCACTTCTAAGTGTAGAAGCCATTTGGGAGTTACAAGTGCCATGGCATTTATTGCTTCCCTAAGGCCAGACAATAAGTGAGAGGCTGAGAATCCCAGGAAGCATAAGCAAAGGATTGTGGGTATTTTTTGGACTCATTCCCTTGAGGAAGGGGGACCATTTTCACAAGGGACACTTCCTTTTATCACACTTACACTAGGCGTGTCTGCTTGGAAGCAAGTCCCAATGAATCCAGTGCTTTTTTCTCACAAGCTCTTTCTTGTGTGTAGGTAGCCTTGTCAGGTTTTTTTGCACCACCTGCCTTGGTAAATCTGCTCTGTGTTGGTTTGTTGCTGTGGAGCCTCTGCAACTGATTGCCTAAGTTGGTTTGACAGCATGCCATGGTTGGAAGCCTTGCAGCTGCTCATGCTGCAGTCTGGTTTCTGTGAAGGAAAGGGCCATTGCTAGCTTGGCTGGGGTTAACACCCTCATGCAGTCTCAAAAGACAGGGCAGCTTTGCAGAGCAGGACTGGGAGGCTAAGCGGGAAGAAACCCTGTGACAAGGAAGAGGAAGGAAGGGTGCAGAGTGAGAAGGGTCGATGGAAGAAGATTGGAAAAAATTCAAAATATATCTTCAAAAATATTGCAATATAAAAGACTGTTAGAAAGATGTTGGAAAAAGAAAATTAGGTCGTTTTGGTAGATATGATACAAAGGATTAAGTAAAAATGAGTTGATGAAATTGATGAAACAGAGGATGTTTAACTACATTATTTTAAATTACCGTATTTTTCGCACCATAGGGCGCACCGGACCATAGGGCGCACCCAGTTTTTAGGGGGGGAAATCAAGAAAAAAAATCTTTCCCCCCCCCAGCCCCAAAGAGCAGCGTACAGGCTGCGCACAACCTCTCCCTGCCGGAGGGGTTGCGCGTGGCTATGGCACAAGCCAAGGCAGCAAGCAGGATGGATCCCGCTCGCTGTTTTGGCTTCCTCTTTAGCCCCGCGCAACCTCTCCTTGCCGGGAGACGCTGTGCAGGGCTTCTCCTGGCTTTCCTGGGAGGTGGTTGGATTTCCTCACCTCTCCCAAAAGCCCGCAGAAGCCGCGCACACTTTAAAAGGGCTGCACGGCTTCTCCTGGCTTTCCTGGGAGGTGGGGGGGATTCCCTCACCTCTTCCAAAAGCCCGCAGAAGCCACGCAACCCCTTTAAAGAGATCACGGCTTCTCCTGGCTTTTCTGGGAGGTGGGGGAATTCCCCCACCTCCCGCAAAACTGGCAGAAGCCGCGCGCACTTTAAAAGGGCTGCACGGCTTCTCCTGGCTTTCCTGGGAGGTGGGGGGGATTCCCTCACCTCTCCCAAAAGCCCGCAGAAGCAGCGCAACCCGTTTAAAGAGATCACGGCTTCTCCTGGCTTTCCTGGGAGGTGGGGGGATTCCCTCACCTCTCGCAAAAGCCCGCAGAAGCCGCGCAACCCCTTTAAAGAGATCGCGGCTTCTCCTGGCTTTTCTGGGAGGTGGGAGAAGGGACTGATGCGGCCAGTCAGTCCATTCTCCCTCCTGTGGAAAAGCCCGCAAGAGCGCACGGAGCTTGTGTGCGGCTCTTGGGGGCTTTTCCCGCCTGCCTCCCCCCTGCATTCGCTCCATAGGACGCACAGACATTTTCCCTTGCTTTTTAGGAGGGAAAAAGTGCGTCCTATGGTGCGAAAAATACGGTAAAATACGCAAATGAAAATAAGGTTAGAAGGATTTGCTGGAAATACGATCTGAACTAGAATACAAAATTGGGAGGTGAGAGGAGGTCATGGAAATAAGTTAAAGGGAAAAGGTTATGTAAAGGTTTAATCTGTTTTTGTTCTATTTTAACTCAATGCATTTTTATATTTTTTGTTTTGTCTTCTTTTTTACTCTATTTTATTGTTCACTCTTTTCTTGTTACTTTTTGCTTTGTTATGGTTAAATTTTCTTTGTATTTTGTATTGTTTTTTTCCCCCCTGTAATTTTAAACTTGGAATAAATATCATTTAAAAAAAAAAAAAGGAAGGGTGCAGAGGATGCATTGGGCTGATGACACTTGTCGGACACTGACCACTACACAACCACCGGCTCACTACTTCAGTGGGTCTGCTCTGAGTAAAGCTGACTCAGTGTAGTTGACTACATAGCAGAGCAAGACGTTGGGCACCATCTTCGCTGCAGGAGTTGCTGAAGGAGGCATCCTTCAGCCCTTAGAATTATTCGTGGCAAAGGCTTTCAAGGATTAGAGCACCCTCCATTGGACGCAGGAATCATTATCTTCAATACACACAGGAAATCATGGTAAACGGTTAAGGCAGGGAGGGGGAACCTGTGGTCCTTCAGGTATTGCTGGACTACAACTCCCAGCTTGCATGACCACTGACCATCTGGCCTCTGGGGCTTTTGGGGGTTGACATCCAGCAGCACCTGCAGGGTCACAGATTTCCAGTCCTTGAAGCAGCGCTGAAAGGTGATGAAACTCCTTTCATCACCGTCTGTGATGTTTCAGTACAAAGTTCAGCTGCAAGATAAGCACCCTGACCTTCACTGCAGCCATCACTGACAATGACACCATCTTCCTTGCTGTGGCATTTTGGCAATTTCACACCTGTAAGTGGGGACTTCCGGGGTGGCGCCATCGGCAATGGCGGACTCCCTCTGAATTGGAGGGACTAGCTCCGCGCGAAACGGGTCTTTTCCGCTACGGCGAAGCGGGGACCCTTTTAAAAATCACAGGCGGATGAAGCCTGTGACCATGGGACTCGGCGGGCACCCTTAGCGCCCCCCCCCAACCCGCAAAGGAACCCACTAACGGGCTCCGAGCGAAGAGGGGGAAGCGGCGCGGTGCTGTGAGTCAACTGCTATTTCCGTGGAGCGAAGCTGCACAGCCGTTGCCGGAGAGCGCTGCCTTTTTCCTGGGACAATTTGGCTTCTAAAATAAGCACCCGTGAGTACTTAAACTTTGAACAATTGGACTTTAAATAAGGACTTGCGACCAGAAAGGAATTGGACTTAAAAATTTTATTTCAATTTGGTACTGAAACGGGAAGGTCTAAACAGGAAGTCAGCCTTCCGTTTCTTTGTAGACAGAATAAAGCAAAGACAACGTAAACTAGATTTCAGAAAATCGCTTTTAAAGGATTGGCTTTCATCATTTAAAACTGTTGAACCCCCCTTCGGCAGCAGGAGAAGAAGGGGGATCTTTTCTGGACTGTTTAAACCTGCAGAAGTGAGTTTAAAGTAAAGTAACTTTCCATCGTCCTGACCCTGGAGCGGGGTGTCAGGACTGACGTTTGAAGCTCATTGACCAGAGACAAACGCTTTTGACAGATAGCTAAAAGAAGAGAAACATAGTGATTCCATTGTTTCCTTTTGCACCTTAGAGGAACAAATATCGACAAAATATCTGAAAAAAGGAAACTCTGTTGCTAGACTTGTCGTTAAAAGAAAGATTAAATAGAAGTTTTCCCCCTAGAGGGAGACTGTGAAACTGTAACCAACTCCTGGGAGCTGGCAGCTGTTACAGATTACAATCGTGGGAATAGTCATCTGACCTTCAGGACAATGTATTCAGAAGCTCTGTTGTGTGCTTTCTATAAAACAAATGCCCTACTGGAACAGCTACATGAGAAGACGAATTTGATGGCTGATTCGATTAGAAATTTCGAACAGGCAGTGGGAAATTTTGAACAGGCAGTGGGAAAATATGTGGAGCCCACCCAGGAATTAAATCAGGAGTGTGCCCTGACAGAACAGGCCCAACAGGAATATGAACTTTCGGATTTGACAAATGAACTTGGAAAAAGCCAGATTTGGAAAGGAAAAGTTTGGTTTGGTTTGGAAATGGGGGGTTGGATAGACCCTCCTATGCAGGGATGTTTGGACTTTTCAAGTCTGGCAATGGGCCGTGAGATGTTTGGGATTGTGGGGGCTCTCAATTTTGGAGGGATTTTGAAACATGTTTTTAAATACCACATGGAATTTAGTGTCGATTATGGAAAAGGGGCTGATCTGTCGAGAAGGGTCAAAAATATTGCTAAGCTGGAGTTCCCACGAGTGAAACGAGCAGGAGACAAGGGAAAATACAGTTACAAATATGAAGAAGAGCTGCGGAAGGGACATGGAAGAGACTTAAGGGCCTCGGATATTAGGATACCAGGTTAATGTGCCAGATCGATGGGATAACAAGGACTGACAAAACCCGGCACCAGGAGGAAGGGACGCTGGATGAAGATTGGATTTGTTTTTATTTCTCTTTTTCACTACTAGGACTGTTTTACAAAATTGATGAATGTTAGAAAAATGTTGGAATGAAGTTACTTGGCTTTAGTAAAAATGTTTAAAGAATTATGCAAGAATATTATGGTTATGAGAAGTTGGTAAAAATAAGATTTAAGTTTTAAGTTTCAAGGTTTTTTATAGTAAGATAAGATTAAAATAGTTTAAGGTAATGTAATGACAGAATATTATGAAATATGGAAAGGATTTGCTGTGACAATTAACAACCAGGATACAAGGAAGGGGAGGAGGAGGAGGTCAAGGAAAGAGGGTAATGATAGTTGAGGAGTTGAGAATAATGGATTTGTTTTTAAATGTTTGTGGTGTATTTTTTCCCCTCTCTCTTATTTTGAATTTGTATATGTATGGTTGGAAGTGGCTTGTTTTTCTTTTTTTCTCCTTTGTTTTTCTTTTGCAACTTAAAATTCCCCCCCCCAATAAATATCATTTTTTTAAAAAAATTCACACCTGTAAGTGGGAGAGACCAGCTTAACTCAGACTGAGGCCTAAGCATATAGAAACCAACTGGCAATTTCTTGCTGGGAATATTCCTTGGAAGGTCTTTCATTGACCTTCCTGTCAGCAGCTGAGCATCTGGAGGGTCTGAACTGTTCTCCACCCAATTCCTGAATGCTGAATTTTTTGAACAGCATACAGTGAGTCCAGCAAAGGAGTCTTGAGATCTCAAAACACACATTTGCTAGAGAATAGGGAAGGGACCCTAGCCCAGCACTAGAAGCTAGGACACCTGCTTGGCATGCAGAAGGTTTCAGGTTCTGTCCCTGCAATGTCAAGTTTAAAAATTTGACTTGCAGGTGGGAGGAAGGGCTGCTCCTGGAGCCCCTGACGAGCTGCTGCCAGAGTTGGCCCAGACATGAGGCCAGTGAGGCTTTAGAAGCCCTCTAGGTGACATTCCTGGGGGTGCCCCGCCTGCCCTGCCTCCTCCACCATCGGTGGAGAAGCACCTCCGCCATCAGCACTGATTTTAGACAAGATCACAGCCATGTTGGGCAAGATCTCACCCAAAATTGGAGCGAACTTGCCCAATATGGGCAGAGGTGGCGATGTTGCTTCTTCGCCAGCAGCGGAGGGGGCAAGGCACATGGCGGTGGCAGAGCAGGTGGTCGCAGGAGCCTCAAGCGGCAAAATGGGACGTGCTGCTCCGGCTGTTGCCAGTCAGAGTAGACAATACTGACAGGTACCTGGCCTGGTCTGAGCGGTGGTGCCTGGGGCCTGCTGGGGAAAGCAAAGAGCCCAGCAACAGGTGGCACCAGAGCCAGTGGCAGGTGGAGCCTCCCCATCCTAATTTTGTCTCCATCATTGTTGTGTTTCCACAAAGTTGGCTCTGGGACCAAGGAGGAGGAAGGTGACTGGCAGGGCCATCCCTCAGACCAGATGCAATCAGAAGGCAGAGAGCTGGGGGTCTGCTGGGGGCAGAGCCTCACTTGGGGCCAGGAAATTCCCAGGGAGAACACTGAGCATAACAAGGTCAGGAACTGAGTGTGGTGCTGGGGAAGAGCATCTCTGGGAAAAGGGCTTGGCCATCTGACTGCTGCACACTTTTCTTGGCAGGCTCACAAGGTGACCTGTGGGGCCTCTGTGGTGATGGCAAGTAGCACACCAGCCCTGCCATGTCTCCCTTTTTGAGGCAGAAGCCAGGAAGGATGGGAATGTTAGACATAGCTGTGTTTCCACCCAGGTAAAGGCTGCAGGATCAGGCCTGTGGGGTGGCTATATTGATATGGTGGTTGTGTGATGCAGGGATAATTTTTGCACCTGGAGTTTCTTTTCCTATGCTGTGCAGATTGTGACCAAGATCTCTACATCTAGCCGGAATGTACCATTTCAGGACTGGCGCAGGATGGAGTGCTTTTCTCGGGCCCCTTTCCCTGCCCCAAATCCCTTCCATACAGAAAAAGAGTCTGTCAGGGAGGAGGGAATGCAGCCCAGCCTTCATATTGATCTGCTAGTTTTCTGTGACTGAACTCCTAGGCACACCCTCAGCAGGCCTTGCTCCAGAGAGAGGGTGGCCCACCTGTTCTGGGACTCCCAGCTCCTCTCAGCCCCAGCCAGCATGCCCAATGGTCAGGGATGATGGGAGTTGTAGTCCAGTAACACCTGGAGGGCAGCAATTGCCCCGCCCTGCTCCAGAGTCATCTTGCATATACACTGCATGTGTATATAGTGGTGAATAATCTGAATCAAGTGGGTCCTGCAAGCCTGGCAGTGCCACTCTCTAGTGTGTCATGGGCCCCCTGGGCTACACAAGGAATGTCACTGAGCTTTGGAAATAGGAGGCAGGGATGCTGTTCCCATGTTATACAACTACCGCCCTGTGATTTTGTGCTCAAGGACTCCAGTGCAGGCTCTTTCTCTAGCCACATGCCCTAATTGCCCTCTGATTCGACAGTGGAATTTGCTGCCAAGCAGTGTGGTGGAGTTTCCTTCTTTGGAGGTCTTTAAGCAGAGGCTTGACAACCATATGTCAGGAGTGCTCTGATGGTGTTTCCTGCTTGGCAGGGGGTTGGACTCGATGGCCCTTGTGGTCTCTTCCAACTCTATGATTCTTTGATTCAAAAAAAAGCATGGCATGGGCTGAAGTGCAGTAAAAACAGATCACTTGGATTAAAACTGGGACATGTATGCTAACATCCCCTGTATCTGATAGATAGGGAGCCTCCCTGTTCCCTGCCCCCATAATGTTCTCCCAGAGGCTCAGCTGTGCCTGTTGTCTACATTTGCTGTGTCTGCCCTGCATGGTTTTAAAAGTCAGCCCTGCTTTATTTCCCTCTTCCCTGAGGCCATAAAAGAAACGCAAAAAATAAATCAAAATAAACAGTGCATGAAATGGCTGATGACAAAACCTACAGGCTGTCAGGACATGCAGGAGATGGGTCAGCCGGCGTTAGTTGCCTCTGCGGCAGCAGCAATAGCAGTGCACAGAACAAGGTTTGGATAACTCTGGGCAGCCTTCTCCAACCTGGTGCCCTCCAGAAACCCTCCCAACATAGCCCAGTGGTCAAGGTTGATGGGAATTGTGGTCCAACAAGGCCTGGAGGATGCCGAGCAGAAGGAGGCTGTGCTGAAGCACAAGATGCTGGCTTGAGCAACCCTCCTTTGCTAGCTGACAGGCTTTTAAAGATCTTTGTTTTTTCCTTGGAGAGAGGCCAGAGCAAGGGAGCTAAGGTGGCACTTGCAGTTGAGGCCAGACTCCCATGATCCCTGACCCTCAGCCATGCTGTCTGGGGCTGATGGGAGTTGGAGTCTCACAGCTTCTGGAGGGCACCACGTTGGCCCTCTCTGTGCTGGAGAAACACAACTGTCCTCTGCTATGGGCTGCTGAGCCTGGCCAGTATTGGAAGTGGCAGGTGGTGGATTTAACGTGACCATTTAGAGACAAAATGCATCCTTCCCCAAGATCTTACGCAGAGTTTTGCAGTGCATGCCTACTCAGAGGTAAAACACATTGCACCCCAGGGACTGTGTATTGCATGTATTCTTGTTTATTAAATTTGTATATTGCCCTCCATCCACAGATCTCAGGGTGGTTTGCAACATGCAAGATTATGACCTTAACTTCTGGCAGGGCTGGGACAGGGCTGTGAAATGGGAAGAGCAGCAAGCCTAGGCATTGGCCTGAATGATAATTTAAACAAGGCAACTTGAAATGAGGAATAAGATGGAGACTTTTCAGGTGGTTGTTGTTGTTTAGTCGTTTAGTTGTGTCCGACTCTTCATGACCCCATGGACCAGAGCACGCCAGGCACTTCTGTCTTCCACTGCCTCCTGCAGTTTGGTCAAACTCATGCTGGTAGCTTCGAGAACACTGTCCAACCATCTCATCCTCTGTCGTCCCCTTCTCCTTGTGCCCTCCATCTTTCCCAACATCAGGGTCTTTTCCAGGGAGTCTTCTCTTCTCATGAGGTGGCCAAAGTACTGGAGCCTCAGCTTCAGGATCTGTCCTTCCAGTGAGCATTCGGGGCTGATTTCCTTAAGAATGGAGAGGTTTGATCTTTTTCCAGTCCATGGGACTCTCAAGAGTCTCCTCCAGCACCAGAATTCAAAAGCATCCATTCTTCGGCGATCAGCCTTCTTTATGGTCCAGCTCTCACTTCCATACATCACTACAGGGAAAACCATAGCTTTAACTATACGGACCTTTGTTGGCAAGGTGATTGTCAGGACTGGTCATTGTCCTCTTCAGATCACCACACAAACGCTTCTTGTTCTTTTATAACTTTTTATTGTGTATTAACAAAATAATCTTATAAACAGTTCTTAACTATTATTCCTCAGAGTCACTTATTTCAGATACCTTCTGAGCTCTGCTTCTCCGTGACCAGCCACCCTCAAAATGGCGAAGGCGCCTTTCCCTTCGTTTTCCCGCTCTTTTTCCTACCCTCCTGGCTAGAGCTGGCCTGTATCTCCCCTCCTCCCAATCTGAGCTAGAACTGAACCCTTGCCTTTCCTGTGAACAGCCGGTCCCTCCCTGTTGTTCCTCTTGCTCCCTTCTATTAGATTCACTGCTCTCCTTCCCCCCTTGGGGAATGCTTTCTCCCTCTGATAAACTGAAAACTTCTAACTCTTCCCTGACATTGATATGTCTACTTTTTTAGATGCTGTCTAGGTTTGCCATTGCTTTTCTCCCAAGAAGCAGGCGTCTTTTAATTTTGTGACTGCTGTCACCATCTGCAGTGATCATGGAGCCCAAGAAAGTAAAATCTCTCACTGCTTCCATTTCTTCCCCTTCTATTTGCCAGGAGGTGATGGGACCAGTGGCCATGATCTTCATTTTTTTGATGTTGAGCTTCAAACCATATTTTGCGCTCTCTTCTTTCACCCTCAATAAAAGGTTCTCTAATTCCTCCTCACTTTCTGTCATCAAGGTTGTGTCGTCTGCATATCTTAATTCCGGCTTGGGATTCATCCAGCCCAGCCTTTCGCATGATGAATTCTGCATATGAGTTAAATAAGCAGGGAGACAATATACAGCCTTGTCGTACTCCTTTCCCAATTTTGAACCAATCAGTTGTTCCATATCCATATTTTTCAGGTGGAGGGATCAGCAAACAGGAAGTTCTGGATAAACAGGAGCTGCTGGAGCATATGGAGTTAGTATTTCCTATGCCTTGCAGCAGATGACTTCTTTTCCACAGTGGGAATTCTTTTTATATATATAATTTTTATATATATAAAATTATATATATAATATATTACATTAAATATTAAATATATTATATATAATATATATAATTTTTTATTGGTTTTACATAATTTTACAAAAGTTCTTGCCATCTCTGTATACTCCATCAATTTAGTCTGCCATTCTTCTCTGGTTGGCCCTTCTCCCTCCTTCCATCTCTGGGCTAGAAGTATTCTTGCTGCCGTCATTGTGTACATGAAAAGCTTTTTGTCTTCTTTTGGTATCTCTTCACCTATTATACCTAACTAAAAAGCTTCTGGTTTTTTAACAAAAGTTTTCTTAAACATTTTCTTTAACTCATTACTGTATATATCATTTCCCAGAAAGCTTTTACCACTCCACAGACCACCACATATGGTAGAAGGTACACTCTTTCCCTTTACATTTCCAACACAGATTTGAACTAGTTCTATACATTTTCGCAATTTTACTCAGTGTTAGATACTAACAGTACATCATTTTCATATAGTTGTACTTCAACGAACAGCATGCAGTAAATTCTAAATCCTCTTTCCATAACTTTTCCCATAATGAAAATTGGATATTGTTTCCAAAGTCTCTTGCCCAGTGAATCATCACTGTCTTAACTTCTTCATCTTTTGTACAGTGGAACCTTGAGTTGCAAACATAATCCGTCCCGGAGGCACGTCTGCAACTTGAAGCGTTCGCATCCTGAGGTGCTTTGTCTGCGCACGCACGGCGCGATTTAGCGCTTCTGCACGAGCGGCAAAACTCGGAAGTAACCGTTCCAGTACTTCCGGGTTGCTGCGGGACGCAACTTGAAAAAACGTAACCTGAAGCGGATGCAACATGAGGCATGACTGTATACAATTCTAAAAGTAATTTGTACATTTTTAAAAGTACTTTCACATTATTTTGCAACAGATCTATTTCAAACCTCGACCTCTCTGTATCAAAACCATTTTTCTTATCTACTTTAAAGACGTCATTTTATTGATGATACTGTAACCAATCTGTTAGTAACTCTCTTATATCTTCATTTTTAGTTGATCTTCTGCTTCTGTTAACGATTCTTTATAAGTGGCCCACTCTCCTCTCATATTCAATTTTTTAACCGAAATTGCTTCCAATGGAGAGAGTCACCATGGTGTTCTCCGCTCCAATAAACTTTTGTATCTATCCCATACCCCATAGATTGATTTTCTTACCAGGTGGTTCAGGAATTCCTTGTGTACTCTCGTTTTTTCATACCATAAATATGCATGCTACCCAAACCTATTATCATCACCATCCACGTCTAAAGATCTGGGGTTTTTAAAAACAAAATCCAATCCTGAAGCCAGAAAAGGCAGGACGCTTCATAATATAACTTCAGATCTGGCAAGGAGAAGCCACCTCTTTCTTTAGAGTCTGTCAGTAACTTATATTTTATTCTTGGTTTAGTCCCCTGCCAGATAAATTTAGATATTGTTTTTTGCCATTCTTTAAAGTGCCCTACCACACTGATCGTGGTATTGATTGAAACAGAAATAGTATTCTTGGTAGCACATTTATTTTTATAGCTGATATTCTTCCCTAAAATGATAAATTCATCCTTCCCCACACCTCCAAGTTTCTCTTTACTTCTTTCCACATAGGTATGTAATTATCATTAAATTTATTAATATTTTTTGAAGTTAACTATACCCCTAAATAGTTGACCTTTTTCCCCACAGTTATTTCTATGATCAATTATTTAGATTGTACTGTCATATTTTTGACCAACATTTTGGGTTTTGTCTTATTAAGTTTAAAACCAGCAACTTGTCCAAACTGCTGAATCTTTTCTAGTGCCTTTGTTGCACTAGTCAAAGGTTCTTCAACTGTTATTACAAGATTGTCCGCAAAGGCTTTCAATTTATATTCTTTGCTCCCCACCGAAATTCCTTTCACTCCTGCTCTTACAGTTCTCGCCAGGACTTCTAGGACTAAAATACCGCTAAATAATAATGGCAACAGGGGACAACCCTGTCTAGTTCCTTTAGTAATGTCACATTTTTCAGTCAGTACATTGTTAACAATCAGTATGGTTTCTGCTCAGAGTATATAGCGCCAATTCCTTTGAGAAATGATTCTCCAAATTCCATCCTTTCCATAGTCCATGAAATATTGTCAAAGGCCTTCTCCGCATCAATAAACATCAAAGCTACTTGCTTATCATTCTTGGCCTCCAGATATTCTATTACAGTGATGCCTCGGTTTAAGTCTGCTTTGTCGGTCGTCCATTCCGTGGAACATCCGTGGCAAACCTGGAAGTACCGCAATGGGTTAATTCCGGGTTTTCCACTCACTCACACACAGAAGCGCTAAATCGCGCTTCACGCATATGCAGAAGTGCAAAACTGCTCCACACGCGTGTGCAGAGTGACGCTCTGTCGAGCGTCTGGGGCTCCAGAACGGATCCCGAACTCAAAACGAGGTACCACTATATGTCTATTATATTATGTTGTCTCTCATCTGTCGGCCAGGAAGAAAGCCCACTTGATCTTGATGAATAATATCTTTTAATACAGTATTTAATCTATTTGCTAAGATGTTGGCATAGTTTCTAATCATTATTTAGGAGTGAGATTGGCCTATAGTTTTTAACTTAAAGTACAGTGGTACCTTGGGTTATAGATGCTTCAGGTTACAGACGCTTCAGTTACAGACTCCGCTAACCCAGAAATAGTACCTCAGGTTAAGAACTTTGCTTCAGGATGAGAACAGAAATCATGCTCTGGCGGCGCGGCGGCAGCGGGAGGCCCCATTAGCGAAAGTGGTGCTTCAGGTTAAGAACAGTTTCAGGTTAAGAACAGACCTCTGGAATGAATTAAATTCTTAACCCAAGGTACCACTGTAAATCCGAATCCTGTTTAGGAATTAATGTAATATAGGCCTCCTTCCAAGTATCTGGTAATTTACTGTATTTTTCGCTCTATAGGACACACTTTTTCCCCTCCAAAAATTAAGGGGAAATGTGTGTGTGTGTGTGTTATGGAGCGAATGCAGGCTGTGCGGCTAAGCCCAAAGCCAGAACAGGGAGACGGAGCGCTCCGCAACGTCTCATTGTTCTAGCTTGGGGTTAGCTGCTCAAAGCCTCCTCAGGGCAGCAGGGTGAAGGCTGCTCTGCGGAGGTTTCAAAGGCTGTGCTCCGGGGGCTTCAGGTAGCTATCCGCAAGCCTTTGGAGCGCAGCAGGAGTTCCCGCTGTGCTCCGAAGGTTTGCAGATAGCCGCCTGGAGAGCGAGAGGGGTCGGTGCACACCGATCCCTCTTGCTCTCCAGGCTTCGCTTTGCTGGAGAGGCGCTGCACAGTTTTCCCTCCCTGCGCAGCGCCCCTTCAGCGAAGCGGGAGGAGAAATGGAAGGGGCTCCGTTTCTCCTACCGCTTCACTGAAGGGGTGCTGCGCAGAGAGGGAGAGCTGTGCAGCGCCCCTTCAGTGAAGCGGGAGGAGAAATGGAAGGGGCTCCATTTCTCCTGCCGCTTCACTGACGGGGCGCTGAGCAGAGAGGGGGAGATTCCCCCCCCGTTCTCCCCCTCCTATGGTCCGGTGTGTCCTATGGTCCGGTGTGTCCTATAGAGCGAAAAATACGGTACCACTACTCATTGTTATTCATCATATCTTTGAGTGGAAAACTAGTTGATCTTGTATTTTTTTATTATATTTAGCTGAGAGTCCATCTGGTCCTGGCAATTTTCCTGATTTGGCTTGTCCCATTGCTTGTTGTAATTCCATTGTGTAATAGGTGCATTTAGCTGGTATATCTTTTCTTTTGGAATCTTTGGTAATTTATTCTGCTTTAAATAGTCCTAGATTTTAACTATATCTTCTTTTCCAGCCCAATATAGTTCCATATAAAATCTTACAAATGTTTCCTAATCTCTTTTGGATTATCTATTATTTTGCTTTCTACTTTCAATTTATTAATTGTATTTATACCTTTCTGACGCACAGCGTAAATTAATAATGCAGAGTCTTCTTCAGTAAAAGAATAAAAGCTTTACTGAGTTAAAATAAACTTGTTTGCAAATAACAGCATAGTGAACAGAAGATTAAACTAGCTTCAGAGCATACACAGAGTTTCCACTGAGCACAGGCTTCACAGGCTCCACCACACACATAGATTGAGACACTGCAGACACTGACTGAGTCACTGAGTCTGCCTGCAAGCAGATACAATACTTATACAGGGAATGAGTCATCCTCAAGATGAGTCACAGTGATTCAGCATGCTAAATGATTCTGAAGCTTTTTACATTTCACATTTCTAGACTCCTTTACTGCTTCTGCTCTCAAATACCTTTGTCACATGACACCTTCTTCCTTAATTGCCACACTAAAAGTTTCCCTGGTTTATTAAGAAATTCAAAATTTTTATGTTTCATCAATTTTTCACCCACTCAACTTCCTGATTTATTAGCATCGAAAATTGGGTTTGTAACATCTTAATACACTGTTTTATCAGTTCGTTTCCGGGTTTCTTAATTAATTGCTTTTCATATTCAACTCATCTAATAACTCTTTTTCTTCTCCCTTGCATTTTTCTGCAAGGTGTTTTGTTGTGTAAAGAAACCTCTCATCACTGCCTTACTTGTGTCCCAAACCACATTTAAGTCCGTACCATGATTCAAATTCAATTCAAAATAATCTCTCAGGGTTTTTTGAGCTTTCTGCAAGGTCATTTGATTATCTAATAGTCCTTCATTTAGCCTCCACCTAAATGGTGAGTTTTCTTCTCTTCTTAATTCCAATAAAATTGCATTATGATCCTAAAGTGTCCTTGGTTGTATTTCCACCTTTCTCGTTCTTAATGTTAGTCACTGGAAATCCATATTGAGGCTATTCTTCTAGCAAATTGATTTGGTTCTGAGAAAAAAGTATATTCCCTTTCCAAAGGGTGTTTGAATCTCCAAATGTCCGTTAATGTAAGATTTTCCACCAGATTAAAAAAAGGTGGCAAGTAGTCTCCCTTCTTTCAAATCCGTCTTTCTTATTGTTCTATCTATATCCAGGGACACTACTGCATTAGTGTCACCCGTAAATATTATTTTCTGATCTGTAAATTCAAATAATTTTTCCTCTAACAGTTTATAAGGTTCCGATTTTCTTTCATTCGGTGCGTATATTCTATTACATTTTTTTTTTTTGCCTTGTGATGTTATCTGTTTGGCTATCATTCTTCCCTCCTCATCTTTAAAAATTTGCTGCGGGTCATATCTATCTATACATAAATTTACTACTCTTTTTTGTCTTATCTGATGTTATGAATTCTTTTCCTAATCTTTTATTTGTTAAGACTTTTCTCTGTTTCCTCGCTATGTGTATAGCAGTCTTGTATCTATACTTCCCATTGGAAAGATCGTACTTCCAGAGTTCAAGTAAGTCTTTATTTCCAAATTATAGCTCCCCCTTTATGTACAGGGATGGGAGTTAGTCCTTCTTTATTTTCCAACCCTGTAAATTATTTAGTGAAAGTTATTTGGTAGCAAAAGAAAAACAAAATGCAATCCGCTACTCTAGCACTTGTAGAAAGTCCCCATGCAGAGTAGAGCTCATCACAGCCAGGACAGACCTCCTTTTTTCATCCCATCTTTTTTGCCAATTATAATCCAGATTTTTTTTGCCAATTAATTAATCCTTTTGGCTTTTAGCTTTAATTTATCGGAGAGCTTGCAGCTTTTTTGCTTGGAGCCTGAGGCTTCTCACCACGGGGTAGCGAATGGATCCTAGCACTCGCAGCTCAATCTTGCCCTTCTTCCCTGCTCTTTATAGGGCGGATTGGGGGCAAGGGAGCTTGCTAAGTGCGCAGCCATATCCCCAGCGCCCAAAACATCCTTTCGGGCTTCTTCCAAAGCGCCTTTGTGTTTCCCCTAAATCCCTTGCGGCGATCGAGTCTGTCCCAGAGAACTAGACTCACACTCCAATGCGATCCGCAGCAAACCGGAAATCCATGGTGGGAATTCTGTGTCCATGTGTCAAAGCAGTTTCCGTGTGGCTTAACCTGCAGTGTCCTCGCAATCCCCAATGAGGATGGAACAAGGATGGCCAAGTTGGGAGGGCGAGAAACTGGCTGTTTCACAGGAACATTTCTGGGGAATTAAAGGACCTGAGGCCCTGTTCCCCCCAGCATAAAAATTTGCATATGCAAATTATCTGTAGAGATGCCTCTGGCAGATTAAAGTGAAGGGGAGCAGGGACTGTACTTTGCCCAGCTGTAAAATAAGTAAAGCAAAACAAAACAAAGTTTTTAAAAGGGAGGAAAGAGGCAGCAGATCTGAGGCCTTAGCACAGAAGTTCTGGAGCTGCCCCTGTTTGCTAGCTTGTTGAACCAAGCCAGTCTCTCTGGAAGCTTATTAATGCTCTAATCTCAACCCCTTGTTGCATGCATTTCGCTCAGCTTTCCCTATGGGAATTTTATTTATTTGTAACATAATTAATTTTATTCATATCCTGGGTTCCCCCTCCCTTCCAGCTGTTAATGCATGCAGATGCAGAATAGCTCACAAACTAAGTTAATGGAAGACTAGAATTTAAAATATAGTACAATAAAGAAGTACAATCCCAGGTTACTTTCAGGATTGCCTTACCCCAGACATGCCCTTTTGATCATGTCAGTCTGCAGAACTGGTTACAGGTCCACATCATGCTTGCTCCGCACTCGTAAGAAGTCAGTCTTGTAGTGGAATAGCACCTACACTTTGGAACTCCCTGCCTGTTGACATTAGGCAGGCATCCTCACTGCAACCTTTCAGCACCTGCTTAAAATATGTTTGAGAATTTTACTTTTTTGATAATTTGTAAGCAGCTTAGAGGTTTTCTGTAATCAAGCAGCATATAAATTTTGTTATATAGGTAAAATAAATAAATAAATAAATGTAACAGGCATGAAAGCAGAATTGAAACAAGGGATCTGAAAGGATTCCATGACACCCACTGCCTTGCCTTTTGGTTTCATTACAAAGAGCCGCTGTCTCTGTGTATGAGAGAAACAGAGACAGAGGCTGGCTGAGACTTATCTCCCTGGAACTGTGCCCAGGCATTGAGAAAAAAGGCAGACAGTTACACAGAGATCAGCAGCTCACATGGGCATGGTTACACAGCATTGTGGTGGCTCTTGGTGCCAAGACCTGGTGAGGCTGCCACGCTCTGCAGGGGGGGCAGAAGGAGGGCCTTGCCAGGGGCCTTTCCAGTTCAGCTCTGCTTCCCTCAGATTGGGGAGGCTCTTGTCCCAGGCAGACACTGTAGTAAAAGCATAAGAAGAGCCTGCTGGATCCAGCCCATGGCCCATCTTGGCCAGCATCCTGTTCTCACCATGGCCAAGAGCCCTCTTCCCTCCCTTCCAGCAACTGGTTTTCAGAAGAATCCCAGAGCCGAGCCATCGATAGGCCTCTCCTCCACGAAGGAGATGGACAGTATATAGTCCTAGGCATGTCTGCTCAGAATAAAGTCTTCATGAGGTCAAAGGGCTTATTCACAGGAAAGAGGGATCCTTTTATGGGAAGATGCCAAGAATTTGTTGAACCCTCTTTGAAAGCCATCCCAGTTGGTGGCCCTTCCTGCCTCCTGTGGGAGGGAGTCTCATAGATCAACTGTGTGCTGTGGAAAGAAGGGCTTTCTGCCATTTGTCCCGAATCTCCCAACATGCAGCTTCATTCTGGTGTTGAGGGAGAAACACTTCTCTTTCTCCACTCCTGGCAAACTTCTCACATGTCCCCTTTTTAGTAACAAAAAACCCCCAAACACTGCAGCTTTTCTTCATAGTTGCTCCATCCCCTTGATCATTTGGGTTGTGCTCTCAGAACTCCAGCAATGAGTTTTATATCCATAGTGTCAAGGTGGCAATGTTTAATCCACAAATCAGTTAGACATTTGCATGTTTACTTGGGAGTAAGAATGCCAATTTATGTGCGTTTAATTGATAAAGGCTGCATGCTTACATAGAAGTAAATCTCACTGAAATCAGTACGACTTAATGCCTAAATAAATCTGCATGTGATTGTGATTGTACGATTTCCTTGAGTTGTCCATTGGGTTGTATTGAACAAGACATGCTCAAAGCAGACCCACTGAACTTAATGGACCTAAACTAGGAATGGGCATTAATTTTAGTGGGTCTACTTTGAGTATGACTAAGCTGGATACGAAATATATCAAACGCATTCTCCTTTTTTGTAATCTTTAAAACAACCATAAGGTAGACCAGTATTATTGTTGCAGATGGGGCAACTGAGATGTAAGGCCCTCTAGTGAGTACCTGGCAGGTGCAAGATTTTTTAAAAAAGAAAAAAGGACTCCCAGAGACCCCATTTCAGACTAGTTTGCAGGGTTGTAGTCCCCACTGAAAAACTATTCCACACCCACTTGCTTGGGAGTAAGCCCCATTGAAATTAACATGATTATCATCTTAATGCACATTTGGGGTTGTGCTGTTACACCGCAATCCAATATGCATCTACTTGGAAGTAAATACCGCTGAGTTCAAGGGGGCTTACTCCCAGGTAAGTGGGGGCCCTTTTTGGTTAATAGGAATTTCAGAAAAGTGCCACTGCAGCCCTCCATATAGATGGACTATGCAGAGGCGGAGCTGCCTGCTCCGGCACCCAGAGCGGCACACATGCTGTGCACCTGGGAGCGGGGTGAGCTGCCCAGGGGGCGGGGCGGTGATGTCACCCCCCCAGGATAACACCTGGGGCAGACCGCACCCACCGCACCCCTTTCCTCCACCAGTGGGACTACGGCTCCCATCAGACACAGCCCTCTGTGCTGATGGTTGGGGATGATGGGAGTTGGAGTCTCAAATCTCTGGAAGGCCCGAGCTTGGGGAAGGCAGACTTCTTGGACCGGACCCAAGCCATTCCAGTCCAGGAAGCTTGCCAGCAGGGCATAAAACAACCAGCCATGAAAGGTAGACTGCTTTGGAAACTGGAGGTTCCATTTGGACTTCTGGGGAAGAAAGATGGCAGACTAAGTTATCAGCTACTGGTGATCCCATTGGCAGAGATAATTATGCGGTGGTCAGAGGTAATCAAGGCATAATTCCCTTTTGAGATAAGAGAGGAAACCTCAGTGTCTTGGAAGAAGACGACAGCACACTGGAGACAAGGACGTTTTAGGGTTTTTTATTTTTCAAAAAATCTTTATTAAACATATTTCACAAAATTATACAACAATATAATATATTACAATTTATATCCCATCCCATACAACAACAACAACAAAAAAGAATGCAATACATTTAAAAAGACCTAAAGTAGACTTCTGAGTGTTCTCAAAAAAACTGAATTACTCTTGTTATATTTTACACAGTTTCATACTATTCTCGAAAGTGGCACCGGCCCTGTGGAACGTCCTCCCACCAGATGTCAAAGAGAAAAATAACTACCAAACTTTTAGAAGACATCTGAAGGCAGCCCTGTTTAGGGAAGCTTTTAATGTTTAATAGGTTATTGTATTTTAGTGTTTTGTTGGAAGCCGCCCAGAGTGGCTGGGGAAACCCAGCTAGATAGGCGGGGTATAAATATATTATTATCATTATTATTATTTTCATAAATCTTTTTGATAAAGAAAAAGAAAGAAAAATTAAATAGAAACAATAAATTTACTTATATTATCTGTACATTGCAAGACTCATTCAAGATCTGCCAGGAGGTTTTTGCTGTCACAGTAATTTTTAAGATATTCCTTGAATATAATCCATTCTTGATTTACTTTTTGCTTCTAATACCCTCTTACCCTCCCTGTCATTTTTGCCATTTGCAGATATTCTAATAGTTTAACTTGCCATTCTGATTTTGTAGGTGTAATTTCATTTTCCCAATACGTTGCAATTAAAATTCTGGCTGCGGATGTTGCATACATAAAGAGAGGTCTTACTTCTTGTTTTATTTCAGTTGGCATTATCCCTAATAAGAAGGCTTCTGGTCATTTTGTGAATGGGATTTTTAACATCTTTTTTAGTTCGTTATTTATAACGTCCCAAAACTTCCTAATTTTTCCACATTCCCTCCACATATGCATAAATGACCCTCTCCCCTCTTTACATCTCCAACAATTTTCCAATCTACTCTTATACATTTTGGCCAGTCTGGCTGTAGTGAGGTGTCACCAATATAACATTTTCATAATATTTTCTCTTAAGTTATAGCACGCTGTGAACCTGACATCATCTTTCTATAGTCTCTCCCATTGGTTCATATAGATATTATGGCCAAGGTCTTGGGCCCAACTTACCATTCCACTTTTCACTTCTTCTTCTTTAGTTTCCCACTCGAGTAGAAGATTATACTTTGGAGATTATATTTTGGAGATATGCTTACTTTTGGCTTGTACTAATTCTTTTTCTAGTCTTGATGTTTCTTTTTCAAATCCTGTTTGTCTATCAATGTTCCACCTCTTGTTTATTTGAAAGTATTGTAGCCAATCCGTCACATACCTTCTAATTTCATCAGTTTTTTTCAGGTTAAAATTATTGTTATTTTCCTCTAATAGCATTCTATATGTTGCCCAATCACCTTGTGCATTTTTTCTTTTTACTGCCGTGGCCTCTATCAGGGAGGTCCACAAGGGGATTTTAGGTTCCAATATTCTCTTATATTTGTCCCAGATTTTATAGAGTGATTTCTAATTATATGGTTTAGAAACCCCTTGTTTACCTTAACTTTCTCCTAAACCATATACGTGTGCCAACCAAACCTGTTGTTGAAGCCCTCTAAATCTAATAAATCTGTGTCTTTAAGTATGATCTACTCTCTAATCCATGACAGCCCAGTCGCAGCATGGTATACTGTATTTTTCGCTCTATAAGACGCACCAGACCATAAGTTGCACCTACTTTTTGGAGGAGGAAAACAAGAAAAAAAATATTCTGAATCCCAGAAGCCAGAACAGCAAGAGGGATCACGGCTTTCGCTGTGCAGCGATCTCTCTTGCTGTTCTGGCTTCTGGGATAGCTGCGCAGCCTCCATTCGCTCCATAAGATGCACACACATTTCCCCTTACTTTTTAGGAGGGAAAAGGTGCGTCTTATAGAGCAAAAAATACGGTAATTCAAGATCAGGTAGAGCAAAACCCCGCTCTCCCTCTGGTCAATAAGAATTAGATGTTTTATTCTTAGCCTTTTACCATTCCATTTAACCTTGCAATGGCCCTTCTCCAGTTTTGAAAACAATTCATACCTCCTAAAATGGGAATGGTTTGAAATAAAAAAATCATTTTTGGTAAAACATTCATCTTAACTGCCAATATCCTACCCCAAAGGGAGAGGTGAAGTTTGCTCCAGATTTCCAAATTTTTCTTAATTTCATTCTATGATTTCTTGATACAAGTCTATGCATTTAGCTGAGAACCAAACTCCTAGGTATTTTACTTTATTCTTAATCTCTAGACGTGTGCTTTCTTGTAAATCTTTCTTCTCCTCTGAGCTCATGTTCTTAACCAATGAATTAGTATTTTATAGTTTAATCTAAATCCTGCTTGTTTTTGGAAGCCACCCACAGTGGCTGGGGAAGCCCAGCCAGATGGGCGGGGTATAAATAAATTATTATTATTATTATTATTATTATTAGAGGCAGCCTTGCCTTGTGCCTTTTCTAATCTCTATTTTCTGTGGTAATGCCATTAATAATCAATCTTGCTTTTTGATTTGTATAGATGGCCTCAATTCCTCTCTCAAATCTCTCTCCCAGACCCATTAATTTTATCTGTTTTTTTATAAAACACCAAGAAATGTTATCAAAGGCCTTTTCAGCGTCTATTAGCATTAAGGCCATTTTTTTATCATTTCTAAATTCCAGATATTCTAAAATATCAATAATATTTCTGGTGTTCTGTTGGAATTGCTTCCCTGAGGCAAGGAAGTTTCCAGGGGGTGGGTGAACATCTTGAGCAAGGAACTTTCCATGGGGCCCACCCTTTCAGGGCACCAGGTCAGCAAACCTCCTTCTTTTAACAATTTTTAAGACTGGAAGCAAATAAGAATGGGATTTTCTGTCTGCCAGTTAATTGCTACTCAGAAAAGAAATGGGCTGCTGGGAGATGATAAAGCACTTATTAACAGGCATGAGAATGAAGCAAAACGCTTAAAGTCTGAACCTGCTTTAAATCTTCAACATATATTGTCTATAACTCTCCATTGCGAGCATGCTTGTTTGCTATGAAAAGCAAAACTGTGTTTGATTCCTGTGTGAAAGGAATGTGTAAGCAGACACAAGTTCTTGGAAGCAGAGACTCCCAAAGGGTGTATGACTAAACAGAATTTGGTAAAAATAATGTTGTGTGGATTTTTTTTACAATGGCTACTAGATGAATAGCTGTCAGAATTAAGAGTCTAGATACGTGGAATTCTGAGAGAGATCAAACTGGAGATACTTCAGATGGCAGAAAGCGCGGGATCTGCCCGAGGAGATTTGGATCAATTTCTGCCTGCACTTGAGACAGCAGCAGGTGATGGTGTGGACTGCCTGGAGGACTGGAAAGACAAAGGAAGCTGTTGAGATGCCTGAAGAGAGAAATAATAATAATAATAATTTTTATTTATACCCCGCCCTCCCCAGCCAAGGCCAGGCTCAGGGCAGCTAACAAGCAATAATAAAAACAAGTTGAATGAATACAAACTTAAAAACAAGATTAAAATACATTAAAATATTGAAAATGCAACCTCATCACAGGAGGAGAAAGGAAAAAGAAAGAGGGGGAGGGAATCAAACTGATTCTAAGCCAAAGGCCACCGGGAGCCAGTGCAGCTGGAAAAGCACTGGGTGAATATGCTCCCATGGCAGAGACCCTGTGAGGAGCCTCGCTGCAGCATTCTGCACCCGCTGGAGTTTCTGGGACAGCTTCAAGGGCAGCCCCGCGTAGAGCGAATTACAGTAGTCAAGCCTGGAGATGACCGTCGCATGGATCACTGTGGCCAGGGCGGGGCGGGAAAGGTAAGGGACCAACTGCTTGATGCAGCGAAGGTGGAAAAATGTCACCTTGGCTGTTGCTGTAACCTGCACCTCCATGGAAAGGGAGGCGTCAAGGATTACACCCAAACTCTTAACAGAAGGCAATGGCACTAATTGGGCCCCCTCAAGAGAAGGGAGTTGGTCTCTCATCCCCATGCCATCCCGACCCAGCCATAGGACCTCTGTCTTTGAAGGATTTAGTTTCAATCGGCTCCCACAAAACCATCCAGCCACAGCTTCCAAGCATCTGGTCAGTGTATCCGGGGCCGAGTCGGTGTGGCCATCCATCAGCAGATAGAGCTGAGTGTCATCAGCATATTGGTGACAGCCCAGCCCAAAGCTCCGGACAGTCTGGGCAAGGGGGCGCATAAAGATGTTAAAAAGCATTGGGGAGAGGATTGCACCCTGCGGCACTTGCCACACCAAGGAGTGGTGCAACGACATCTCCCTCCCTAGCTCCACCCTGAGTCCCCGACCAGAGATAAAAGAGCACAGCCATTTACGGGCTTTGCCCTGTATCCCCATGTTGGTGAGGCGGTGGTCCAGAAGATCATGATTGACCATGTCAAAGGCTGCTGACAAATCTAAAAGAATCAGCCTTCCTGACCCACCTCGATCCAGTTGTCTATGGAGATCATCTGTTAGGGCAACCAGAGCCGTCCTGGTCCCGAAACCAGGACGGAACCCGGACTGAAATGGATCTAAAGCCGATGTTTCCTCCAGAAACCTACCAAGCTGTTCAGCAACTGCTCTCTCAATTACCTTACCCAGATATGGAAGATCGAAACTGGGCGGTAATTGGATAGGTCTAAAGGATCTAGTGCAGTTTTCTTTAAGAGCGGAAACACCACTGCTTCCTTCAGTTCCCCTGGGAATGTCCCTGTGCCAAGGGACAAATTGATAATTTCAACCGGGGGGTCCGTGCGACATCTGGACACGCCCTAATCAGCCAAGACGGGCACGGATCGAGAAGGCAGGTGGTGGGCCTATCAGCTTGGAGGAATCTATCCACATCAGCAGGGAGTATCTGATCGAAATGGTCCAACACTGGACCCGAAGACAGTTGAGGGGCCTCCAGTTCAGTCACTGTATCTAAATTGGCAGGGAGGTCACGGCAGAGCAACAGGACATTGTCCGCAAAAAGGCTCACAAATGCCTCACAGCTGTGGGTCGAATTTGTGCTTAAATTTGCTTTTCCTCCTAAGGACGTTATAAATGGATTGATGACCAGAAACGCCAAGAGACAAGCAGAGATGGACTTGAAGAAAGGTTCCAGGGCACAAGTGGAAGTGAGCACAGGACGAAAAGCCTCGAAGGTTGTGGTGGTTGCTGTGGGAAAAGATGGGAAGAAATGGAAGACACACCCCTTTCCCTTTTTTAAACAGGATGAAGCAGGACTATCTTGGAGTGTATACCTTGAATAAAGGTAAAGGGACCCCTGACCATTAGGTCCAGTCATGGCCGACTCTGGGGTTGCGGCGCTCATCTCGCTTTATTGGCCCAGGGAGCTGGCGTACAGCTTCCGGGTCATGTGGCCAGCATGACTAAGCCGCTTCTGGCGAACCAGAGCAGTGCATGGAAACGCCATTTACCTTCCCGCCAGAGCGGTACCTATTTATCTACTTGCACTTTGACATGCTTTCGAACTGCTAGGTTGGCAGGAGCAGGGACTGAGCAACGGGAGCTCACCCCATTGCGGGGATTCGAACCGCCGACCTTCAGATCGGCAAGCCCTAGGCTCTGTGGTTTAACCCACAGTGCCACCCGCATCCCTTATACCTTGAATACTTTAAATAATTGTTATAGATACAATTGGCAGACAGATAACCTGAGTGCACTCTCTTCATTTTTGTTTTTTCTTGCTTTTTTTCTCTTGCCTTTCTGTGGTCTTTAATCTTTGCTTGGTCTATGTTAATTATATATATATATTTATGCTTTGCTTTTTGGCATTTTCTTTCTTGGACTAATGAAGAGACACCCCAGAAGGTGGTGGGTGGAAGATGAGGGGCCTTGCATGACAGGAAGTGTGCAGAGGATCTCCCAGGTAGGAGGCTGGCGGAAGGGGGGGAGAGCTCCCTCTTGTGTGTGTGGAATGAGGGTCAAGATACCATTATGGCAGAGGACCTTGAGCTTCTTTCTTCTCCTCTTCTTTTTCTGTTACTTTATTCTTCTCTCTTGCTTCTCTTCTATTTATTTTCTTGGCTCAGAGTTCTCTTTATTGTACTCTATGTGGAAAACTCTCAATAAAGCTGACTTTAAAAGTCCAGGAAACGAGGTTCCCTTTGGAGAGCATTGCCAAAATGCCGGCAGCTGTCACTGCACCTTGTGGCAGCAGATTCCATCTCTTCCTTATGGCTGGTGGGAGCAGAGAAGGAGAGAATTGCAGACAATGTGGGCGTCTCTCCTGTTTGCATGCCTCACTAAGGTGACACACACATGGAATCTAAACCACACCTGTGGATTGAAGGTGGGGTTTGGAGTAGGCTGACACTCCCGTGAATCAGGGCAGGGGAAAAGGAGAAGTCATGTTTGAGCTCAGAGGCAAGAGCTGCCTTGTTTCCCACTGAAAAGTGAGGTGGGTGGTGATCCGTGCCAGATGGGTTTGAAAAGGTGGCCTAGGATCATAACCACAGCCAATTTATTGGTTCGCTGCATTTCCCACAAATCCATTTTGCTCACAGCAGTTCAGATCCAGTTTGGCAGTTTTGAACTTCTGAGCTTTGCTTATGGGAGACAAAATAAACATGCTGAATTTAGATCACTCTAGGGCACTGGAAAAATTCCCTATGCAAATCTCCCTAGTTTGCATAGGATTCTCTTCTGGAAAGTTTAAAGTCAAAATGTTCTGGGAAATCTACATCACATCACAGAACCTACTTTATTGTGAGAGTTATCTAACACAGTCCGTATATTTCATGTTCCAAAGTTCAATTGTCTTTCACAACCACTGCTGACCCCACTGGGCGTGGTAATCCAGTCAGGGAAAAAGGGAGGCAGACTATGTTTAGGGCACCTTTTCTAGCTCCTCCCCCTTTTCAGGGTGAGCAGAGTGGATCCTAAATAGGGCTGCTCAGTCATGGATACAGCTGCCGAGCTGTATTATATACAGCTGCCACTCCAATTGGAGAACAGCCTTCACCAAAGGTGTCATGGACTTTGAAGACATGCAAACTCGGGACGAAAGGGAGAAACGTGCTAAGAGCAAGGCAAACCCTCACCGTGATCAACTCCTGCCCAGAAACCTGTGTCCCCACTGTGAAAGGTAGCCAAGGGGTCATCCAGACCAAACCCCGGCAGTTTTAGAAATCCCCCCGCCCCGCCATGGCCATCAGTGAAACCTTTGCGGCTGTGTGAGTGCAGGGGGAGGGAGCAGAGGGCCCCTCCAAGTGTCGGTGTGCTACAACTCCCATGAACTCAGGCCAGCATGGCCAACTGTCAGGGATGATGGGAGTTGTGGTGCAGCAGCATCTCGAGGTCTCTGGAGCTTGACCCAAACTCTGCTTTCTGTTCTGTAAGACGTTCTTTTTCTGCTGAAGAAAGGCAGGAATCGTAAGCAGGGTGGGGGTGGGGGGTGTCATGAGGCCAGCTCCATAACTGCTTCCTGGGCTGCCACAATGGATTATATAACCTCCGGTCAGCAGTGAGGGAGGACATGAATTCCTAGGGAAGCAAGATCCTGTTTACTTGCACGCAAGTGCCAGGAGGAAAGGGAAAGGACAGCAGGAAAGCAGTGAGTCCCAGCAGCTTCTCAGCACATGGTTTAAAAGCGGGAGGGGGGCAGTAGACAGAGAGGCCCCTTCCCACCCTCTGGTGTCTTATGTGGGCATATGCCTGGCCTGCCTTCCCAAAAGGCAAATGCTCTTGCTGTCTTCCTTGGGAGGAAATGAATGGCGGATGGTGAATAAGGTCAGCATTACAGTGCATCCCATCTGTAGTAATGCTGGGCCACACCCACCTTCCCCACCTGTCCTACAATCCAGCGGGACCCGGCTAGGAGAGGGAAGGTGGTGCCACAGCATTTACTTTTTCAGGACAAAACACAACAGAAGGGGTAGTTGCTGCCACCACTCCCTTGTCCGGGGATAGCCCAAAAGATTAACACAAGGGAGAAGGTTACTCTTCCTTGTTACCGGCTGCCCCCACCCTGCATTGCTTTACCACAAATCGCAGGCAGAATTCAACAGGTTCAGTAGGTGGCTAAGTGGTCAGACTTTGGATTCAAACTTTCCCCAGAAAGGCACACAGAACAAAATAGGAAAATCCTTTTTTAAAAGTTATTTAAAAAACAAGATTAAACATACTTAAAAGTGGAGGCACATCTCTTATGTGGTTCAGACAAGAAAATAACAACATTGTAAAGCATCGCTAGCTAAACGTACCGTATTTTTCGCTCTATAGGACACACTTTTTCCCCTTCAAAAATGAAGGGGAATGTGTGCGCCCTATGGAGCGAAAGCAGGCTCCTTGGCTTCAGCGATAGCAACGGGAAGCCTCCCAAGCCTGCGCTCCGGAGGCTTCGCATTGCTTTCGCTGAAGCCTGGAGAGTCTGGTCTTTGAGGCTGGCGGAGGGGGAAAGCAGTGCTTCCCCCCACCGCCAACCCCACAAGCTCGGGGGACAGCAGGAAGGCGCGCGATGCCTTCGCACTACTCCCCAACCTGGTTTAAAGGCTGGCGGTGGGGGAAAGCAGCGCTTCCCCCCACCGCCAGCCCCACAGGCTCAGGGGGCAGCGGGAAGGCGCGCGACGCCTTCGCACTACTCCCTGAACTGGTTTGGAGGCTGGCAGTAGGGGAAAGCAGCGCTGCCCCCCACCGCCAGCCCCACAGGCTCAGGGGGCAGCGGGAAGGCGTGCAATGCCTTCGTGCTGCTCCCGGACCTGGTTTGGAGGCTGGCGATGGGGGAACGCATCGCTCGGTCAAAAAGCCCACAGGAGCTGCGTGCTCTTTAAAGGGTGCGCGGCTCCTGTGGGCTTTTGCGGGAGATGGGGGAATTCCCCCACTTCCCGCAAAAGCAAGCAGAAGCCACACGTTCTTTAAAGGCTGTGCGGCTTCTGTGGGCTTTTCTACGAGGTGGGGGATTTCCCCCACCTCGCAGAAAAGCCCGCAGGAGCCGTGCAGCCTTTAAAGAGCGTGCTGCTCTTAGGGGCTTTTCCCCAAGGAGGGAGAAGGGACTGACTGGCTGAGTCAGTCCCTTCTCCTTCCTGTGGGCTTTTATGGGAGATGGGGGAATTCCCCCACCTCCCGCAATAGCAGGGAGAAGGTCTGGGAGAAGTGCACAGGCTGCGTATTTTTTTCCTTGATTTCCCCCTCTGAAAACTAGGGGTGCCCTATGGTCAGGTGCGCCCTATAGAGCGAAAAATACGGTACTTACAAAACGAGAACACAAGAAAAGTTAAGACAGTTCGTAAAGTTCTCGGCTGAATCTGCATCTCAAGAAGACAACAGGAATTCTTCATCACAAAGAACACACATATGAATGACGACTGCCGACAAGGTGGTGAATCTGGCGGATGGATGTTGCCCGCTTGCCGGCTCCTTTCCTAAGGTTTTTATCCTTAAAACCCCACATGTAATCAGACCCCCAAGGACCAATCAGAATTTCTAATTAATTCAAAATTTACCAATGGTCACCGAGTTGGATAATAACTCAGCTTGTTTGTACTCAAAACCTTGGGATCAAAGGGTTCCTCCCAAACTTCTCAGAGACACAGCAGATCCTCCTTTCTCCTGTAATGAGGCTTGATAGCCCTTATTCACACAGGGACAGCTCTTAGTAACCAGGTGTTAAATCACCACTAATCAACTGGAAGTTTTCCTTCCTGCAGATGCATGAGATAAGTATTCACACTCCCAGAGCCAGTTAGTCTACAGTTTTAAAGCAACAGACATATATTTCCCATAAATCATTTGGCCTTTGGTTTTCCCACAGTGCTTTTCTTCAGCTTGACCAAAGTTTGCCTACTGAAAGTTCCTAACTTCACTACACCATATTTTATTATAATTACAGTATTCACTTATCACCTGCCCTTCACCCTACTGCCCCGGGTCTGCTGCAGCATTAAAACACAATATTAAAAACAGGAACACCATTTCAGATAAAATCACAGTGGACTTTGCTACCAAACTCTGCTATTTTGTCCTCACCCACAACCACTTCAAATTTGGAGATGACCTGTTCCTCCAGATCAGCAGCACAGCAATGGGCACCCGCATGGCCCCCCAGTATGCCAACATCTTCATGGCAGATTTGGAACAACGCTTCCTAAACTCCTACCCACTCAAACCTCTCTTGTACCTATGATACACTGACAATTTTTTTATTATCTGGACACATGGTCAGCAGACCCTGGACACCTTCCACCAGACATTCAGTGACCTGGTCTATGCAAGAAATATATTTTCTGGACACTACTATAAAAATACAGGATGGGTGCATAGACACCACCTTATACTGAAAACCAACTGACCGACAAACATATCTACATGCTTCCAGCTACCATCCCAAACATACCAAACAATCAATTGTATATAGCCAGGCTCTATGATACAGCTGCATCTGTTCCAACTCTACAGACACGGATTCTCACCTAAGAGATCTACAGCAAACCTTTTTGGAACTAAAATACCCGCCTGATGAAGTCGAACAGATTTGTTGAACAGATTAAAAAAAAGCCAGACTGAAAGCTAGAGAGAACTCGCTGCAAGACAGACCCAAAAGAGAAAATAACAGAACACCACTAGTTATCATATACAGCTCCCAAGTTAAAACAGTTCAACTCATCATCAGAGATTTGCAACCTCTCCTAGACAACAACAGTTCTCTTTCTCAAGCTCTGGGAGGAAAGACCTTTCATTGCCTACAGACAGCCACCCAATCTTAAACAACTCCTCACCCACAATAATACAGCAACCAGGCTTAACATGGACACTGGTACCAGAGCCTGCAATAAACCTAGATGCCAACTTTGCTGCCACATAAACCCAGACAACACCATTACTGGACCCAACAACATCAAACATACCATCTCAGGACTATTTACTTGCTCATCTTCCAACATTGCGTATGCCACCAAATGCCAGCACGCCCTACATGCCCTATATTGGACAAACAGGCCAAACCCTAACCAAATCTGACACCAGGAATCACAAGACAGAGAAGCCAGTAGGAGAACACTTCAACCTCCCAGGACATTCAATACAGGAACTCAAAGCAGCTGTCTTATTATAAAATAATTTCAGAAATAGACTTGAAAGAGAAGTTACTGAATTACAACTTATTACTAAACATGGACCATAAAGAAGGCTAATCGCCAAAGAATTGATGCTTTTGAATTATGGTGCTGGAGGAGACTCTTGAGAGTCCCATGGACTGCAAGAAGATCAAACATATCCATTCTTCAGGAAATCAGCCCTGAGTGCTCACTGGAAGGACAGATCGTGAAGCTGAGACTCCAAGACTTTGGCCACCTCATGAAAAGAGAAGACTCCCTGGAAAAGACCCTGATGCTGGGAAAGATTGAGGGCACAGGGAGACGGGGACGACAGAGGACGAGATGGTTGGACAGTGTTTCTCCAAGCTACAAACATGAGTCTGACCAAACTGCAGGAGGCAGTGGAAGACAGGAGTGCCTGGCGTGCTCTGGTCCATGGGGTCACGAAGAGTCGGACACGACTAAACAACAACAACTAAACATGGGTGGCACTGTGGTCTAAACCACAGAGCCTACGGCTTGCTGATCAGAAGGTCAGCAGTTCGAATCCCCGCGATGGAGTGAGCTCCTGTTGTTCGGTCCCAGCTCCTAGCAGTTCAAAAGCACGTCAAAGTGCAAGTAGATAAATAGGTACTGCTCCGGTGGGAAGGTAAACGGCATTTCCATGCGCTGTCTGGTGACTTCTGTTTCAGTGTATCTCAAGAAGTGTGCATGCACACGAAAGCTTTTACCCAGAACAAACTTAGTTGTTCTCTAAGGTGCTGCTGGACAATTTTTTAATTTATTATTATTAAAACAGTTTAAAAGAACAACTTGAAGCCATAAAAGTAAGGCCTGTCCTCAGGTGCCCAAGGCCAGGGTGAGAAGCCGTCTGCAGCATCCTCCAGAATCTGTCGCTGTGAAGGCACCAGACTCACTTCTGTGGGTCCCACAGTTCAGGGGCCACCACAGAGAAGGCCCTTTCCCAGCCCGCTCCCACTCCCTGGAGCCAGTGAGGGTGGGAGAATTCACCACCCCTGGGAGAGCAAGCCTATGCGTTCAGTGGGCTTTTTGGGGTATTGCAGGATTGTATTTCAGACCTCTTCTATATCATATTCTCTTCTCTGCCATTCTTCTCCTAGGACAGGGCTGGGGAACCTCTGGCCTTCCAGATGGTTGTGGCCTCCCATCAGCCCAAGCCAGCATGCTTAGTGGTCAGGGAGGATGGGAATTCTGGTCCAGCAACATCTGAAGCAGTTCCCCACCCATCTAAGGTTGACAGTTTGTAAAGAAGGGTAGGACGTAGGTATTTCCAACCACATATTCTCTTGGCATCTTGCTAATGTAAACAGTGACATGCTGGTGAATTAATAGAATTAATAGAGGTAGAGGGTATCCTAGTGGCCATCCAGTCTGGCCCCTTTCTTCAATGCAGGAATCCTGCGACTGCAGCATCCCAGACACGAGGCCATCCAGCCAAGGAGAGGCTCCCCAACCCTGACTGTTAGGAGCTGGATTGGTCTTACTCCCAGGTAAGTAGGGTTAGGGGTAGGATCATTGCTTTTATAATGGTGCAATTGGGTAAGCTTAAGCTCTGGGTTTGATGGGGTGTATCCAAATACCTTAGATCATGATACCCATTTATGCCAATGGGCCTCTTCTAAGTACAACTAGCATTGGATGCAGCCCAATGAACTTAGATGGTGGCTTTTCAACTGTGATCTGTGTTATGTCAGCTCCCAGCCCTGCTGCCTTTGTGGGGGCTTTTCTACCCCTGCTGCCACCTGGGGCAGGGGCCTGCCCCAAAGTCCTATACTCAGGAAAGACCAGGAGGCAGGAAAAGTCATGGTTTCCTGAAGTGAGGCAACATTCTGTTGGCACATGGGAAGCGTCGAGAGTATGCAGAATCTTGCTGAATCTTTTTGTCTAGACACTTATTTTTGACATTTAGCTGCTTATTTTTGGAATAGTTTCATTTTGTTCTCCTTCAGACTGGCGGAGGAAGGATTTGAGGAGCAAATTAAGCTTGTCTACGTAGGGATTTGGGGGCTGGATTAATTTGGAATTGGTCTGATTATCTGCTTTCTGTTCACTGAAAAAACCCCAAGTCCCTGTGAAGATAACAAGAGTTGGAATAAAGACAGACAAGATTCAATCCAGAGAAGATTTGGCTGAAGAAAGTAGCTGGAGAGGAGAGCCTAATGCCCAAGAATTTTTAACCAGGTCAGGAAGGGTGTTGCCCCAAATGAGACTGAAGGGCAGCCAAGATTGGGCAGAACATCCTCCACGGAAGAAAATAAGGACGTCCTCCTGGCACTCCTGTTCCCACACCAAGGATCACTCTGCAAGCCCCATTCTCTTCACAGTTAAACCTAATTGAAGGCTTGGTGGCTTTGCTGTGCCTCCACAATGGAAGGCAGACAGGCTTCTGAACCCCAGGTGCTGGAAGCCGCAGGAGGGGAGAGTTGCTCTGGTGCTCAGATCCCGCTTGCGGGTTTCCTTTGGAGGCATCTGGCTGGCCCCTGTGAGAACAGGCGAGTGGACAAGGTGGGGCATCCACAAGACTGCATCATAAGATGGCAATCTTTTCTTATTTGTGAGTTAAGTACTTGGGAATAAGTACCATCAAACTCAGAGGATCGTGCTGCACAGTTACCTGGTTTGCAGTCTTCAAAATCTAACTACCTAATACCAATAATTTCGAGACAGAATAAATTCGCTGGTGCAAATGCAGATGCCATGGCAATAGTGGCACAAGTTTTGCAAGCAGATGTGAACGGGTGCATGCAGTGAGAAAGTACAAAACCCAATCAGTACATTGCAAATGACAGCAGGTGGACTGGTTTCTGCACTCTTCCAATGCTATCCCTTCTTTTTGTGCCCAGAAGATGCGGTTTTATGCCTGAGTAAGTCCAAAGGGTGGCCACTGTGCAGCAGCGAGAGCAGAAGGCAGTCCGCTGTGCCTGCCTCGTGTATTAGGCAGTCCATCTGAATTATTTATTGCCAAAAACTGGGTTATTTCTTCATTTGCATTACCGTGAGGTGGCAGCTGGATAGTGAGGACTCTTGGCTTCATTCTTTATAGATTCAGAATCTTGCGAACACGAGGAGAGTCCTGCTGAAGTCCGTAGTGGCTAACGGGGTGCCTCTTGCTTGCTTGGGGGCTGGCCCAAGACAGCTTGGCAGATTCTATGATTTTGTTGCCTGAAGCAAAGGATAAGATGGTGCCTTCCTCTCCTTCTGCATGCATCTTCTTACGAGACCAGCAGTTAAATTTTATTTGTGATTATGGGGCAACATCTTCCACTGTACCTGAGGGTTGCAGACTTGCTTAGGGGCCCCAGAGCAAGCTACTTGAGGAGACCCTGGGAAAATGGAGATGGCTACGGCCCCCAGATTCTCATTCTGTCTAATGGTAGTGCCAGCCTTGTTCTTGGCCTTGTCTTATACCAATAGTCCTTTTCACTCGGGTGGCATTGATGTTAGCCAGCCTTCCAAGCTTGGTGGTTGAATCTCCCCCCAGTTATAAGTCATGGTAATCTGAGCAAATAAAGAACCATCTCCCTATCTCATGCTTCTTTAATATACCCCAAAAGAGCATGAGAGATGTTTCCTGTAAGAGCTTCATCCATTTCCATATATCTGGTGATATTTCTGGGCTGTGTGTGCTTAAAGAAATACTAGAAAATATATTGGCATGCTCACCCCACTTCTCCTAGCTAGCTAGGAGATTAATTAATCAATTAACTGCTTGATTGTAAAAAAAACAAAAAAAGCAGTTTACAGAAAAGATATGTTTGAGCAGACCACATATAGGATTCCACTGTTAGTAAACTTTAGATCAACCACAGTTTTCTAGTTTAGATGCAACAGGAAACTATAGTTAACTGTAGCTTCCTGGCTTTTTTGCTTGCGTGGGCAAATGCACAAAGCTTGTTTATATCAAAGGTTATTGATATGACAATCCAAATGTGGCCCCTCTCTGACTTTCCCAGTTTGTCTTGCTTGAGGTCAAACTGCACTTTTAATTATTTATTTCCACACTTAAGAACTAGATTGCATCATGCTTAGCTTGGAGAAGGGGGACAGTGATTTTAAGGAAGATATAAGGAAGTCAAGAAGTCAAAGCAAGATCAGAACACAGAGCAGTCATTTTGCAACCTTCTGGTTCCAAAATTAACTTAAGCCAACAAGAAACCCTGACCTGTTAAGGCCATGGTAAATATTGTGGTAATCATTACTACCTTGGAATGTGAGACAGTTTATTTGAGATGGTTAGGTAGAACTGAAATGGTTTGCATTAGCGTAAAATAAGAATCAGGACGACTGAGAGCAGGTTTAGGCACCAGTAAAAAAAAATCAAAAATGGGCCCCTCAGCAAGGGCGGAATGGCTAATTTTTATTTTTTTTACAAGGCTATAAAATAAATGTGCAATTTTATTTTTATGTTAAGAATAGATATGGTAATATTTGTACTTGTTGAGAATATTAAGATCCTAATGACTAATATCAATAATATCAACACCCCCATGATTGTAGTCAAACAAACCTTATACTTTAAATGTTAAACTTGTACATGTAACACAACACAATGTGCACTATACAACTTTGTTGCATTTGCACAGTGTTCACTTAGAAAAACATACAAATGCAACTGTGCATAGTAAGATGTGTCTGGGCTGTCACACTGTCAAAGTGCAGAATCAAATATCTGTATAGAGTTGAAAATGCTTGGTTCACAGCACAAGTTTACAAGAATGTTACTCAGGATTGTGCATGCATTGGACATTAACTGTATATTCTGTTGAGAATTACATAAAACATGCCAGATAGTCAGGCACCAGAAAATTGTACCAGGTCCCCACACCCCGCTCTCATTGGCCCTGATAAAAATGTGCCAGGTATCCACTTGCAATGTTTCTCAACCTTGGGTCCCCAGCTGTTGCTGGACTACAACTCCCATCATCCCTAGCTAGCAGGACCAGTGGTAGGAGATGATGAGAGTTGTCGTCCAACAACAGTTGGGGACCCAAATTTGAGAAACGCTGATAGAGGGATTAATACCCAGTTTATTCTGCAGCCACTGAGCGTGCTCAGTCCTCATTGGACTGTTTTCAGACTGTGTTCTCATTTCTGCTTCTGTAAACCTCAGATTTCCCTTGGGCCTGGGTGTTCATCAGTTTTGTTGAATTAATTAAACTAAATAGCTTTAATTGGATTTTGAATAAATGTGCAATTAATTGTTACTGGTCTGAATTTTACTGTGTTAATATCTTCCTTAGTGGGTCATGCAAACTGCTATTCTGAATGATGCTTTTATAGGGTTTGATAGGGGGCACTGGGATGAACCAAAGGGGTGGGGGGGTCGCCCAAAATGAAGTTGGGAACCACTGGTTTAAAATAACTGTGCATTCATAAAATCACATCCAAAGCAAACGGTGCCTTTTAAAAGGGGAGACCGAGGATTATGAGTGGGGTACCCTCCATCTAATGGTGTTGCCTTTGCCTGCTGTCTCTCTCTGCCCCGCTCCCCCCGGGCAGGTGCCTTTGCCAAGGTGAAGGAGAGCCAGAGGATGAGCGACGAGGGGAAGATGGACCAGGAGGAGGCAGACGGGATCCGCAAGCGCTGCCGCGTGGTGGGCTTTGCCTTGCAGGCGGAGATGAACCATTTCCACGAGAGGCGCATCTTGGACTTCAAGAGGATGATGCAGTCATACCTCAAGCAACAGATCATCTTCTACCAGAGAGTCAGTCAGCAGCTGGAGAAGACCTTGCGGATGTATGACAGCCTCTAGTACCTCCTGGCTCTCATTTGCCTGGCAGGAGGATGAGCTGGGCTTGCATTTTCCTCTGTGCCTGGACAAGAGTACATCTGGGCATGAGAAGTGTGCCTTCCTACCATACAGCCAGGCTTGTACTTTTAAGGGGGTTTAGGAATGGGAGGGTGAGGTGGAGGCCTCATTGCCAGGTGGACGTGGGTGCCTTCAAGGCCCCTCAGTATGCACACAATCAAAAAGGGAAGCTTGCAGCACCAGCAACCCAACTCCATGTTGTAGCTTCTCTCTTCGTCCGAACTGAGAGGCAAAACGGCATTCCAGCGAACACACCATCCTGTCTTCCTCTGCTCAGGGTTTGCTGGCTTCCCAATCTGCATTGTTTACAGAGGAAGTGAGAAAATATGTTTTGTAGACGAATTGGAAACAGAACTTTTGTCATCTTGGAGTTTATTATTTGTTTTCTGCTGCTTCTCAGGCTTGATCTTCTAGAGTTTTCTCATCCTAATTGTGCCCAGTTCCCCACTGAATTGGTGAATGAGATCAGGGTTGTTTGCTGCTTATCACAACAGTACTTTCTAGATAGGTTGTGGTGAGCTTAAATAAGTGTTTTTTTTAAAGGCAGAGGGATTGGAATGTAAATTTTGGTGCAACAGAATGGATCTTTTTGGGAAATCACACAAACACACAAGGTATCAGCACCTTTGTATTTTTTTTCTAAACTGTCCACAGAGATAACTACAGGATTATTATTTTTTGTATTCTAAAATCAAAACAATACTTGGGAACCACAATTTTTATGTTCTGCTTGGTTTGTTACTTAAAGTGTATTTTGGGGCAAAATTCAAAGGGTCTGTTGTATCGTCATTAATTAGTTTTTAAAAATGGGTGCAGGAGCTTTTGTTTATGGTGAACTGGGGCAAAGGATGGTCTGAAAAAGGCTCAGACATGTTGACATGCTGCGTTGCCTTGGCAGAGGGAGGCTGCACGGGGGGGGGGGGGAATCCCATTTGACTCTTTGTACTCAGGCTAGTGATATGAAAGGGTGGGTGGCCCCTATTTCTATCCTGCTCTTCCCCCTCACTTCCCAGGAGCTGCCAGCCTGTGGCTGGAAATGCAACCAGCACAAGCCCTGGCTGAGGAGCCTTTGCTCATAGTCTGGGGACGAGACTCGCTCTTGACATCTTGAAGATCATAACGCACTCCCTGAACTCGGGATGTTGAGCCCATTCTGGACAAGCTCCCGAGGGCCACATTTCAGGGGTGGGCGGAGCCAAAGGCAACAGTGGGCAGAGGAAACATGAGGCTGGTTTCTACACACTCCTCTTTTATCCTCCACCCAAAGAAGTAAGAGGCAACATGGGAGTTCCAGGATGCAATACATGCAGGAAGGCGGGGGGGGGGGGGGCTAAGAGAAGGGGGCAGGGCTGGGGAGAATCCCATGTGTCAGATAAGTTCCCCACCCACATCAAAGCATGCACATTGATGCACAGGGATTACATGACCCTTTGATTCCCTTCCAACTCTGTATAATTCTATGATTCTGTGAACTTTTTCAGGGTTCCTGAGAGCATGAAATGAGCTGGAGACACACAGTCTGATCTGAGCTTCAGCCGAACACCATGCATGCCTCTCCCTGCCCCCATGTCATCAATGCACATTCTACAGCTTCTAAGAGGCACTTGGACATACTGAAATGCCTTGTAATGAGAAAGGCTTTTGGTCCCTGTGGCCCAGTATTGTGGACTCTGATTGGTAGGGTCTCCATAAGGGCAGTAGCTCCGTGGTGGAGTGTCTGCCTTGCCTGTCCAAGGTGCCAGGTTCAATCTCCAGCATCTCCAGGTTGGACCAAGGATGCCTCCTGTCAGAAACCCTGGAGAGCTGCTGCCAATCAGTGTTGACAATATTGAGCTAGATAGACCAATGGCCTGACTTGGTATAAGGCCATTTCGTATATTCTCATTAAAGAGTGGTCATTTCCAGCTGTCCCACTTGAGAGCCATCTAACTCGGAGAGCCTTTGGCCTTGACAGTGCCTGGGGCTGATGGATTTGAGAGTCACAGGTTCGCTGTCCAGATGTGCTTGGACTCAAATCCATCAGTCCCAGCCAGCATGACCAGGGATGACAGGAGTTGTAATTCAGCAGTTACTGGAAGGCTGCAGGTTAGCCACCCCTGTTCTAACTGCAAATGATTGAACCTGGGGCTCTGCATGCAGAGCATGTGCTTTATTGCCAGGCCAGATGGTACTCCTGTAACCACCTTTTGCATTTCCTGTGGCTCACCAAGCATAGTCATGCATATTCAAGTGTGTGTTTTCTCACCCTTGCAGAAGCTGTTGCAGCATCTGAATCCTCCCCAAATGTGGATTCTGAGCAGGTGTGGTCAGTAAGAAAGTGGGAGGGGCAGAGAGGGGTGGGGGAAAAGAGGACATATTTGCAAATACTTTGGAAAGGGGAAACAGAGGCAGATAGGTATGTCTGTGTCAACCTTGATTAGCAAGCCTGGACTTGACATGAAGAGATTTCAGAACAGAAAGGATTTGGCAGCAGTGATGGGAGGCCTCCGGCCAGATAGGGGTGCCCTGCAGTCACACCCAGCCGATGAACCAGAGATTCACCTTCCTCGCTGCAGTGGATTGGGAAGCAGGTCCTTGCTGCGGGAACAATGATGTCGAAGTTAAGGAGTGTCCCTGTTTTCATTTGCAAAAAGTTGAAAGTCCGAGTCACATGGGCAGGTGGGGTGGGAGTGGGCGAATGCAGGAAAGGGAGCAACGACAGGAGCAAAGAGCTACGGATGGAGCGTGACCTCTTGTTATTCAAAGCTACTTCACAATTGTGCCTACAAGACAGGATTCTGAGAAGAGGGGTGGATGTCCATGTCCGTAGGTATAAATTGCTTCCAGGCAGGCGCCTTTCCTTGGCTGATTGGGAGGATGTCAAAGTTAGTGGAGTTAGTTACTGTCAACACTTGCTGGCTGATAGATTGGCCTGGTGCGTGGGCTTTGTTTTCTCAGGGAAATATTGAGAATAAATTACAGCATAGAAAGGAAACCAGGCCTGGCTTGGACTTACTCCAGAGTTTCTCGCGGTACCAGAATGTTGTTTTAAGCCTTGAGTCAGTAACTCCTGCTGCTGAAAAATGCAGAGAAGCAACAAGTAATTTGCTTACCAATGTTCTTATGTCAGCATTGTGATTTTCATGTCATTTTCATAAACCAGGCAGACCCAATGTGCACCAGTTCTGCAACATGAATTTCCTGTCCCAGTCAAAATACCACACAGCCCTGGCACAGTGCTTATGCCTAGACCTCTGACGCATGAGGCCTCTGGAACAACAAGCTTCCGTCTACTTGTGCTCCTGTTTCAGATCATTTAGCCCGTTCCGAAAGAAGAGTTTCAAACTTCTGTAATCATGAGAACTAGACACTTAAGCCAGCAAACAAACCTCAGATCGTCTCGCACACTTTGATTGCACACTTTGGATTCTAAGACAGTGATGGGCAGCCTCTGGCAGAGGCAGATTTAGGTTCAGTTGCACTGGGCACAGAATCTCATGGGGCCACAATTATGATGTAGAATGGAAGACTAGAGGCTGGGGTGCCAAATTTTGGCATCGCACACACGGCACCACTGAAATTTGAGACCCTGAGGTCTGCCACTGCCCATGGCTCTTTGGATGTTGCTGCAATGCAACACCCATCATCCCTCACAAATGTTCCTGGGTTGCTCTGCTACTTTTGCCTGGCATGTGGCCCCTGGAAAGTTGTCCAGAAGGCAGTGTGACCCTCAATCTGAACCCCCACCCCATCCCTGGTATAGGATGATGTTGGTCTCCAGGATCCTCAAGTCTGAGCCAGCATGGGCAATGGTCAGGAATGATGGGAGTCCAACAACACGATGGGTATACAGGGTATTCTGTGTTTTTGTTTCATATGTTTATGTTGTGAACCACCCTGTGATCTTCGGATGAAGGGCGGTATACAAATTTAATAAATAATGATGATGACATTAATGATAATATCTGGAGGGCCAGAGTTCTACTGCCCTGATCCAACCAGTCTTCCAATATAGCGTCCCTTACAGAAGTGTGTGTTTCCAGGGGGGATGGATTTCTCAGTGGATTTTTGCTAGCAGCAGCAGGGCAGGACCCTGGCAACATCCCCTTCACCTGCTGTGTTACTAAGTAGCTATGAGGAACTTGACAGCTCCACCTCATATTTTAACCCTGCCAGCTGGAAGGCGGGCAGCCATCTCCGATTATGTTCCCTTCCCTGTCCTCCATATCATCAGACCCAGTTTCTGATACGATGGCTGGGATTTTGAGCTGGGATTCACTAAGTTTCATTCACAGAGGTGGAACTTGCGGCCCTCTGGTGTTGTTGAGCTACAACTTCCAACAGCCCCAGCAAGTGTGACCAGTGGTCAGGGCCAATGGGAGCAACATCCGGGGGGGGGGCATGCAAGTTGCCCCATATATTCCAGCTCTGCTAACCCTGGAAAGAGAGAGAGAGATGCAGAGCACTGAAGCATCACCTACCCCTGACTACAACACAACAACCACTGCTGCGATTTCACCAAGCAACACGCACACAGTCTCGCTCCAGAGAGGTTGACCTGCTCCAGGTTGGAGTTTGCAGAGGACAAGCTTGGATGGAGTCCAGGGTAGTTTGCAGGAGAACAGGACCGTGGTTAGCTCCCTGCAGAGGTGGCATCTAAGAGCAGAAGAGCAGGTGTTGCTCTGGCAATAGACTACAGGCAACTTCCCACTTACGTGGGGGTTACGTTTCTGGCCCCCTGTGCAAAAGTGAAAGCATGTAAAGTGGGGAGCATTCTCTAAACATTCTTTAAAAGTCCTCTGCTACTCTCGTTTCAATCCATATCAAAAAATACTATATCCAAAAATATCCACAACTCAGATTGAAGCTATAGGGCTGGCCAGAGGCCGGAGGATGTGAGGGACAGTGGCTGCTTCACTAGAGGTGCCAGTTTGTGAGGGTGATTGGGGGGGCAATCTCTAGAATCCCAACCATGGGAACTTAGCAACTTCATTTAAGGAAAGATTAGAAAAATTCATGGAGGTGCTATTATAGGCACCTTCAAATATCTGAACAGCTGTCATATGGATGATGGAGCATGCTTGTTTTCTCCTGCTCCGAAGAGTAGGATGGCTTCCTGACCAAACATCAGGAAGAACTCTCCTTCACTAGAGGTTTTTAAGGAGAGGTTGGATGGTCATCTGCCAGGAATTCTTTAGCTGAGATTCTTGCACTACAGGGGGTTGGACTAGATGAGCCTTGGAAGTCCCTTCCAACTCCAAAGTCTGTGATTTGTTCTCCATCCTCCTAGTCCATTTTCCTTCTGTGATGTGTTTTTTTCTTGTGTGTGTGTGTGTGTTTTTAAAATTAAGCCTGAGGGTAAGGACCATTAATAATAAAGCAACGTGTAAGTTGCTGTGGGAGCATTTTGGGGCTTAAGAGTGGGATTAATAGTTGATACAATTAATACAGAGTACAAATAAGTAAATAATAAGGCCATCAGTGGTCTAAATGCTACCTCCAGATTTAAATAACATAAGCACCTAGTAATGTAAGAGGAGCCTGCTGAATCAGGCCAGTGGGACCCTTCTAGTCCAGCATCCTGTTCCCACAGTGGCCAACCAGATAGAATTGGAAGGGAAGCCGAGAGTCATTTTGTTCAACCCCAACTCAGAAATCTCCATGAATTTGTCTAATCCTCTACTGCATTTTGTGGGAGTGAGTTCCATGGTTTAACTCTGCACTGTGCACAGAAAAAATTCTTTTATCTGTCCTGAATCTTCCAGCACTCAGAGGGAGCAGGCTCTGGATACCAGTCTGTGGGGACCTCAGGTGAAGAGGGCCGTTGCCCTGACAGGCTTCCCAGAGGCATCAGGTTAGGAAGTGGAAATGTGTTGGATTTGCTTACAGACTCCATGCTGTTGTTGTGCAAGAGGGCTTAACAACTTGTTTGTGCCACATGTTGGAACCAGACGTTCCGAGTCTGCCTGTCCTCCAGCTCCCTCCCTTCAGATCACATTCTTCCTTTCTGACCGAGTCTCAGGGAATCAAACATCCTTTCCCTCCCCTCTTGCTTGCAAGGAGAGGCAAGCAGGAGGAAGCCTATTTTCCTCCTCCTCCTCCTGCTGCTGCTGCTGCTAGTGAAAGAAAGTTAAACAATAAGAGATGCAGCTCTGGAGACCTTCTCTTAAGAACCAAAGCAGAGCTTCTGCTGGATCCGGCCAAAGGGGTCCAGCTGGTCCAGCCTCCTGTTCTCACAGCGGCCAACCGGATGCCCCCAAGGAAACCTGCAAGCGGGATTTGAGCACAAGAGCAGCCCTCTCCCCTCCTGTGGTCTCCCTGTTGCTCCAGCTTCAAGACGTAGCGCAGACGCCGACTCACAGAGAGACTCACTGACTGGCCAATGAGCTCAAGAGCCCAGACTGCTGAGCTGATATCCCTTAATCATCTATAGAGGGCACTGGGCTGTTGCAACTGGCTTAGTTAACATTGCACCTGCTGGCTTATCTGAGACTGGGGTGATTCGTGTCCATGAAAAAATAGCCCTATCCTCTATGTCCAGCTGCTCCTACATCTCTCTGAGATGTCTGGGATTGAATTTGTGGCCTTTGCACAAAGCAGATGCTCTGTCACTGGGCCATGGGCCTCCCCCCAAGTCTTCCTGGGAAAGGGTCACCAGTGTCCCTGCAGTTTGCGATGGTCTTCCAGTGTCATGCAGGTCACAAAGAGATGTTTCCTATTGGCATATTTTTTTTAAAAAAAAAGACCCATGAACAATGGGGTTCCACCAGCTGCTCTGCTGCCTGACCGTATTCCTCCTGGTCTCTTCCTTATCAGGTCTGCTTCCCTCCACCTTATCTGTGATGGCCTGGGAATCTGATTCAGAGGCTGAACCGGAGGAACCCCAGCCTGCACAGGAGTCCCCGCCTCCAGGGCCGGCTGAGCTGGGGCAGGGCCTTGATCCTGAAGCGCCTGCACCTGTGCCGGATCCTCAGGAGCAGGCACCAGGTGAATCAACTCTGGCTCCGGAGGCGATTGAGGACGCATTGCCTACAGGTGCGCCTCTCCCAGCCCTGTCAGGGGAAAGTGAGTCTCCCCCTGGGTCCAGTAACCCACCGGCCTCTCCTGAGCTGCAGAGGCTCAGGGCAGAGAGGCGGAGGGAACTGGTTTCTCCCAGGAGGAGTGCTCGCCTTAAGGCCAGGAGAGGCCGGTCACCTGGGGGCCGGGACCGCCCCTGGCCTCAGAGATGATAAAGGCCAGTCAGCCCGGTCCCAGGTTGCGGGAGCAACGTCGTTGAAGAGCTGTTTCGGCCAGCACCCAGACCTGTTCCCCCAGAGTTCCTGTCCTTGCCCGGCTCCTCGCTGTGGACCCCGCTTCGCCCGTGGAGGACTGTCTGCCGACCCTCAACTCAGGTCCTGGACCTCGCCCCACAGTAACCTCCCCCCTGGACCAGCACATTATCATCAATCTTGCTTTTCTACTGCCGGAGGCTGTCGCTTTGCTGCAAGACAAGTCCCAAGCAGAGCTGGGCTTTTCCATGGAGGTTCCTGTGGAGTCCTCGAGTGGGGAATGTGGAACCCTCTGGACATTGTTGGACTACAACAAGGGAGGAGGGAGAAATTAAATTACGTTCACTTTTGAAAGTGAACCTGCCAAAATTGTGTTTTCCAAAACAATACATGAACCAAAACACAACCACCCTGAGAAAGTTTCCAAATTTTGCAGTGCAGTTTTCCAGCCAAGTTCTGTGGGGCATGTTCCCATTTCAGGTCCTGAAACTGAGTGGATTGGGTAGTTGGGTCTTACTTAACACTGGCAGTGAGACAGGATCCTCCATCCACCTGAGGGCAGAAGGCAGTTAATCTGGTCCTGGTAGGTATTGGGTCGGTTGGGGGGGTTTCATGTCTGTTAGATGTTCTTGGACCCAGCTAGCACCAGCCCCAGCCAATGGCAGAACCAGCCCAAGACATTTTGGCACCTGAGGCGAACCACAAAATGCCCCCCCCCCCCCGGGAAGAAGGAGTGAGGGCAGATCAGAAACAAGGGGAAAGTAAACCTCTTCATCAGGATCTGCTACCCATGTGGATCCTGTCACCTGAGGAGTCACCACAACTTGCCTCATGGGTGGCTGGTCCTAGCCAGTGGGCAGGAATGATGGGAGTTGGACTGTTAGTTCCCTCACTTTCTCATTTTGCAATCTTAAATTCAGTTCTCCACATATTTGCAGCAATGTGCAATTTTTAAAAAATACCCCTTGTGAGTGAGACATGGTCTGAATGCACAAGTGTAGCCATATGTCTGTGGAGCTGTATGTGGGTTTCCTCTTATGTAGGATGGCTTCTGAGCATACCAAGGCTGCCCAGAAATGGCATTTTAATAGGGAATTCCTGGCAAGGTTTAACTTCGGGGTGTGGGTGGGTGTTTTTGTTTTGGTCTCTGTAATGGGAAGGAAAAGGGAACTACCTTCTTGAACCTGAGAGCAGAAGAATAGCCTGCTAGATCCAGCCAAAGGGGCCCATCTAGTCCAGTCTCCTCTTTTCTCAGTGGCCAACCAGATGCTTGTGGGAAACCTGCAAGCAAGATTCGAGCACAAGAGCAGCCCTCTCTCCTGTGGTTTCCAGCAGCTAGTATTGTGCATGTATGGAATATAAATTCTTCACAAACTAATATTGTGTCAGCCTGTGGTAGAAAAATAGCCAATCTGTTCCCTCACCTTCCTGTTTTTTGTTTTGTTTTTTACATTTCAACCCTGAACCCACTTCACTCCCCCCTCTCAGCCTGGCAGGGCTTTCAAGGAGTGGCTGGCACAGCAATGAGATTGCTCAGATGGCTCCCGATGCCATCATGCGGCTGGAGTAAAACCTGCCTCTGAGGACTCCGTGCTTTCCCTGCCAGCTACGACAGTTGCCAGCCGCTGCCGCCATATTCCATGCCTTAACACTGGAGGAAAGGCTCTCCCATGCTGCCAA